CGTCAGTATGCAGCTGTGAATGCGTTTCTTTTACAATCAGCCCGGTTTCTCTGGAGGAGCTGCGTCCATACTGCAGCAGCTTTATTGTTGGGCATGTTTTTACTTTTAGTGACTTAGCTTGTTTCTTATTTCACCGTTTTAATTATACTTCATTCTACATCTTAAGTATCACTCACTTATTGATTTCGCCTCCTTCAGTTCTCTTCACACTCACTGACCTAACGTCTCCGCTGGAAACAGCCATTACCAGTTCAACCACGACTCGCCTCGACTCGGTCCTACGTTTTCACAATTGCCGCAACGTTATGTTCAATGCGTCATGCACACAGCTGTCTTTTGATTTAAGTTAAAAAGTTTCAACATAATCAGAATGTAAAGACAGATAAGACGGAGGCGATACGAACAAAAAGTACCTGGTAGCAGGTACAAGTACAACTTCTACACAATGTAAAACCAAAAAAAGGTGAGTAGAGTCGAGGCGAGCTGGTACCGTACAGTGGAAAAGGAGCTTTACGGTGATGCGTGATGATGTTGACGAGGCGTGTTGACGACGTAGTCTATAAAAACAAATAAAACGAATAACGTCTGTCTCGAGGCGTTTGGCATTTATAAACTTCCCACTGAAGCTTTAACAGTCTGAGCTGAGTGGACTTACCTTTCCTTTATTTCTCTGCACAAGGACTGAAAAGAGAGAGAACGTGGGAGTGAACGGAGGTGTGGAAGAGTGAGAAGTGAGTGTGAAGGTCACTCCTCCTCCTCCTCCTCCTCCATGTTTCCTCTGCTCTGATGTGGCTGATTCGGATCTCCATGACTGAAAATACTTTTACTGTGCAAAGCTGTTGCTCTTCACTGTGTTTCCTCCCAGTGATCAGGGACACTGAGCTTTACCGTCCAGTGTTCTTATGTGTCTGCGTCTCAGCTATTAACCTGGTTTATATGAAAAACCCTGACGTTTCCTTTAACTTCCCCCCCGACTTCCAAAGACATCCAAAGGCACGGCTGTTCTTAACATACTTTTGAGTTTTTACTTTCAGTTGCATGAAGGTCCTTGTTAATTCATCGCAGCCAATGTGCCGCCTGGAGCTGTAGCGTCTGGAGTTTGTCTGGCTGGTTTTAAAACTCTCCAGGATGTCCAGACAAGTCTTCTAGTTTCTCTGGTGTTAGGGCGTACTCACACTAGGCCCGGTTGCCCCCCCCACCCCTCGCCACAGTTAGGCTACGTTCGGACTGCAGGCCTTAATGCTCAATTCCAATTTTTTTCCCAGATCTGATTTTTTTGTTTGTTTGACATATCAGACTCCAGTGTGAACTGTCCGCGGCCTGAAAGTGACCCGCATGCGCAGAAGAACAACACGACGACACGCAGCAATAGCTGTTGCAGGCTGCAGAAGTAAACAAGGAGCGACAGAGGTTAGCTCTGGTTGGCTCACGGGAGACTCCCGTTTTTTATTGCCCTCTCACGGGTCACATTTCTGCCGAATTGTGACAAGTGTTTATTTCTTTACGGTTTCTGGCGCTGTACAACGCACCTGCCCCACAACTCTCTCCCTCCATATCTCCCTCTCTCCACTGTGTCCACTCAGACAAATACGGATTTCAGGTGTAAGAAAGGGAATTTTTGAACAGATAATAACGAGGTAGAGGAGGAAGAGAGCCACATGTTTAATAATGGCTTTTGTGGAGCTTTGTTCGAGTTCTGTGCTCGGGCATGGTTAGCGAGCAGATGCATACCACGCCGGAGTCCCGCTTAACCGTGCCTCTTCAAGTGGGCCTGGGCAAAGTCCAACGAACCGGACTTTGGAGGGTTAAACGTGCTCGGTCACGGTACGGATCGCCTAGTGTGAGTGCTTGCTTCTTGTTCTGCAGAACAGAACATATCTGATTGTATGGTGTGACGTTTACTTGTAGTCAAGTTAGCTATGCTAAACTGGTTAGCTTAGCTTAGCATGAAGACGGGAAACCGAACTCCTTTATGTAAAGATTTGGTTGGCTGCATGGAAACAAGTTCTCCCTCTAGAAACTGTATTCTAATGGAAAACTAAGGAGCGACATAATGAAACCAAAATTAAAAGTAAAACATCTAAATGTTTATTTTATTTTCCAAACGTTTTTCTCAAAGCAGAACACAGTGATTCATAGAGGAGACATGTTGCCGACAAACAACATGACATTTAATTTAATGTTTAAATTAATTTTAGTAATTGTGTCACGTAATAAAAGTTAGTTTATCAGTCTAGTGTATAGTGAACACTGCATACTGGAGCCTGTTAACTTGTTTTGTAGTGTAATAAATTACCCTATAACATAATGATGATAATAATGTCACAGCGTCTTTCTGTCTGTAAACCAGCAGCATCTTGCTTTGATGTGTTATTATTTGCTTGTGTGTCTCCAATTTAACCACAAAACCCAAACCAAAGTTTTCCATCCATCCTCTAATGCCTTACATAAACAAGCATGTTTTTTCTCTGAATAACCTTTTTGAATTCATTCTTCACTTCAAACAGCGGGGGAAATAAATTTCCATTATTCCTTCAGCCGTCCCCGTTCAGCGGCGCTTCATTGTGCTCGCTGTAATGTGACTGTAATCTGCTGCTGTGTATGAATGGGGCTTTATCAGAGCGGGGGAAAGTGTCTTCTTACAGGTTGTGTTGCAGTGGGTATTGAGCTCATTAAATGCTCTCTAATTCACTCTGTTCTGCTGCCGTCCGCGGCTCCGTGGCACCGTTCAATTATTATTCAAATGGGGGGGAACACACTCAACGGAGGCCCGCAGAGACTTGGCACTTTTTATGACTGAGGCCGAATGCAGCTCGCAGTTTTGGTTGGGAAGCTGAAAATCAAAAATGCCTTTTGTGTTCAGTGGCTATGGCGAGGTTCACAGAGCCATGAACACTGAACGCCCCAAGAGAAGGATTTTAATCCTCACTAGCTGCTCTGTTGTTTGTTCAGCCTGACTGAACGTTAAAGGTCCCATGAAATGTCTTGAGTCACCGTTTGATGTGACGTTGCATTAAACAGGAAGCTGGTGGAAGAAGTACTCAGATTCTTCAGTGAATATAACCAATACAACCAGGGTGCAATTTTGTGAAAAAGGCAGAGGTTTTTGGTTTGTTTTTTCATTAAAATAACCACTTTGAGGGGAGGATATAATTTGTTACCGGGGATTAAAATTATTCAGCAGAGGCAGGGATATACAAGGGATAGATGCAAATCGCATCCTGAATATAATATAAAATACTTAATTACACGCAAAGGTCCTGCTTTCAAACCCTGCATAAGTAAGAGTATTATCACTTCCAGGTAGTAAAAGTACTGGTTCTGTAGTAAAGTGTCTGCTGTGAATGATATCTGATTCTATCTGACATTAGATTATTAGTACTGTTGCATCAATGTTAGAACTGTTGTAGCTATTTGAGGTGGAGCTTGTTTTACTGCTATATACTACTGTATATAAAGTAGTTAAAACTATCTGTATGTAGATATAACTAGCTAACTGTATAAAGCAGTTATAACTAATGTTAGCTGACTGTATATAAAGTAGAAAAACTGAGCTGAAACTAGCCGACTGTGCATTAAGCGGTTGAAACTAGCCGACTGTGCATTAAGCGGTTGAAACTAGCCGACTGTGCATTAAGCGGTTGAAACTAGCCGACTGTGCATAAAGGAGTTGAAACTAGCCGACTGTGCATTAAGCAGTTGAAACTAGCCGACTGTGCATTAAGCAGTTGAAACTAGCCGACTGTGCATTAAGCAGTTGAAACTAGCCGACTGTGCATTAAGCAGTTGAAACTAGCCGACTGTGCATTAAGCAGTTGAAACTAGCCGACTGTGCATAAAGCAGTTGAAACTAGCCGACTGTGCATAAAGCAGTTGAAACTAGCCGACTGTGCATTAAGCAGTTGAAACTAGCCGACTGCGCATAAAGGAGTTGAAACTAGCCGACTGTGCATTAAGCAGTTGAAACTAGCCGACTGTGCATTAAGCAGTTGAAACTAGCCGACTGTGCATAAAGCAGTTGAAACTAGCCGACTGTGCATTAAGCAGTTGAAACTAGCCGACTGTGCATTAAGCAGTTGAAACTAGCCGACTGTGCATAAAGCAGTTGAAACTAGCCGACTGTGCATAAAGCAGTTGAAACTAGCCGACTGTGCATTAAGCAGTTGAAACTAGCCGACTGTGCATTAAGCAGTTGAAACTAGCCGACTGCGCATAAAGGAGTTGAAACTAGCCGACTGCGCATAAAGGAGTTGAAACTAGCCGACTGTGCATTAAGCAGTTGAAACTAGCCGACTGTGCATTAAGCAGTTGAAACTAGCCGACTGCGCATAAAGCAGTTGAAACTAGCCGACTGTGCATAAAGGAGTTGAAACTAGCCGACTGTGCATTAAGCAGTTGAAACTAGCCGACTGTGCATTAAGCAGTTGAAACTAGCCGACTGTGCATTAAGCAGTTGAAACTAGCCGACTGTGCATTAAGCAGTTGAAACTAGCCGACTGTGCATTAAGCAGTTGAAACTAGCCGACTGTGCATTAAGCAGTTGAAACTAGCCGACTGTGCATAAAGGAGCTGAAACTAGCCGACTGTGCATAAAGCAGTTGAAACTAGCCGACTGTGCATTAAGCAGTTGAAACTAGCCGACTGTGCATTAAGGAGTTGAAACTAGCCGACTGTGCATAAAGCAGTTGAAACTAGCCGACTGTGCATTAAGCAGTTGAAACTAGCCGACTGTGCATAAAGCAGTTGAAACTATTAAGCAGTTGAAACTAGCCGACTGTGCATTAAGGAGTTGAAACTAAAAAATAAGGACGAGAGGAGCAAGCTGCTTGCTGTAGCTGAGCTCCAATAGAAACTTTTAGATGTCGTGTAGTGATACTGTTTTGTCTCAGGACTGGAGAGTGATATTGGAAAGAATTGAATCAGTGGTATTGAACAAGCAGATATATTCCATCTGCTGTTTTCCTGTACGTATCTCACTCTTCTGTACCTTCTTCCCACAGACGACCATAAGTTCAGCGAGGCTACAGCGGTGCTGTTCACCTGGATCGACCGGGGCGAAGTCAACCGCAGAACCGCCAATCACTTCTACTCCATGATCCAGTCGGCCAACAGCCACGTTCGTCGGCTGATGGGTGAGAAAGCTCAGCATGAGGAGGAGATGGAGCGCGCCAAAGAGACGTTCAAGAACGCCCTGATGGCCATATTAACACAGTGTAAGGAGACTTTATTATTTCAAACACAAACAGTCGTACAGACAGAACACATGTGGGAAATTGTTCCTGTAACCTTGGCTGTGCAGTTATTCAGGTAAGTTTGACTCATGACGTCCATTTTTCATAATTCATCATCATTTTGAAGAGGAACCTTACAGTTACAGAAAATGTACCTAATAAATTGGTAACTGAGGGTCTATCTGAGGGGGCATCTCCTTCTCATTCCCACGGCATCACACATAGATGCTTTGTCACATCCTTCGGTATCTGGTACCAATGCACATGACAGCTTTAGCGTCATAGCTCAACGCCCTGGGGGGGTAGCCCTTTAGTAGTTTAACGTTAAAAGTTTTCATAACCAGAAAAGTCAGAGTAAACAGGTGGTTGGGGTCGACGGGTGAGTCAGAAACGAGACTTTCATCCAGGTGACGGGTATTTGTTTACAGTGTGAAACAAAAAGTCAACAGTGATTCTTTTTAGTGACATAATGTAGGTAGAATTACTTATGTAATTTAAGTCACATGTAAGTTACCTACCTAAGGGACTTAACCAAGTGGTTTTGGTGCCTAAACCTAATCAAGTGGTTTTGGTGCCTAGACCTAATCAAGTGGTTTTGGTGCCTAGACCTAATCAAGTGGTTTTGGTGCCTAACCCTAATCAAGTGGTTTTGGTGCCTAACCAAAGAGTTTTGGTGCCTAAACCCGATCAAGTGGTTTTGGTGCCTAACCAAAGAGTTTTGGTGCCTAAACCCGATCAAGTGGTTTTGGTGCCTAGACCTAATCAAGTGGTTTTGGTGCCTAACCCTAATCAAGTGGTTTTGGTGCCTAAACCTAATCAAGTGGTTTTGGTGTCTAAACCTAATCAAGTGGTTTTGGTGCCTAACCAAAGATTTTTGGTGCCTAAACCCGACCAAGTGGTTTTGATGTCTAGACCTAATCAAGTGGTTTTGGTGCCTAGACCTAATCAAGTGGTTTTGGTGCCTAAACCTCATCGAGTGGTTTTGGTGTCTAAACCTCATCGAGTGGTTTTGGTGTCTAAACCTCATCAAGTGGTTTTGGTGCCTAACCAAAGAGTTTTGGTGCCTAAACCTAATCAAGTGGTTTTGGTGCCTTAACCTAATCAAGTGGTTTTGGTGCCTAAACCTAATCAAGTGGTTTTGGTGCCTAAACCTAATCAAGTGGTTTTGGTGCCTAGACCTAATCAAGTGGTTTTGGTGCCTAAACCTAATCAAGTGGTTTTGGTGCCTAACCAAAGATTTTTGGTGCCTAAACCCGACCAAGTGGTTTTGGTGTCTAGACCTAATCAAGTGGTTTTGGTGCCTAGACCTAATCAAGTGGTTTTGGTGCCTAGACCTAATCAAGTGGTTTTGGTGCCTAACCAAAGATTTTTGGTGACTAAACCTAATCAAGTGGTTTTGGTGCCTAAATCTGACCAAGTGGTTTTGGTGCCTAAATCTGACCAAGTGGTTTTAGCAGTACTTGATTTAGTAAGTAACTTGACCGAGGGGCCCTACACATACAAAAATGATGCTAAAGAGTACCCAAATTGTTAAAAGCGATGCCAAGGGTTCTTGACAAGGCATCCATATGTGACACCCTGGGGATGAGAACGTGTTGGAAGTAAAGCTGATTTGCAGAATTTAAACAGAAATCAGTCCAATTTAAATTATCCCCAACTCTAGACTACAGAGGCTATATATAAAGGTACATGAAAAGGTCATAGGTCAACATTTTTTGCTGTATGTATGATAAAAGACTGATTGAGTTGCACAGTTGGAGTTATTACAGAATGTGTTAATCCCATATGCAGAGCTCACCTTTAATACTTTTGTCATATAATCCGGAGTAATTTCCTGGATTTGACCAACGTTATGGACAAAAACAGTGTGACAGCTGGTACAGACAGCAAGGCTTTTAAGTAAAATTAATGTGGCAGTATTGTTATCATTTGAGATTATTTTAAAAATAAATACACCCCCCGTTTTATCCCATCACCACCCCGTCACAGTCCCTCGCGCTGCCGCAGGGCGTGGTGCAGATTACGGAGGGTGCAGACCATGAAGCCATTTTAAAGCCTCGATGCAAGTCATTTACTCTGCGAGCATCTCATCCCAGTCTCCATGACAACACTCCCTCATCCGTCTCACCATCAGCTCCGTTATCTTCAGCTCACTGTGAAGGTGGTGATTAGGTCAGTCGCACGGAGGTTTCAGAGTCAGTAGTGAGAACGTGCCAACACACAGACTAAAAACACCAGCTGGTGTTTTTTTAATGCCTGGTGCTCTGAGAAAAGGTTCAGTCACTGCACGACATCTTTACATTTAAAGCTGCATTAAGTGATTTCTGACCACAAGGGGGCAGAAAAACTCTTGGAAACACAGCGGTGTTGCTCTCGGCTTGTCCGAGTTTGTTTTCTGGAAACATATGTGCGGGTTATATAAAACTGAACATAGCACTTTTCTTAATATATGTTCCAAAGTTTCCCAAAGAAACAAAAAAAGGAGCATCGGAAACTATGAAATGGAATCATAAACCACAGAGCCAATAAAACCCTGACTAGATTAAAAAAAACGTGTTGCTCAGCAGTTACGCCACCAAAATGTGAGTTGGCGGTGGAGTTTCTTTGTTCCACTGGGTTGACTTCTGCCGACCGAGACTGCTAACTTCCAGCTTAGTCCCTCGCTATGTTGTATGGGGGGGGTGAAAACTCAAATCGTGCGGCTCTTAAAGACTTTCCAAATGTTATCGAGGGGCCTTCAGATTGACCTTCATCATTAAAAGAAAAAATATTCAGCTAGCGTAAGAGTACAAAGATTTGCATGGCAGCCAGAGAGCCAAAACTAGCATCTCCAAGGGTTGGTGATAATTCTCAGTGCTGTTTTGTTCACTGTAGACAAAAATATCACTTAATGCCACTTTAAAAAGGCAAGTCTTTCACGCCAGAGGACTGCTGAGGGGTAAGTACAGTGCAGTCACAGGTCTGTTTGTCCACATACGTCTTTGTGTCTTCATTTCTATGGGAAACTGTTTTAACACGTATTCCTTAAAACTTACCAGTGAATATTCTAATACTTATTTATTAGTTACTGATAACTATTTTTTAGTTACTTGTAAGTAATTGCACATTTTGGCATAGAATCTATGAGCCTCTACAGTAGAGATATCACCTTCCATTAGTTACTAATAACTATTTCTATTTTACTTGTACCTATAATTTAGATACTAGTACTTAGTTTTTTATTGATAACTATTCTGTTCTAACTATTAAGAATTAAAATGTTACTATCAACATTAATAAATTCACTAGTTACCCAAAAATATGTACTAGTAGGAATGAATATGTTACTTGTGACTAATGAGTAGGTTCTAGTAAAATGGAGATAAGTTACTAGTAACTAATAAATAAATACTAGGAGCTTTTAAATAGTAAGTTTTGAGGAATGAAATTTAAAATGGTTTGCCATACATTTGTTTCTGGGTGATCAGATCTCAGTACAGATGTTGAAGTCTAAACGATGCTAGTGTCAGAATTGTTTTAGTTTGACAGCAAAACGAAATGTCAAAGCAAATCTTTGAAAGGCAGCATTTTAATTCAGAATGTTTGATTTTTAAAAACAGCACTTTAAAGTCATTACATTACAACTTCCTTACACGTAATGTGACACGAGACGACACTCATCTTGTGTCTGAAGATCAGCATCCATCCTGAATAAATGCTGCCTTTGTCAGTCCTGAAGGAAGCGAAGCTGCGGGTGATGTAAGTACAGAGCGCCGGCCAGGAGAGACCTGCTCATCCCGTGACACACATCGCAGGCCGAAATATAACAACACAATTCATCTGTTTTTTGGGGACGCTAACTAATAATCTGTTGGTTCCAATCCGTTTTCCTCCCTGAATCAAACTATTATTTTGCATTCAGTCTGATTTCCTATAATAACATTTGCTTTATTTATTCTGCAGATAAAAGTGATGTTTTAATGAAACATTTGGGACTTTGCTTCACATACGGTCATCATCTGCTCAGCGAGTCTCTGCAGGAGTTCAGAGGAGCACCGCCTGTAGTTTAAGTCTGCAGACGAGCATGGCTGCTTTAGCTTCACACTTGCATAAAGAATATCTATTAGACCAGCCTCGGCTCTGGAACGATTGTGGGGAGGGTGACTCGGACCCAAAATCGGCACTAGTATCCTGGTCTGTACAGCAAGGTTTCAGATATTTATTCAACATTTAGGTAAATCGACTCGGTAGCTCAGATACTCGATATTAAAAGTCTTTGATCTGGGCCAAAAAAGCTTGATCCCTTGAACGAACCTTCATGGAGTTTGACCTGAGCAGATGATGCCCGTTTTCCTTTTTGGAGTGAAGTGTCCACAGCAGGCGGCCGTCCTGCTGCGTCCACCAGGCTGTGGTCCGTGAATGTGCACAGTCTCTCCTGTGCCCGCTGTACGAGCCTCAGTCAGTGCTACAACGCTACATAAACGGCTTGTTTTGTCTTGACCCTCCTCCCTTCCTCCTCCTCCTCCTCCTCCCTGTTCACCCCAAAGTCGAGCAGATCACCACCGTTTTCAGCGCCGCCACCAGGCAAAAGGCGTGGGACCATTTCTCAAAAGCACAGCGCAAGAACATAGACATTTGGCGCAAGCAGTGTGAGGTTGGTAAACCTTCTTCTGTTCTCTCCTCCCTCCCCGGCGCACTGCTTTTCTTCTCTGCTGTCATTTCTGAGTCCGCAGGAGAGCTGACAGACAGCCCTGCAGGATCTGTTGTGTTCGCTGCCCTTGTTGTTGTTGTTTTTCTGGATGCTTCGCCCTCGCAGACAGACAGACCGACACCCGCCTCTGATCTCTTTCTCCCTGCAGCAGAGATGTAAAGCACAGATCTGACGCCTCCTGGAAAGTGCGAGGCGCTGCTATGGCAACAGTGATTTCCAGGGTTTAACTCTCTGATCAATTATTCATCCAGAGTCAAATCTAGATAACGAGTACGAACACGAGAATGTTGTGTTTATAGGAGGGAGGATTTGTCCGTTGTCAGCAGCCTGTTGCTCCGTGGGGAGTTTAGTTCGGTCGACCCAAAGTGTGGCACAGAAATAAAAAAGCAGATCCAACAAAGAAAAATTAAACAAAACACAACATTTCTTTGTTGGATTTGTTTTTATCTCTGCCTTTTAAATCTTCCGTAGCCAAAATCTGAAGCTCTGAGACGACTCTGTGTCACCACTAAGAATATTTTTGGTTTGAAAGAGAGGTAAGAGACACACCTGTGGAGACACAGTGCAGCAGTCCCATTGTGAAAGCCCCTCTAACGGCTAGCATCTGTGGTAAGTCTACATGTCTCTATAGCAACACGCCGCACACATCTCCTCTGTGGAAATGAGCATTATTCTGTCAGAAATGTGCTGCGAGATCTCAGTAGGCAAATGAAAAGATAATGAATATGGCAGCTGTAAAGACATCTGATTATCCCAGAGGGCTTCGGCAGCAGTGATGCAGGCAGGCCGAGGCGCTCTGCTCTCATTTCTTACTATTTACTCCACTTTACGAATGCCTTTAGTTCATAAGAGCAGTTACGGCGTGGTAAACACTTTAATACGTGATCCGACTTTTCAAATAAGTAACTATTTTGGTTATTGAATAACTGCTGAGGTAACTTTTTCCCAACCAGGATGCATACTTACAACAAACTGCATCAAACAAGGATGCATGACACACAAAAGTAAACCGACATTAGACATCAGCAGGATGAAAATATAAGTCACATGATGTTTAACACGTGGTAAATGTTGGTAGTTAGGTTTAAGAAAAGATCGTGGTTTAGGTTACAAAAAGTACATTACGTTAAGTTACGTAATGTCACGCAAGTAATGTAACCATGAGTAACGTGACATAAGTAACGTTAAGTAACATGATTTAAGTAATGTGAGCGGTAACAACATAAATAATGTTAAGTAATGTGACGTAAGTGAAGTTAAGTAACGTGATGTAAGTAACGTTAAATAAGGTGATATTAGTAAGGTGGCGCAAGTAACATGGCGTAAGTAACATGGCGTAAGTAACGTGACGTAAGTAACGTTAAATAAGGTGATATTAGTAAGGTGGCGTAAGTAACATGGCGTAAGTAACATGACGTAAGTAACGTGAGAGGTAACGACATAAGCACATGACTTAAGTAACATTAAGTAACGTAACATTAAGTAACGTTAAATAAGGTGATATAAGTAACGTGACGTAATATTAACTAATGTGACACAAGTAATTACGTACGTAACGTTAAGTAACGTGGCGTAAGGAACATAAGTAATGTGACGTTAAGTAACGTGAGAGGTAACGACAAGTAACATTAAGTAACGTGACGCAAATATTGTGACACGACGTAAGTAAAGAGAGGTACCTGTCGTAAGTGACGTAACTCCTCTACATTTATCTTAAAACGTGAACTTTTAACTTTCTGTATCGTTTTAGTGTAGTTGTTTTTGTCTACACCACAGAGGTACTGGACTTTGTGTAACACTGCAGACTGGAAGCATGATCCACTGATAGCACCATGAAGTGAGTGTTTGCTGTGTTGAGTTCAGGAACCATCGGTAAATGCACCACCGTTGAATGTGTCCTACATGTCCTCGCTCTGCACTGTGGGATTTGAAACAAACAAGGACGTCATACTGTCTTTAAGAAGGTCTGCCATAGTTTTAGTAAGGTAGTGTAGTGTAGACCAGCTGGTACTCTGGTAGCTGGTCTACACTACTCTACCTTACTCTGGGTCATATTACTGATAGCGCTTTGTGTGTAATCCTTTTATCGTGTTAGAAACACCAGCTGAACTCACCACAGTCCCTGTGTGTGTTTCCTGTTTGTGTAGTGCTGTGAGGTCTGAATACAGATTTCCTTTTATGTTCAGATGTTTATTGATTTCACTACCAAATGTCCAACAGGTAACACATTTTCTACGTTAGTTAATAAATGTCAGTAATTAAAGTTATATACCATTTAAGAAACAGATTTTATGGGTTGCTGTAGAGCAACCACTACTAGAACAATACATGTATAACAATTTGAAACTTTGAGATAAAAAGCATCGCCTTAGTTTATATAAATAACTTTTGTACCTTAGTTAATCACCGACACCCCACCGCTGCGAGCTTACTACTACAGTAAATATGGCACCATTGGTAGCGTCTATAGAGGCATTAGGCGACATGCTGGTGGTGCTGAGGACGGCGTCTGGTTGTTTCAGGAGCTGAGAAACGCCCACAGCGAAGAGATCATGGGCATCCGACGGGAGGAAGAGATGGAGATGTCAGATGACGACTTGGATGAAAATCCTTGTAAGAGGATGCGCACTGAAAATGGTACGTTACATTTCATAAACAAACTTGAAACTCAGGTTTTCTTCTTTCTACAGCTGACATGTCAAAGTGTTTTAACATCCACTCAGAGGCTGGAAGCTCAATTAGATTTATGTAGAATTCTCCCCTCGTTTCCTCCCCTCTCCTGCTGCAGGAGTGTATGATCAGACTCAGGCGTCTCTGAAGGAGGAGAACGACTCCCTGCGTTGGCAGCTGGACGCCTACAGGAACGAGGTGGAGCTTCTGAGAAAGGAACAGAGCAAATCCAGCCGACCAGAAGAAGATCAGTCACATGGTGCTGAGGCTCAGATCCAGAGGCTGCAGCAGAGCATGCACAGCATGCAGCAGGTGGGCTCCTCTTCGTCATCTTCATCTGTCTTTAACACCCACACGGGGAGGGAGGGGAGTTTGTTTTGTACGTAGAGGAGCTGCTAAGAGACTTTATATCCTAACGTTACGCCAACACCAGGCATGCAAACTGGTCAGGGGTAAAAAAGGTGAGAAGAATACGCAAGCAGAGAAACGCACAGTGTCAGAGGGGTCTTTTTTTATGCTTACATGTTGTATAGATAACGTGCGTTCGTCTACTGCAACAAGAGAAAGATACGCAAGGGCGTCACTTTGTGATGAAAAGTCATGGGGACCTAAGGGCTCGGATTAGGGACGTGGTGATGCACCATACTGCTGTCACGAGAACGAGATGTGATGATAAATCAACAGTATTAAATAGAAATCATCAAGGCTGAAATATGTGAGTTATAAAAGGGGAGTATAAAACACTTAATTCACTGCATTCTGGCAACATTTCCTGTTCTGTCAATTTATGATGGAAATGTTTTTGTTTATGTAAAAGGAAGCACAAAATTCAGGTGGCAGGTGACGATGTGTTGCGTTCACACGTTTCTCCTGCAGATCAACGTATTCTCATGTAATATCCTCCCTGCACACATGCAGGCATGTTTTAGTCTTCGCTCCTCTTTTGTCACGTTCACAGGGAGAGAACGGAAAATTTGGCCAAATAGAAAATGTGATCTGACGGGTGCTGCACGTTTAATCAGTAGCTTGATTTATCTTATGCAAATAAACCTTTCTCAAAGCACTTACCCCCCCCACACACACACCTTGGCGATGCATTCTGCATGCCTGCAACACAAGAAACTTCTCACCCTCATTTCCGCTGGCGTCTTCCTGCAACAACTCGCCTCTCACGAGAGTTCAGAGCGAGAAGGGTCCTTTAGCGAGACTTCAGTTACACGTTTCCCTCGCAGGGATCCTTTAACAATGTTGTCAGACACCAGGTGCAACAGTCTGAGCCTGTTGCTGGCGACAAGAAAATCTTTCTGTGGACGCTATTTTGACAAAGGAATAAACTGCAGCTGCTGCACGGATTAAAAACAGTTTCAACACTGTGGAAGTAGACCCAGGTTTAAATATACAGAATTACAGCCGGCCTGCAGGGTTTGGAAGTGACCCAAACGTTTCCCGTGCGAGTTGCCAGGCTGGTGATCACGTGACTGGGGAGCTCTCTCCTCTTCCCTCGAGCAAGACTCTGTAGATGTGTGAAAGTTCTGACAGGCTGTTATCAATAAAGAGCAGGGAGGTGAGTTTACTTTCCCCGAGCAAATAAAACCCCCTTTGTTTCCACTGCTCACACCTCCCATGGTCCTTCACTGCACTGATTTCATAAACCAGCACAGGGAGCTGTGTTCGTTTGGCCTGATCTGACTCGACTTCCTGTCTTTCTCCATCTAAAGTGACGGCACTAATGGAACGAGACACATTAGACACAACACACACACCCTGCTGGCTTGTCGTGTGCGTGTGTGTGTTGCTTACTTGACTTCTACCCGTGTGAGAAAGCGTCACGCTGCTGTCGCTTCTCGTTTGTCTCCTGCTGTGGTTTCTCTTCCCTCCGTACAGACGAGCCGACGTGACAAACACAATAAGTGTTTTACAGAGATAAATATTTCCTGAAAGTATTTTATTAGTTTTATGATGAAATGAAACACTGAGGAAAAAAATGTTTAAATACGGAGTTAATTAAGATAAACAGACGTGTAGAGGGAGAAAGCAGTTTGATACAAATGAGAGTTGTGGTCATGAAATCTGTCCCATCAGACAGGAGAAGACGCGACGCTGAGCGAACGCACATCATCTCAGCTTCAATCACTCTCTAAAAATAAATCTAATGGCTTCCTACATAATCAGCTGTTATATGTAAAAGGCCTAAAAAAAACACTCGAGCCTTCAGATGACGTTTCTCCTGTGAACGACTTATTTCAGCCTGGCGCTCTTTGAAAATCTCATTAGTCACGTCATTAAGGCTGCATCATTAAATCTGTCTGAAAGATAAATATGTGTTTTTGTCTTCCAGCAACTGCTGAGCCTGCAGGAGCAGCTGGCGAGTAAAGAAGCCGAGCTGGAGCAGGCAAGAGAGGAGCATCGCTACCTGGAGGGGGAGGTGCTCACGCTACGAGACAAGGTGCGTAGTCCCACCTACAACCAGGAGTTCTTCGGATTAATCCAGGCTGTTACGTCTAATAGAAAATATAATAAATATCTCGAGTTACAGGCGCTCCAGTCCACCTCGTGGACTTCAGATCCAGTTGAGTCAAAACCAGGTTAAGAAGGAAAATCTTTGTGGTCCTCTCCTGAATGTTTCCCTAGAATGGTAAAGAGATGTTTGCCAGTTGTAGTGGTGATGTAATCAAATCAAATTCAAAACGCTGTCAGCTGATTATCCATCAGTCTGTCTTCAGTTCGACTGTCAGAGTCCAAAACGTATCATAAGACAGTACGACACACATGACCGGTCCCCAAAACGACACGTACGAGCGTTGGCACGTACCGGTCCGGCGACCGGACGGACCTTCAGTACGTTTTAGTTTGGTGAGGTTTCTGCGCTGGAGACGCTGGAGACATGTCCCCACCACTGCATGAAATGGCTGATTTTGTCTTCATCACTTTTTGAAAGCATAATTTAAGAATGTTCACCTACATCTAAAAATGTAGTTTGCACCCATGAAAAGTGTTTTTCATTTCAAAAAAAGGTTTGTTTGCACAATAACAAAACATTCAATGCAATTTAAATATAGAAGAAACAATTGTCCAAAAAACAAAAGAAAATAACCTACTGATTCTAAAACGTCCACCGATCAGTAACTTTAACAAATTCTTGCAGGAAATTCAGTCCAAGATTTCTCTCCCTGTGAAGCAGAGTTGGTTTTGTGACGTCTTTAATTTAACGTGAATGTAAGGTTAGCTTATTATGTTTAGCTAACACTGTTAACGTTTAGTCGTTTTTATGTTGTCATGTTTTAGGGCAGCGATGTTAGGACAGGTTATCCTGGGCTCACTTAAATGCGCTGCCAAATCTCTCTGTGAAACTATTAAACGCTTTAAACGTTCGGTTCCTCGAGCTGCAGTTGGTCTTTAGTCTCTGCTTCTTTCACCAGCTGTTTAATCAGACTCAGTCGTGGAGGCGTTGGCTGGCGTCCTTTGGCTGAAGTGTTTTCAGAGTACAGACTTTGTGGATGCAGAACGTGTATTCGTGTTCCCGACCAGCTGACAGAGGAGATAAGAGGATGTGACGCAGCGCAGATGTTTTAACCTTTGAAGTCGGTTTAGGTAGTCGTGGTCCTGACATCAGCGAGCCACGCCCTGTACAACAGTAACGTGTGCTGCGCCATCAGAGACGCCAAGCGTGCATTGTCTTTTACAGGGCCAGTTTCTCTTCTGTGGCTCTGCAAACAAACACACAGGTTTAAAGTGATGAAGGGGTTTCAAGGACAGCAGGGCTGCTATGGCAACAGCCAGGATGTTGTTCTGCGGTCTCCTGCTGAGAGGTGAGTGGTTTGACCGGAGACATGATGTGAGTGGTTTATAAATACCTGTGTGGACCAGGGTTAGTGGTGAAACCAGTGTTGGTGAAGTTACTTAAAAGGGGACCTGGTGGTTTTCTGTACTGGCGCAGTGCCCGTCCACAGGAGCCAATGGGGCGCAATTCAAGTTCATAGTTCAGTCCACTATATTTATTCATTCTAAACGTGTCTAAACTGCGCTCCCTTTGGTCTGCAGCAACACACCCGCCACACGTGAGGTGGACCGGATGAACAGTTCTTGATGTAATCTAAATACGAACAGAGATTCCTGCCTTAATTAGAGAGATGCAACAATGTTGGATGTTCATATTATAAGCTCAGGCTTTAGCCTGCTCTGAATACTTTATTTCAGCAATGCTGCCTCTGATTGGCTAGTACTCGTTGCCTCTGTTGGTTAAGGTCTGTTAAGGTAATGGTCAGTTAATCAAAGTAGGGGGCAGGACTCGGCCCAGAGCCGCAGGGTTGTCCAGCAAAGAAAGGAAGGTTGAACCTCTTTCAGCCTTTGCTGCAATGCAGCATCATCCGGTAAGGCGCTGTGGTGGCCAATCAAATGGCAGCGTTCCTGGTGGATAACTTCGCAGCAGGAGCTTCGTATTGCTGCTGTGCACCCCCCGCTCAATGCACCAAAAGTTAAAATAGTTACCACCTGGGTAACTTTCCCAACTGCTGTGCAGCGTTTTGGCATCTGATGATTGTTCAAATTCAAAGATCGGTTACTGCTGTAAAACTGGACTTGCTGGATTCCTGCATTGTTTTATCACATGAACCCCGAAAGTCTAAATGGGGTTGAGTTAATACAGTGTCCACACACCTTCAGCAAAGCCAACATGTGTAGTTACGTGAGTTTTCTCCATCTTCAGAAATGTTTATCCTTGTGTTGGTTAAATCCAGGTATTTTTCATCTTTGCTCTTTATGGAAATTGATGTCAATTTTCCTCCAGCGTGAGTCTATTGAGTCTTTGAGAATCACACAGCAGCTCAGCTCGTCTTTACAAGAGACGACACAAGCAGGGCTTGAATAAAACATTCAGCTGCAGCGTTATTTTGGTTTGACATAATGCATCTGTTAATCCAGGAGAGGAGAGGGCAGGCAGGAGGTCTGGAGGGCGAGCTGAAGGTGGTGAAACATGTTTTATTCAGAGGTTTAACAGATCAGATTTAAAGGTGATACAGCTGCTGCAGCATCCCACAAATAACCTGCGGTTTCCGAGCGACGTCAGATCCGAACACACGCCGGGGGAAAAAAAATATTCGAAATGACGTAATCAATCATCTCCCTACAGTGCTGCGTGAATTCAATTTGTTAAATGCTCCGTACTTGTATAGCACCTTTCTAGTCTTTTCAACCACTCAAAGCGCTTTTACACACATTCATACACTGGCGGAACAGCCGCCAGGGGCAATTCGGGGTTCAGTATCTTGCCCAAGGACACTTCGACATGCAGCCTGGGGGAGCCGGTTTGAACCGCCGACCTTCCGATTACCAGGCTACCCGCTCTACCTCCTCCACAGCCGCCCTGTGGTTCAGCCATGTTGGTCATGAATTTGCATGACAACAATATTGGCAAAGAATTAATTTTATATATTTCATTAAATAAGAAAATAAAACAGTAAAAGTTTTTGAGTGTGTTCATAAAAGATAATAAATATATTTAAAAAATATCTAAAGTAAAAATTGCGTAAAAATAAATATTTAAAATAAAAGTTAATAAATCAAACAGTAACGTGTGTTTAGTAATAGACAAAAGAACAAACAACTAAAAAGTCCGTATCAAATGTGACATTTAAAAACAAAGTACAAATTGAGGAACAATTACTAAAATATCAAACAATCAAAATATTTTCAACATTAGTACAATTATTTATCAGTCTGAGTTTCCACTGGTTGTCCTCAGTTCGTGGGATGAGGAGATTTGTTTTGCAGCATTTCTCCCAGTAAATAGGTGCGTTTCTGTGAGTCGAATTCGATTTCAGGTATATTTGCGTAAATCAATCTATAGAAATCAACACGCTTCCAGTCGTGAGATCTGAACGCGTCTGTTTTTTCCCCGTGTTGTGCCACAAGGCTGCAACTGCATCAAGCACCATGTTAGTGCAGAGCACATGATATTGTTTTGAGGGACAGCTGAAGAAGGATGGAGCATACTTGGAGATTAAGTGTCCTCAGAAGAGGCCGCAAGCAATTTTCGAAGACTGTTGGTAACCCGTTCCACCAATCTGGATTGAGATTTCCCGCCTCGCCGTTCATTTGCAGATCGTAGTGAACGAAGGAGTTCAGCGCAAACCAGACACGTGTTGAGTTTGTGTCCTGTTCCGTGTTAAAGCCTTAGGAGAGTGAAGGTTCAGGAGACCCTTAATGTTTCCACGGCCTCACACCTCAGTTTCCCATTTCCATCCATCATGCATGTTTTTGATGTCGCCGTTAATAATTGATCAGATGAGTGTTTCTCCAGTGTGCAGACGTAATGGACCGACACGCTCTGCAGTGTATTATTGACTTTCCTCTGTAGGAAGTCTTGAGCCTGTTTTCATTCTCCTCTGACAGAGTCATCTATAAAACAACAGAAAACAAACTGGATTTTTTGTTCTCACGCTGGGTTTTCACTGCGACTGATCAGTTGTCCTCTTGTCTGTCTCTGCAGCTGCTGGCCAGTAACGGCGAGGCTGTGGAGGGAACCAATGGAGAGCTACATGAAAAGGTAAACAAACACATCAGAGCCGGCTTTAAGTAAAAGTTTAATTTCTTTTAGGAATCAGTTTTGTTTATAGCTGAGAGACCGTGGCTTCAGACATTTTTCAAGTGAAAACATTCGTGCTACAAAAAGGTTTTTACCCCTTTTACCACACTTGAACACTCAAAAACTAATATACCATGTGTGTTTCGGAACTGGCCAATAGGGAGCCTGAGCCCCTCCCGTTCTGGTGGACCGCCGTGGGACCTTATTTTGGAAAAAATATGTACTAAGGTCAACGGCGAGATAACACTAATGTTTAGATACCGTTTGAGTTGAGTCCTGAATTACACACACGATGTTTCAGTTTAAAAGTCGTAAAACTGTTGGAGTGTAAGACGTGCATCCCTGTTCCTGGTCAAATGTTTCTGCACCACTTTATGGTGGAAAAGTTTTTATTTATGTGAAGGAAAAAAAATGAACTTCAGGCTGCAGGTGACGATTCAAGTCAGCAGATATTAAATAAGCTACAGGAGGAACAGATCTGAGAGCTGCACTGAGTCCTGGTTCAGCCTTCCCTCCTCTTTGTTTGGGGAAGATGTCTATGAAGATTCTCAGTCATCCAGGTCATAGTTCTCCAACGAAGGTTAAAATCTAGGGCAACTTGGTTGAAGATACTGGAAGACGTTTCGTCCCTCATCCAAAGGACTTCTTCAGTTCTGACTGACTGGCAGGGAAACTCAGCTATTTAACCTCAGTGGGGTCGTTGGCCCGGGTCATCGATACCGCTGGTTCGTTAGTGTTCCTGGTTGCTGTAACGACAGTCGTTAGGACTACCGGTGGCCGAGACTGAACGACCATCGTTGGTATCTTCACCTGAGGCCGAGACTTAACGACCATCGTTGGTATCTTCACCTGAGGCCAAGACTGAACGACCATCGTTGGTATCTTCACCTGAGGCCGAGACTGAACGACCATCGTTGGTATCTTCACCTGAGGCCAAGACTGAACGACCATCGTTGGTATCTTCACCTGAGGCCAAGACTGAACGACCATCGTTGGTATCTTCACCTGAGGCCGAGACTGAACGACCATCGTTGGTATCTTCACCTGAGGCCGAGACTGAACGACCATCGTTGGTATCTTCACCTGAGGCCAAGACTGAACGACCATCGTTGGTATCTTCACCTGAGGCCGAGACTGAACGACCATCGTTGGTATCTTCACCTGAGGCCGAGACTGAACGACCATCGTTGGTATCTTCACCTGTGGCCAAGACTGAACGACCATCGTTGGTATCTTCACCTGTGGCCAAGACTGAACGACCATCGTTGGTATCTTCACCTGAGGCCAAGACTGAACGACCATCGTTGGTATCTTCACCTGAGGCCGAGACTGAACGACCATCGTTGGTATCTTCACCTGAGGCCAAGACTGAACGACCATCGTTGGTATCTTCACCTGAGGCCAATAGGTTACGTTTGTTGAGTTTCCTGGGAAGTGATGAAAGGACAGCATTGTAAGTGGGGGATAAGTGGTGGCGTAGACCCCCTCCCCTGTTCAATGACGGCTTCTCCACCCTGGTGTAGATGCTTCCTTGACACCTCTTTCAAACCATCCATCTTCTCTGTCTAAAATGTGCACCTGGTGGTCCTCAAACGAGTGTCCTCTGTCCTTCAGATGTAAGTAGACTGCAGAGTCTTGACCTGAGGAGTTGGCCCTTCTGTGTTGAGCCATGCGTTTGTGTCGTGGTTGTTTAGTCTCCCCAATATACAGGTCTGTGCATTCCTCACTGCATTGGACCGCATACACTAGATTGCTTTTCTTGTGTTTGGGTGTGCGGTCTTTGGGGTGGACCAGCATCGACCCCACTGAGGTTAAATAGCTGAGTTTCCCTGCCAGTCAGTCAGAACTGAAGAAGTCCTTTGGATGAGGGACGAAACGTCTTCCAGTATCTTCAACCAAGTCCAGCTGCCCTTGATTTTAACCTTCGTTGGATTTGTTTGGGGAAGTGACCTCTTTAAATGTGACTGTGGCTCCTTTTCACCTCAATTCAGTTAGAAACTCCTGGACTTCAACAGCTCCTGTGTTTCAGCAGATTTTCTGCTCACGTTTAAAAACTTCCTGCACGTTCAGAATCTCTCCCACAGATCTGTGTCCTCTGTCCAGACAAAAGTAATATTACCAGAAGTATAACGTCATTTAATCTGAACGAAATCTACCTTTCCTATACTCTGCTGTGTTACTGCTGCCTAACATGACGAGAAACCTCATCATGTTTTAATCTGGTCACACCCAAAATAATTTTGTATTTTCAGTCTTATACTTCAACAGTTTTACGACAGACTAAGAGTTTGACTCTTTTTAAACTGACAGACATGCTGTATGTAATTACGGGGCACAATTCAAACGGCATCACGGGGGGGGGGGGACATGAACGTCTGACCAACACACAACCAAAGACCGTAACATAGCTTGACTATGCTTTATCTGAGCAGAGGTTGCATAGCAAGAGGTAAACAACTGAACTAGGTTTAGTCTCCAAACCTATTATCTGTTTCCTGACTGTATTATTTAAAAGTACTTTCTGTGTGTGTGCAAACAGAAAAACCTGACGCAGTACATATAAAGCTAACCAGGGTCAGAGGTCAGAGCGCTGCGGTGAGCAGAAACATTAGCGGTAGAGAGAGAGGGGTCAGGTGGGTTCTCGTGGTATCCTCTCAGCACTTTACTGACTTTCAGAGAGGCAGCATGTACACTTCCACACATATATACATATGGCATGGGAGATGAACTGTTAACCCCAAACCTGCTGAACTGGAAACTGGAGGAGGATAAAACGTGCAACACTGAGCTGACCCGTATTCAAACCCTGGAAAGCTATGACGCATTTTATCCGATGTTTGTTGTGTGTGTGAATCAGTGGTAGAAGCAGCACTGGTGCATAAATGTACATGTTTGTTTTCACAGGGGATCAACGGGTGTGTTCCTTCGCTGTACCACAGCAGAGAGAGGAGGAGCGAGGTCATCATGAGAGGCGGCGTCACATCAGAAAAAGAGGCCCTGCTTCTGGGTAAATATAATGTCCGACTGTATCAGCAATAGTGCTGCTTGAAACTTGGGTGGCGAGCTAGCCAGCAACAGACCCAGGAGCACTTGCAGTAATGTTACCGCTGTTTGAGTGATGACTTCGCTTTTATCAAACGCCGGTCTCTTCTATGGAAGAGGAATAGAAGAGCTAGCTTCTTCCAAAAACCTTGCACATTACACACTTGTTGCTGCTTCTTGTAGCTTGCTGAAGAGTTGAGACCGTGCCATAAATCGTAGCCGTGGTAAGTTTCCTGCGTGGGATCTCAGTGTTGGAGCGCAGTAGCTGGCGTAGGGAGCTCTGAGTGGTAATGACTGCAAGTCAGCATAGCGTCAAAATGAATTTAAAGCTTTTATGTTAAGATAAGGCCACAACACATTTTTATGTAGTAAATGTTCTTCCACTTGGTGTTTACCTCTGCCAGGGTGGGTTTCCTGAGCGAACAGTTGATGAAATGCTTTTATTCCTAAAAACTAAGACGTAAAATTTTTGGCCAGTTAGGAGAGATTTCCTTCTCTGAGGTGCTTCATCAGTACGGTTCTGATCTGTCACTCCGACGACCTTCCTGGGTCACGTTTGGTCTCCTCTGAAGGTAGTCCTGGTTTCTGTCTGATAATCCAGTTGACAACAGATGTACAGAACGCGGTTGTTGACTTTGTAGGAATAATTCTACTACAAGTTTCCGACTGAGAACTTCTCTCTGTCGAAGGAAAGTCTTGGTTAACGCTCCAGTCTGTTGCCTCCGGCTCTGCTGCGCTCAGGAATGAAATTAATCTAATTTGGCTGCTGTGTTGACGGAGGCGAACATGCGAGCGCGCTCATTCTCGCTCGGGGCTTTTTGTTTCCAGAACGCCACTCTGGGTAGATTATGCACATACTGGGATCATGAAATCTTGGACTGGAACTTAACTGACGGCTGTTACATCAAATGTAATTTCCAGAGAGCGTGCAGGCGGTGCTACGTACTGGGACGTCACTGGATTGATTGCTTGGTGTTCCCTGTGGAGTGAGTTCAGTGCACAGCGGGGCTCTCTGAGTGTTTGTTAGAATAACATTAAAGATGACTGAACACCCCCACACACACAGATGCAGCGCAGGAGTTGACACTCGAGTCGTTTCAGCTCAGATATCACCGCCATCATGTTCACACGGGCATAAACACACTCTCTGGTGTCTGGGGGTTCGGAGGCCTTTCAGCCAAAACCAGTGAAGCGGACTAAAACCTTGAGCTGGGCTTTCTCTCTCTGATGCTTGTCTCCTTTTTCCTCTTTCTAAGCTTACAAACAAGCGTCTCTTTCAGCAGCTGGACTGAATTAATTTAGTTTCTCTCTGCCGTTTGAATCCTAACGTTGCAGGGCGCATGCAGCAGTGTTGAGAGAAGCTGCTGCTTTATTCCAGAGCCGAGGAGACACAGCAGCACATTTATCTCTCTTAGTGTCTGAGAAAATCCACATATGAAGGAGAGGCGAGGCCGGACTCTCCATCTTCCTCCCTGCTGCTGGGAGCTTCGGCCTTTTCCCCCCCAACACACCATCAAATAAGACTTGCATGCAGTATCTATGCACTCGCAGAAGAGGATCGTGTTGACATGAACTCCTGCATGTAAGAGTGTAATTTAAAACGTCACATCTGCATCAACTCCATGATATACTCTGGTGCAAACATCCATCGCATTTCTGCCTCAACCAGTTAAAGAGTCCTACATGCCATCTCCTACGGCGCCCTTTACTTTCTGCATTTTAGTAATTTAAAGTAACTGCTGTTCAACATCGATCCGCTCAGTTTCCGTCGCCACTGTTTGTGGGAGGCGTTTCCTTTGTGTGACTCCCACAGAGTGACACACAAGTATTTGGCCTCCAGTCTCCTGTTTCTCACAACAGTGAGTGACTTTTCCTGCCCTGGGTCTTGCCTTCCAGGTTCCATTCAGGAAGTGCGTCCTAGCTGGTAGAGGCTGGAAGCAGCTGGTCTGCAGACACATTATTCAGAGGTTAAATAGATAAGGCTCAAAATCCTGAATCTCTATTTAAGTTTAGTAAATATAGTGTAGACAGTGTAGGGATCAGCAGATTTGAGAAATGGACGTCGCAGTTCAAGAAGCTTGATAACACTCTCATATCGGGGAAAGTCCTCGTTCTCTTCAGGAGAGTTTGATCATGAAATTCTCTGCTCACACCAACATTCACTCAGTGGTCACACTGTTCCATGGGAGCAGGCCCCGTGGAAGAAATTAAATTAGGCCCGTCTGTAATTGCCAGCGTTTCGCCACATAAATCAAGGAAATAAATATTGGCTGGGCCAGGTCCTCCAGGGGACATCACTCTAGCCCCTCAACCCCCTCCCTCTCTGCATGACTGCCTACCTCTGCAGGACCTCTCAGAAATAATCAATTCAAGAGGTTTCTGCTCCAGCCAGCGTTTGCTGCAGCCTTAAAGTGCTGCACAGTAAACAGAGCAGCCAGTCAACCTTCACTGATTTAAAAAAAAAAATACACACACACACACCTTACTCAATACTGATGGAAAACCCTCAAGCCAGCCAGCCAGCCAACAGCCCTCCTTCACTTGACGCGTTTTACTCAATACTCACGGAAAAACCTCAAGCCAACAAGCCAGCCAGCGAGCGAGCCAACAAGCCAGCCAGCGAGCGAGCCAACAAGCCAGCCAGCGAGCGAGCCAACAAGCCAGCCAGCGAGCGAGCCAACAAGCCAGCCAGCGAGCCAGCCAACAAGCCAGCCAGCGAGCCAGCCAACAAGCCAGCCAGCGAGCCAGCCAACAAGCCAGCCAGCGAGCCAGCCAACAAGCCAACAGCCCTCCTTCACTTGACGCGTTTTACTCAATACTCACGGAAAACCCTCAAGCCAGCCAGCGAGCGAGCCAGCGAGCCAGCCAGCGAGCCAGCCAGCGAGCCAGCCAGCGAGCCAGCCAGCGAGCCAGCCAGCGAGCCAGCCAGCAACCCTCCTTCACTTGACGCGTTTTACTCAATACTCACGGAAAAACCTCAAGCCAGCGAGCCAGCCAACAAGCCAACAGCCCTCCTTCACTTGACGCGTTTTACTCAATACTCACGGAAAACCCTCAAGCCAGCCAGCGAGCGAGCCAGCGAGCCAGCCAGCGAGCCAGCCAGCGAGCCAGCCAGCGAGCCAGCCAGCGAGCCAGCCAGCGAGCCAGCCAGCAACCCTCTTTCACTTGACGCGTTTTACTCAATACTCACGGAAAAACCTCAAGCCAGCGAGCCAGCCAACAAGCCAGCCAGCGAGCCAGCCAACAAGCCAGCCAGCCAGCGAGCCAGCCAGCCAGCCAGCCAGCGAGCCAGCCAGCGAGCCAGCCAGCGAGCCAGCCAGCCAACAGCCCTCCTTCACTTGACGCGTTTTACTCAATACTCACGGAAAAACCTCAAGCCAGCGAGCGAGCCAACAAGCCAGCCAGCGAGCGAGCCAACAAGCCAGCCAGCGAGCGAGCCAACAAGCCAGCCAGCGAGCGAGCCAACAAGCCAGCCAGCGAGCGAGCCAACAAGCCAGCCAGCGAGCGAGCCAACAAGCCAGCCAGCGAGCGAGCCAACAAGCCAGCCAGCGAGCAAGCCAACAAGCCAGCCAGCGAGCCAGCCAACAAGCCAACAGCCCTCCTTCACTTGACGCGTTTTACTCAATACTCACGGAAAACCCTCAAGCCAGCCAGCCAGCGAGCGAGCCAACAAGCCAGCCAGCCAGCCAGCCAGCCAACAAGCCAGCCAGCCAGCCAGCCAACAAGCCAGCCAGCCAGCCAACAAGCCAGCCAGCCAACAGCCCTCCTTCCTCCGCGTTTTACTCAATACTCACGGAAAAACCTCCAGCCAGCGAGCGAGCCAGCCAACAAGCCAGCCAGCCAGCCAGCGAGCCAGCCAGCCAGCCAGCGAGCCAACAAGCCAGCCAGCCAGCCAGCGAGCCAACAAGCCAGCCAGCCAGCCAGCGAGCCAACAAGCCAGCCAGCCAGCCAGCGAGCCAACAAGCCAGCCAGCCAGCCAGCGAGCCAACAAGCCAGCCAGCCAGCCAGCGAGCCAACAAGCCAGCCAGCCAGCCAGCCAGCGAGCCAACAAGCCAGCCAGCCAGCCAGCGAGCCAACAAGCCAGCCAGCCAGCCAGCGAGCCAACAAGCCAGCCAGCCACCTTCCTTCACTTGACGCATCTTACTCAATACTCACGGAAAACCCTCGAGCCAGCCAGCCAGCCAGCGAGCCAGCAGCCCTCCTTCACTTGACGCGTTTTACTCAATACTCACGGAAAACCCTCAAGCCAGCCAACCAGCCAGCCAACAGCCCTCCTTCACTTGACGCATCTTACTCAATACTCACGGAAAACCCTCAAGCCAGCGAGCGAGCCAACAAGCCAGCCAGCGAGCGAGCCAACAAGCCAGCCAGCCAGCGAGCCAACAAGCCAGCCAGCCAGCGAGCCAACAAGCCAGCCAGCCAGCGAGCCAGCCAGCCAGCCAGCCAGCGAGCCAACAAGCCAGCCAGCCAGCGAGCCAGCCAACCAGCCAACAAGCCAGCCAGCCAACAAGCCAGCCAGCCAGCCAGCCAACAAGCCAGCCAGCCAGCCAGCCAACAAGCCAGCCAGCCAGCCAGCGAGCCAACAAGCCAGCCAGCCAACAGCCCTCCTTCACTTGACGCGTTTTACTCAATACTCACGGAAAACCCTCAAGCCAGCCAGCCAGCGAGCCAACAAGCCAGCCAGCCAGCCAACAAGCCAGCCAGCCAGCCAGCCAGCGAGCCAACAAGCCAGCCAGCCAGCCAGCCAGCGAGCCAACAAGCCAGCCAGCCAGCCAGCCAGCGAGCCAGCGAGCCAACAAGCCAGCCAGCGAGCCAACCAGCCAGCCAGCGAGCCAGCGAGCCAACCAGCCAGCCAGCGAGCCAACAAGCCAGCCAGCCAACGAGCCAACAAGCCAGCCAGCCAACAGCCCTCCTTCACTTGACGCGTTTTACTCAATACTCACGGAAAACCCTCAAGCCAGCCAACGAGCCAACAAGCCAGCCAGCCAACGAGCCAACAAGCCAGCCAGCCAACGAGCCAACAAGCCAGCCAGCCAACGAGCCAACAAGCCAGCCAGCCAACGAGCCAACAAGCCAGCCAGCCAACGAGCCAACAAGCCAGCCAGCCAACGAGCCAACAAGCCAGCCAGCCAACAGCCCTCCTTCACTTGACGCGTTTTACTCAATACTCACGGAAAACCCTCAAGCCAGCCAGCGAGCCAGCCAACAAGCCAGCCAGCCAGCCAACAAGCCAGCCAGCCAGCGAGCCAGCCAACAGCCCTCCTTCACTTGACGCGTTTTACTCAATACTCACGGAAAACCCTCAAGCCAGCCAGCCAGCCAGCCAGCGAGCCAGCCAGCCAGCCAGCCAGCGAGCCAACAAGCCAGCCAGCCAGCGAGCCAACAAGCCAGCCAGCCAGCCAGCCAGCGAGCCAACAAGCCAGCCAGCGAGCCAACAAGCCAGCCAGCCAGCCAGCCAGCGAGCCAACAAGCCAGCCAGCCAGCGAGCCAGCGAGCCAACAAGCCAGCCAGCGAGCCAACCAGCCAACCAGCCAGCCAGCGAGCCAGCGAGCCAACAAGCCAGCCAGCCAACAGCCCTCCTTCACTTGACGCGTTTTACTCAATACTCACGGAAAACCCTCAAGCCAGCCAACGAGCCAACAAGCCAGCCAGCCAACGAGCCAACAAGCCAGCCAGCCAGCGAGCCAGCCAACAAGCCAGCCAGCCAGCCAACAAGCCAGCCAGCCAGCCAACAAGCCAGCCAGCCAGCCAACAAGCCAGCCAGCCAGCCAACAAGCCAGCCAGCCAGCCAACAAGCCAGCCAGCCAACAGCCCTCCTTCACTTGACGCGTTTTACTCAATACTCACGGAAAACCCTCAAGCCAGCCAGCCAACAAGCCAGCCAGCCAGCCAGCCAGCCACCTTCCTTCACTTGACGCATCTTACTCAATACTCAAGGAAAACCCTTAAACAACAAGCCAGCCAGCCCTTCCTTACTCGAGGCGTCTTACTCATGGGAAAAACATTAAGCCAGCCCCCCCCTATTCATGAATACTGATGGAAAACAATTTACACAATACAGCATTTTTCTAGTGATTCACTTTGGCGTCTAAAGTAGGAAAAAAAAGGCACACTATTACACGAAGAAATACAACATCCTTTAGTAAAATATTAATGTTACTAGTATTAATACTTAGTTTCAATATTATTGTAGCTTACCCATTCTCTGCTTCTGTTGCTGGCTGTCTGACAGTGAGACGTGTTTGACCTCTGGATGTCCCTTCAGTCTGTGATCGTCTGACCTTTCACTTCTTCTCTGCAGGCATCATATCGACCTTCCTCCACGTCCATCCGTTCGGGGCCAACCTGGAGTACCTGTGGTCGTACATACAGAGGCTGGACTCGAAGGTAGGAGAGGTCACAGCTTTCTGCTTATCAAAACTCTACATTCAATCACAATCACTGCTGTCTCACCCCCTCCCTCTGCTGTCTGTCACTCACCCGTCTCCCCCTCAGGTGTCGGCGGGGGAGCTGGAGCGTCTGATGGTCCGTCTGCCCAGCATGTTCAGGCAGGAGCTGAGCGGCGTTGGTGCGACTCTGGAGAAGCGGTGGAAGTTCTGCGGTTTTGACAGCCTGGGTTCAGCGTGACGCAGGGAGACCGCTCGCACACGCCTGAGACCTGATCCACGTTCCGTTGTCCCAAACCACGATGGATATGTAGCGGCGTGTCGGGCGTTGACGTTCACGGAGGAAATCTCAAAACCCTTTCACTTGTTGGGTTGACCTGATCGTCGCCTCACTGAAGATCCTCATCACAGTGAGCAGCACCAGAGACCCTCCTCCTGTCGTCCCTCCTTGCTTTGAACTGAATCGTGGTCCTCTGCTTTGCTGTGGTTGGTTCACCTGGAGCGTGAAACAGCCAGCAGCAACCTGAATCAGAAAGAGAGTCAAACTTATACCAAAGTTGATCCTTCAGAGCATTTACACATTGTAAAAAGTTTATCAAGTAAGTTTCATGCCAGCCCTCATCGCATTCCTCAACAATAAAAGCAGCCTACTTCATCCAGAAAGTGTGGGTGTAATATTAGATATGGTATCAGTGCCTCGCTAATGAGAACAGCCTCTCAAATGGAGCTGAAGAGGAAAGGCTTGTGTTAAATTCATATCCCGCCATATGCTATGTTTTATGTTTATGAACCATGGAGAAAGGATTTTAATACACAAAAATCCCACCCTTAAATCTCTTGTTGTTTTTACTTTAAAAGAGGTCATATGCTTATTTTCAGGTTCATAGTTTCATCTAGGGGGTTTGTACCAGAGTAGGTTTACATGCTTTAATAAAGAAAACCTTTTTTTGGGTCATTTGCTGCAGATCCTCTTGTCACCCTGTGTGTTGAACGTGCCGGTTTAGCTACAGAGTGAAGCATATCACTTCTATTAGATCTTTGTTGGGAGCTGCACATGCTCAGTACCTAGCTAAGGACTACTAGCCAATCAAGAAGCAGAGTAGGGCGGGTCCTAACCAGTTTATGAACACTGCTTCGGTTCAGCTACACAACCTAGATCAAGAGTTTTAGAGCAGTGAGTTACTATAAAACACATTTATCTTTCATGATACTTTTAACTGAGCTCTGTCTCTACATCACAGCTATGTGTCCACTGACAGTTAAGGAAAACTGCCAAAAAGCGGAATATGACGTCTTTAAAGTAATTTAAATATATGGTTCAAATATAGTAAACAGCAACGTATAATATTTATTAACGGCAGAAAATAATGGAGGGAAACTTCTCCGGGGTTTGAGATAAACCCCCTAGGTGGGGGGGTGGGGGGGGTGAAAGTGGAAAAAGGGCAATATTTGAGGAATACTGTGCGAGGCTGATGGAAATATGAGAGAATAATTTTGTAAAGGATGGCATGAGGGAGAGGAGAAAATTCAATCATTCCGCTTAATTTATTTCATTATACTGTGCGAAGAAGCTGCTCACTGGAAGCAGCCGACTGTATTACTGTATTTAAATATGACGACATGATTAACAATGGTCCTGACTGTGTCCTGCTTTAAAAATATATATACTTCTTAAGGAAAAGAGTTAACTACAGATTAGTTTTGCAAACTTTTTCCGTCTGAATGGAGCGACGGGGGAAAACTTGATGGAGGAGAACATGCGAATGGAGGGATGAAGATGCTTTTGTTGGTGTCAGCATTTTTTTGTCTGCGTTTCCAAAGACCACAGTGCTGTTCGTGTCAAACTCAAATGATTATTAAGTGATTTTGTATTGTACTTCCGTAAAGTTATGGGAGTATTTGTTTGTTTTCTAATTTAAATAAAAATGTATTGTCAGTAACTTGTTGCATTTACTTCGTTGCATGTCCTGAAGTAATTTTGAGTAAATTAAAGGTGTTGGAGTAGTTTTAATGCAGGAGATTTAGATCCAAAAAAAACAAAAAACAACCAAACACACTTTACTTGTACTCCGTTACAATTGGATCAAGCAGGAACCTCCAGGTCTGAAGAGTGAAGCCTTAAACCTGCGTCCTCTCCAGCAGCCAGCAGGGGGCGACTCCAGCGGCTGCAGAAAGAAGTGTGATTGTATAGAAGTCTGTGAGAAAATGTTTCTACTTGTCAGCTGATTTATTCCCCCAGTAAACACTTTCCTGATGAGTTTATGGTCTCAGCTGCTAGTTTCAAGTCTTCTTCAACACAGCGTGATGTTCATTTAGTAAATTATGGTCCCATTTTGAGGAACAGAGACCAGGAAGCAGGGGAGGCTTTAGGGCGGGGCTACAAGCTGCTCTGTGAACATTTAACCAGCGCCGCTGAAAAAGCCTATCAGGAGTCGGCTGCTCATTTTTCAGGAATTTAGTTTAGTTTTAAGCCTGTTTGTCGCTAGTTAGCATCCCAGCTAATATCACAGTTAATGTTAATTACAGATGCAGCTAGCTAACCAAGCTAGCTAGCTCCACCCTCTCGTCCAAATATAGTCACGTCTGGTTCCAAAAAAAAAAAAAAAAAAAACCCAACAAGGATGGCGACGTCCAAAGTGCTTCAAAGCGGTAGTCGACAAACCAACGGGTGACGTCACGGCGGCTACGCCCACTTCTGTTATACAGACTAAGATTACTGTTTCAGTTTTAAACATTTCCCACATTATGTTACTGTTAGCAGCTCATACATCAAGAGTACAGTAAGCGCTGGTTTGGTAATAAGTTAAATCATCAATCATTATGCTTTACAGCTGCTACTGCTCATCGCTTTCTTACGAAAACTAAAATATTCACGCCAACGGTGAGCGTTCATGTAGCCCGATGCTAAAGTTTAGAGTAATCAATGTGAGGCCACGGCTCGTCTAGACGACCTATTGGAAGAATATTTGTTTCAGCAGCTGTCAGTTTATCAGGTTCACAGATCTAAAGCTAATGCAGCGTTATACATCTGTCCTGCAATAAATCCTGCCTCCATGAAGACATGTCTTTGTTCAGGATTTATTTCTCGTAACGAGTCCTTGGGTGCTCTGAAATGAGCTATAAAAATGCAATTCATGATTTTATTAATCTGAAACGCCACCATCACATCTCTGTAATTACTCCTGCCATTGTTTTTTACGGCGCTGGTGTATCAATTTCCACACATTAACAGTGAATTTCATCATTTCTTCAATTGAACCTTGTGACATTGATTAAAAACAGCATCAGTTACAAACACTACTTAACGCATTCATTGTTAGCGTCAGCAGTGATTAGCAGCGTGTGTCACATTACTTTATTAAATTACAGATGGGAACGTCTCGTCCGAGTGCTAACTGCAACATCCCCACTGCTGCTGTCCTCAGATTTGAGCAGCAGGCTCGAAGATTTCTGTGCTTCTGTTTCATGATTTGGGGCAGCGTTCCACTTCAGAACAGGGAACATAATCACAGACCAAGAAGAAGAAGAAGACTTGCTGCAGTATTTATGTCTCTGTTGGACTCACTGTGTCAACAGCAGGCTTCGCTCTCTCAGCGGGCGCCTCAGTGTTCATGTCACGATTTGTACACAACAGCTGGCGGCGGCTTCATTCCCCACATCCAGCAGCTCACGCCGTGTGCGTCTGTACGGCAGCATCACACCCTCCTGGACAGGAAGCAAATTAAACAGAAAACAGGTAAAATAAGCATCGACTTTTGCCCTTTACTACACTGCAGGTGCAGAGCGTGAGATCACCTGAGGCTCAAACAGTCTGTGTGTTTACATGTCAGGAGGCTGCGGGTGGAACATCAGTGTTTCCCTCTATGCGTTCAGAAGCGGCGGTGAACGCGAGTGGAGGAAAATATTCTGACAGTAAATGCACAGTGTCTGTTACAGAGGGTCGACTTCTCAAGACCAAGAAAAGTTTGCCGTTTCCCCGCCAACATCTCCCCTTCAGACTGCGCAGCTGAGCAGGAAAGCTTCTACAGCAGGCTGCGTCTTTAGCTGCTATGCACCTTAACATTAGCTCAACATAGAGAGTAACTGGAAGCTGAATTTTATTACTACATCTGGAACAAACTAAACCAACGCAGCCTGCAGCTCTGTCCTGTGCAGACGGCAAGTTATTTTTCAGTTTGCAGATGAGCGGTTGTTAGGAAAAGAAAGGATGGATGTGACCGGAGGAGCTGAGGGTAGTAAAGCTAATTAGTGACGCAAACTCGTCCTTTTAAGCTGATGGAGACGTTTCTTTTTGGATGTTAATGTGCAAATAAAATGCACTTCAGAATCGTTACAGATACGATCGTTCATGTTTGCCTTTTGCGTCTTCATTTCACAGCTTTAGACATTTATCTGTAGACATTAAAAAAGCCAACATGAGAAACCTCCTCCCTTCTGAGGTCACTTTAAAATCAACAACAGGGTTTTAGGGGGTGATGTGCAAAACATGCTGAGCCATAACTGTGGAGCATCAGGACCAACCAAAGTACTTTCCCCAGATCTAAAGGTTGTAGTTCCTCCCCAGCAGACTGATCTTTGGGGGTTTATTAGCTGCTCTAGCTTTTCCAACTATTTGTTCAGAGATGTGGTGAAAATAACGGCCCACTGTCACGTGAAATTACATATTTTTCATTGGTAAATGTAAAATTTTCTGGGGGGGGGGGGGGGGGACAAACCGCCTGACCATGACTACGACCACCAAAACATTGATCTAAAGCTCACATAAAACTGGGCAAACACAGAAATTTGAAGCTTTTCTAACGTGCGTCGCAAGCTCGTGGACACAAGCTGCTGAGACATGTTGTGTTGGGGGTTTATTTTCAGACATACTGCGTTGTAGTCAAGACCGCCCAAACCGAGACCACTGAGAGCCGGCGAGACCAAGACCGAGGGAGGGAGAGACCCAGTCAAGACCAAGACCAGTTCCCTGCATTGCTTGGCACGCAATAAAATGTGGAACGAGATCAGAGGTTCGTCTCAAAGTGATCTGAAAGATCCACATTCCCATTAAAATGCCCACAAACCAACACTAAGGGCTGAAATCAATGTCAGCGTCGCAGGGAGGGGGGGGGGGGGGGGGACAGTCGTTAATCAGGGTTACTGGCTGCATTTGAAGCAATATGTTTTACTTCCACTCAAAGTTCAAATCAGACAATGCAACAGCAATTTATTGATATTCCCAAAGTTATGGTCTTGAAATAAAATCCTGAGTCCAAGACAAGACAGTACAAATACAGATCAGACCATCAATATGTGTTCTTAAGACCGAGACCGGTCTCGAGTACTACGACACTACGTGCACAACTCCAGCTCCATCCTGGGGGAAACACTGAACATCCCGGCTGAACCTCGTGGTGGTTTTGCAGACCGGTGTGGTAAAGTTAGACAGATTTTTTAAATTATTCTTCAGAATACACCAAGAACTCAGCAACCCAGACCGCGTTCCTCTTTCCCCTCCTCAATGTTTCTGTTCTCCATCTCTTTCTCACAGTCCCTCCCCCGTCCTCCTCCCTCGCCGTCCCACTTGTGCCTCTATTGTTGTGAAACAAACATCAAAAACAAAGGGAACTTACAGCGGGTGGCGCCGTCAGCCCTGGATGAGGATTCCTGAGGCCGGCTCTCTAGTTCTGTAATGGGGTCAGATAAACTAAACGTTCCCACCAGGGCATGAAAAGGGTAAAGAAAACATTACGTGACATATGACATGTGTAAAAAAAAAATGCATGTGTAAATCTTTTTAATGTCTTTTGAAGTTCCCAACGCTCCCAACATCCCATCCAAACTCAATATGTCTACAAAGCTCGTCTACAATTTCCACGGACTACAGACAGAACGGATCAAACGCCGATACTGAAATTTGTCACGTCGCCGGGGTCGTGACACCCACAACTACACGCGTCTGCCGTTTTAAAGCCGCTTGTTCGGCCACCGGTACAAATGGCCTGAAAGCACAGAGCACTTCTAGGAAGTCCAGACAGCCGGTGCACAGTCCATTAGGGGTGAGCATCTTCACTGCTCTCATGATATTATTCAGTTATGATTATCGGGTCAGCGATTCGATATCTCGATGCACCGCGAGTCGTCACCTCATGGGCGGGAATTTCTAGGCACCTCATTACGATTATGAGGCTACGATGCGACTGTAAAACCAACAGGATCAAGATGTTGGTTGGTAAAGCAAAGTATTAGTAACAAAAAGAAATGCAGATATTACATATTATTGCATTATTACAGCGTTATTACTGACCTCTGCTGCCGCCATTTTCAGTATAGAGTCATTACTGCAAATCATGTTAAGTTTTATTTTGTGTTTAAATTACATAACGTTAGCTTGCCTTCAAACGCCGACCAGTCGATAACCACCTGACATAGCTGTAACTTATTTTCAGGCATAAATATGGACTGTTGGTTGCCATCTGAAACCTTACAGCTGGAAGCCACTAAAAACTACCCAACGCACCTTTAAAGAGGTTTTCACCCTCTTGTGATAACTTTCATCATATAAATACATCATTCAAATCAGCCAGAAGGGAACAAAGCTGAAGAGAATAAATTGAGTGATGATAACGTTGGCAGAGCAGCACAGACGTTTGTGATCAACAGCTGCGGTCTGCATCCTAAAGCAGATTTGTGTAAACTTTTATAACAATAACTTTAGTAAAACAGAATAAAGAGCGTGTTGCTCTCAGGAGGCGGCACATACTGGCACACTGGCTCTGTTTTAATCTGTCCACTGCAGAGACTCCATCCACAACCTGGAGGAGGAGCTACTATAAATGAGTATTAGTACAATATTATAAACATTATTAACAATATACTTTGAATATATTAATAGTAAACTATTAGTTTGATATTAATTGTATGATGTTACTGTACTCAATTTCCTTCAGTAGTCCAGTATAAAGCTTCCCACAATTTTAATTCCAGTTACAGCCGTTTCATTACAGGGTTGTTGTTTTTTTTATTAAATCTGTGCAAGAAAAATGCTCTAGTCTAGTCTCCAACTTTAAGTACGCTACCAACTCGTCAGTAAAGTACTTCTGCAGAACGATGAGTTCAACATTTGGAAAGTTCGCTGCAGCACATTAAACTTTTATTTTTTTAATGTCCTGCTCCATCCAGGCTGTGATTGATCTGTTCATGAGACGGGACGCTGGCGAGCGTGTCGGCTTTATGAAAACAGCTAGCGTTAGCAAAACCCAAACGCTGCATATATTTTCTACCGATCCTGCCGCTCACGGCGCATTTTGCTCCTGTTCAAGCGGCCACCGAGCTCAGGCCGACCACGTTTTGAACGATTAGCATTGGGGGTCCAGCGTGGTGGAAGAATACGGTCAGTTGTACTTGTAAATCCTTTCCCGGTTCGCACGGATCTACATTAGGGGCGTATGAGCGTGAAATGCTCGCACGGTAGATCCCTGCGCACAGCGTTACGCAGAAGAATCATCGCACAGTCGCTACGCCCTGCCCATCTAGTCATTTTGGCTGTGCAGTGTAAATAAATACGTTCACCCAGGGTTTTTCCTGCATAGAGAACATTTTTGGCGCCCCCCCCAAAGAGGTCTTCGCGAGCTCTAAAGAAGAAAAACAAAACAAAAACACACACACCACCTTTCAAATTAACAAGCAGAACATAAACTTAAATACGACGTCTCGTCTTCCAGCAGCTGCCTCTCCGCTCATGCACAGTGCTGGATTAATAATCCAGCTGCTGCGTTGGATTAACGCTCCGCTACGAAGCTCGCCCTAAAGACTTCCTGTTATTTCTCACAAGTTAAAAGCAGTTTGTGCTTCCGAGCGTGTCGGTATTGACTTGGACATTTTACTCTTTGGCATACCGGCTCTCTCCAAATCAGGTTTTCTGGGCGCTACAGCAAACTTTAGAAATGTTCAACTCGTCCTTCTGTTCCACAGTTTTTATTTCTGACAAGTTAATTTGCATAAACAAATGAGACTGACCACCACGTAGAACAATTTCTTGCACAATTTAGTGACCAAAAACCCAGAGAAACTGCTGTTGTCCAACTGGAATTAATATTAGAGGTAAGCTAAAGTAGCCTGAAGATTCGATGGGTGGAGCCTGATACAACCGTCAGTCTCACAGTCGAAGCTTCGCAGTGAAACAACAATCACGCCATGTTGGCGATATGGGGGAGCTCAACGTCTGATTTTACATAGAACTACCAGTTTTCTCCCAATAAGTTAATATACAGCCTGTTACAGTATAAATGTCAACGTTTAATGCTGTAAATAAACATGTAAAAAGAATGAAACTTGTGCGTGAATAAATCCTAGATTGTAACCCTGGGTCGTCAGTGCGCATGTGTAGGCGTAGCGTGGACTTATGTGGTTGTCCGCAGTGATAATTTATCACAGTTGATGAACCACACAAAGAATATTTTATCGTTTTTAAATAGCCGGCTACTTAAAATAGACCCGTGAGGAACTGCGACGTGCACGCAGCTGTCGGCAGCACGGCGTGCACAAGACCGGTGAACGGCAGGCGAGCGAGCGGCCGGTCTTCAAAAAGCCTCAGAGTAAGTTTACAGAGTAAGTTCAATGAAGAGAGACTGCAGCCTCGTGTTACTACAGGTTTGTTCCAGATACACGGAGTGTAATAACTGAACGCCGCTTCTCCTTGTTTAGTTTTGACCACCTGAGGGGTCTGGATGGCTCATAGCGAAGCAGTTTATAAAGCACTGAATGGTTTAGGGCCAAAATACATTTCTGATCTAACAGCTGGGTAAAGGCAAACCTTTAGATTTATCTGCTCCGTATCTGAGCCAGTGCAGTAAATTTCAACTGCAGCCTGAATATGAATCAAACAAAAGGACTAAATGCAGCAAAACACAAACTCAAGCAGCACCTTGAGGAAAACCGTCTCAAACAGCAGCTGGGACATTTTGTCATGAGATGTTTTGGTGCTTTATTTTAAAATCATCCCATTTTCTAAAAAGGAAAAAATCAGCTCAGCAGCCAAGTTGCCTCCCGGCCAAAATAAATCTATCACTTGCTCTCCATGCTAATGAGGAAGCGTGTGTGGCTGGTCTATAAATAATGTGTTCAGCGGTGACGAGGCGGAGGGAGCAGCCTTCCATTAGCAGAGCTACATCTCTAATGAAGCCTGTTGACAGCCGCTGTAATTAGCCACGGCTCTTTGTGTTCTCTTTGTCGACGGCGGTGTCGAGACGTTCCTTCATATCCCCCGCCGCTGTCACCTCTCGTCGCAGACGCCCGCTTGTCATCACACCTGGCAGCAGTTACTGTGAGAAATCTCTTGTGTGAAGTCGTACGGAGGCCATTGTGCTGCTGCTGCCGGGCGACAGCCGTGTCTAACCGAAAATGACGGCATGAAATGGTGCGTCCAAAAATCGCAGTGAACGGCGGTCCTGCTGGGATTCAACACCAAGCATGTACTGTGGTACAACCAGAGGAGGGACGGAATGAAGTACTTTTACCCAAGTACTGCACTACTGTGCGTATGGTACTCGTGGCCAATTCATATCTGACACAAACACCCCAGAACTGTCACGGCAGCGACGCAGACCTCATGAACTGTGACTGGTCAACTTGGTGGCGTTGCATTTCCTCCTAATTGTGTCCGGCCGCGCCACCGGCAACTGTTATTTTGGCAGCGTGACTGCAGAGCAACACAGACACCGCCGTTAGAAACGCTCACGGGGATTATCGATCAGATACATTTTTGGCTGATATTGGGCACATTTTCATAATCGGATCATGAAATGTTGTCCAAACATTTTGCCAATAAGAATCAAACAATGCTTTAACGAACGTAGCTGCTGTTGTCGCGCTCATGATGTCATATTGCTGCGCCTGGATACAGCCACGCAGACGCAGCGAGGGCCAAAACAATATGCAGTTCATGTTCTTAGTGGGGGGAAACGTTCTGCCAGTTTCAACTAGGGCGGACCCCAAATAGTGGAAGATCCAATGCGTCGATGGGCGGAGCCTGATTCCACTGAGGCAGTGGCGTTCTGAAAGTAGGATCACCGTTTCCTCTATATGCAATCCGCTGCTGAATCACGACCGCCGCTACTAAAATTTCCCACGATCATTAAACAATGCGCTACAAATGTTTTCACTCCTCGTGCTATGCAGAACATACGTGACAGATGGTGTTCTAAAGAGCAGCGTACCTGTGAATCAGGAGGTGCGTAGCGAGTGTTTGAGCAGCAATGCAGAAAGTGCATTGCTGCTCATGGACACGAGCAATGTTGCTGAGACATGTTGTTACAAACCGGCTGTCAGAGGAAGCGAACGAAGGGTTGTCAATTAAAAAAAAATAAATCAGTTTCAACTGCAAATAGCCTCTTTAAGTAAAACATCTACCAGCTGCCCAGGCGGCTGGTAGAAGAAAAAAATAAACTGCCTTTTGTGTCACGTACACATTTGTTTCAGTCCTTTTAATTGAGATAATGTATTCTGTCAAACACAAAAACTTAAAGAGGCCAGAGTGAAATATGAAGCTAAATTATTGCTATTAAATGTACTTCGAACAATCAACTGTTGCTTGTTAATCATTCAACTTAAGCCTCCTCAGACTGCTCACTTTCTACAGTCAGCCTCTTCTGGCCTCCTGGTTCTGACAGGGTCCTGGTCCACAGCATCACAACTTTTATGGGATCAATATTTTTTATTGAGCCAATGAATCATTCTCCTTGATCTCTGAGGAGGACAGCAGGACCAACAGAAGATCTGACCATGTGTCACTGACTGGACCACCAGCTAAAAACACAAGTACAACTTCTGTAATCAGCTCCAAACTCCAGCAGCTTTCACGCTGCCTTATTTTACAGGGATATTTCACCAATCGCTGCACTTTATGAAAGCTATGGAGCAGATTTTATCCGCCTCTGAGCGGGAAAGTTGGAGACAAACACGAGACAGAAAGAGGGCTTGTGAAAAGCTACAGCCGGCACGCCGCTGCTTCCTGTAAAGCCGGACCGCTGCGTGAAAGCACACATGGTGGAGGGATAAAGGCCTTTTCACACGGGATAAAGCTGCAAACTGTTCAGTATGAAGAAGTGAATACAACATAAACGCAGATATTCTTTCCACTTCTTTCTACACTCTCCCCCCCAAACGCCCACCCCTTACTAATCTACGCCAATCAAACGCAACATGACATGAACATAAACAACCACCAATGAATGGCCCTAATCCGTGTGTTACACAATTTTAGATCCCTTGGTACATCGGGGACCACTTTTAAGTGCGACACACCACCAACAAGAACGCCGGTCTGCTGCTAATTAAAGTCAAGTAGATTTTATATGCTGCATATATTTACCTGCCAATGTGACGGGTAGCCTTCCAACATTTAGCGCCAGAGGGAAAATGCGGGTGGCGGGTATTCATTTCCATCTCTGCTCTGCACGCTCCTGCTGAGACAAACAACAAAACAGAAATAAGACGTTTAATAAGTAATGTGAGGTTATTTTTTAACATTTCAAGATGAAAACAATCATTTTCCTGTTTGGTGCCTACAAAAACTAACCTGCTAAATTGCATGATATTGGAATTGGTAATTTTGACCGGATGACTTCAGTTGCTCCATTTAAATAATTAAGCATCCTAGAATTATTTGGGTGATTTTGTAGAGAAAATAGAGTGCATAGAAAACATATGAGCTGAAGACTTTTCAGTGCAAACCATTTGTTCCTGAGCTTTAACGCAGTAAACAAATAAAAAAAAGCAGCTGACAACAAACAGTCAACATGCAGGACCAGCTGGGTCAATGTGGACTGAATCCACTTCCTGTTGGGTTCTCCAGTCTGATCAGCTGTTTTACACTGTGGCTGCACTGACACCTCCAGGCCACAGCTGCAAACTGCAGGTTTTCCATATATAAGGCAGGACTGGCTGTGAGAATTCAGGTGAGAGCAAAGATTTACTTCAAAGGAGCCCAATTCAGAAACCTTGTTCTTGGTGCACAAGATCCTGCAGAGGCTGAAACAGAGGGAGCAGGGTGGGACGGCTCAAATGTCCTTTTACAAATAAAACCCCTCCAGAAGTCTAATGTCGGTCTAAAATGTTTAGATGGATAAAAAGCTTCTCAATGTTACTGTTATGGACTGTATCATTTCTATCAACGCCGTCTATCTCAGCAACAACACGCCAGCTTACACATTGGACAAAATGAGATGTGGTGCAGCTTTAATAATAAAATAAACAAGAATAGAAATCATTACACACACGTGCAAATGGCAAAGTTTCTAAATGATTAAGTGTGCAGGCAAAACAAAACGACATGTTACCAGAGAGCAGCACAGGTGTAATACTACATGGTGAAAATAATATCTGGACCAACACACCAGACGACATGAGATGCTCTGCCCTATTTTAACCATCAAAGCGCACAGCGTGAAGCGCAGACTGGACACAACAGGAGGCCGCTGGGAGAAAAGTAAGAAGGGAAGCTGAACTACCGGGTATGTTCAGAAAAGAGGCGTCTTGATTCTTATTCTAGCCATACTTATCGTTGTATTTTACTAAGAAAGAAGTTAGCTCAGCTGCGCCGAACTCCATTTAGAAAACAAGCACTTTAAAAGTTGTTTGCTTGTCGTCTTGCTGACAGACCTGACAAAGCAAGACTTAATATTTTTAACAAATCAGCATCATGTCGTTATTTCAGCACCAGTTTGATCCGTTTATTGTAACTAAATCGCAGCAAAATGTTTATTTTGGGTCCATAGAGTTGTAGCAAAGGTGGGCTGGGTTAATTCAGGTCATTGTGTTGTGTGTGAACCTTTTTATACACAGTCTATGGCGTCTATGGTAACACTCATGTGAGCAGTCCAGCAGTCAAACTCACGCGATTAACGTGAAGCAAATATTTAATTCGCGTTGTGTGTAAAAAAAAAAAAAACATAACCAAATTCTGAATGACTCACAATGTGACACAAACTCCTGTCCGCGGGTTATTTACAGCCATGTTAACTGTAACACCGACCACGTATCTGAAATAATCACAACACCTTTAGAAATCACTCTAATGAGGAAAATAATGAAAGTTCATGAAACTGGAATCCAGTCATGCAGACTCTGTGCAGACTGGTTCCAGCTCCCGTCGAGTGAACATGGCAGCTGGGACCGAACACACAGGCCAGGCTGACTGGAGGGAAAACAGTACCGAGGTGGTTTTCTTGCCGGGTTTGGGTCTTGGAACCCCGGGACCGGAGTCAGCTAATAGGACCGCTAGCAGCCCGGCTAATGTTAACCAAGCTACAGATGCAGACAGTTAGCAGCACTTAATGGTTTAGCAAAAACTAAAGCTCTCCGTCCATCCTCAAAAACTCTGTAACTGTGTCTCAGTCCTGTTCAGGCTGTGTTCACTGGGAGGCTGCTCAACACGCCACTGCCCGCCATCCCTCCCTGCTGGGTCCCCCACCCCTGGCCACAGACTTTACAAACCCCCCCGGCCTGAAAACCTCCATGTCTTGAGAAATATTAGCACTAACACTAACACTCCCCCAGAGCTCCGAGCTCCCAGTCCAGGCACAGCCGGTGTTCTGGCGATATTTGCTGCCCTATTGAAAAACGCTACTTTGTGTGTTCCCATTTCCAATCCCACAAAAGGTATAGCTAGCTGTCTACGTATTATGACGTTTTCTGTTTTTTGAAAACATTATAACATCATTTCAGAGGTAGCATATTCTGATAGACTAAAGTCAAAAAATGCTCCCACTATTGAATCATTTTATATCGCACCACTACTCACTCCATGTGCACTGTAAGGAGATGGGGAACATGTTGAAATACTATATTATGCCATCTTTATTTAAGATACCAGGGGCAGCGTATTCTGATAGACTAATAAGGATTTTGTTATACTTTTTTTACACATTTTGATAGGTAGCATAAATCGACAGAACACCGGCTAATATGACAGCTAACTGAGCTAACTAACAGCAGCTAGTAGCAGTTAGCTGTTACTTTAGCAGCAAGTAAAGCTATCTATTCATCAGCAAACGCCATAAATCACAGATAGCTGAGGAAGGGCAGCTATATGATGGGGACATCAGAGGGTGATTTAAAAATCACTTAATTAATTCTAGGAACTAAAAGTAAGAGTTAATTTCAGCCCTTTAAAACCAAAAAAACACAAGTTAACGGTTAAATTCTCTAGCAAACTATATCTAAACACACAAAATAAATGAAGAACAGTCTCTTTAATACACCAACATGGCGTGAACGTGTTTGCTTATAAGGAGTATTTCTTAAAACACACAGTTTTAAAGTCGCTGACACTTTCAGCATACTCAAATAGGGATTTAAAGGTCACTAATTAGCATTGCAGCTAGCGGACTTTCAGATCGCTAACGTTTTTAGCATCAGTGAATGGAGCGTAACATAACGAAGTGTAGCATCGCGGCTAGCGGCCACGTTCTGTTAGTTAGCCGCGTGCTGGAACACTCACCACAGACACCGCACCTGAGGAAGACGGCGTCGGCGCTCGGTGAACAGAAGGCATTAAACGGCGTTTGTTTTGTTTTTCTCCGCAGGTGGGTTTGCGGTGGGCTGAAGAGCGCGACTCACGACGGTCAAAGTAAACTTGACTTTGATAAACTTCACCGTTCCGGTCCGCCACCTTGGTTCTTTATATATTCGCGCTCCAAGGGGCGTGGCTTGAGGACCGGCTTCTCCAATAGGAGGCCGTGACGTCACTGGATGTAGACTCGAAGGCGGGAAAGTGACGTGAAGTCTCCGCCTCTATAAAGAGGACAGTTTGCTTCTTGCTCCCTAAAACAAAACGACATGTTCAAGTCAGTTTTTTGCTCTACATCACCAAACAGTAAGCAGCATAAATAACAAAGTTACGTTAACCGTGTACTGTATCCCAAGGTTTTTGTTACTAACGTTAACTGTCTGAAAACCAAGCAGGGTTCACAACCCGTCTAACGTTAAACTAGTCTAACGTTACGCGGTATTTTCATGTACATAATATAAAGTGTAAGTGATGTATAATATCGCGACTATCTCAGTAAGACACAGGTCTGACTCTGAACCTCTTCGATTTTAAGTGAAGACGTTAAAGGCTTTATTTTTGAGGCTGTAACTTGCCCAGCCGAGTTGCGTTTAACGTTAATGTTAGCACATCAATAACCGCAGGTAACGTTAGCTCGCCAGAACTCACGTTAATTTAATCCACAATACTATTCTTTAAACGACACATTGCGCTTTTATGCCTCTTGTTATTTTTACATTTGTGTAGTTGGCTTTTGAAGTGAGTTGAAATCCAATACTTACATTTATAGGTAAAATCCGGGGGGCTCAACTCCACAACCACAGCCGACGCCATTATTTACGCTGGGACAATCAACCGGTGCACAATGTCGGGATACCTGGGGCTGCGAAGGATCCAGCTGTTGGATCCTCCAAACGGACGAAAAGAAGGCCGCATTTGAAGGAGCCTTCGAAATGGGACAGCCTAGTCGCATCCAATCCAGTCCTTTTTACCTGTTAAAATACCTTTTAAACGGCCAAAACAACCCATAAAATGCATTGTTTCACATGCCAGAAAGTGACTGCAGCTTCTACTTGTTGACTGAAAGGTAGTTTTTGCCCTGAAATGACTTTATTATATTCATGAGGGTTATATTTGACAGATTATAAGTCAACTAGTACTTTTTAACCTCTTAAAATACCTTTAAATAGCCAAAACAACACAAAGGCACTATTCTACTTGCCAGAAAGTGATCGCAGCTTCTACTTATTGATTCTGCCTCAAAATGACTTGATTTCATTCAGAAGAGTCATATTGGACAGATTATAATAATACTGAAATTGTCCCCCTTTTTTCATAAATAATAACACTGTTTTTAATGACGTACTGAACACCAAACCAAAAATGTCCCCGGTTAATTTCAGAAATCTGGTCACCTTACTTCAACAATTCATAAGAGACAATGTGTATTTAGAATAATCTGAATATTAAATATTAAAAACAGATAAGTAAGAAATAAATATAATAATGAAAATACCAATTAATAAACGATGAATGATGATCGATCAGAACTACATTCAGAAAACAAACATTTTAAAAGTTGTCACCTGCTGACGGACCTGACAAATGTACGGACCCCGTTCTTTAGCAGCTTCCCGCCGACCAGGTCTCACCGCTCGCCTGGTCCTCTCCAAACAACACTCCGAAGCCGCCGGTGACGTTTGGACAGTCTCACCACTGATAGGCTTTCGCAACATTGCGTCAAGCGAATTTCTTGCCCAAGTTGAAAAATTTGAACTCACGCGAACCAGCAAATTTTCTGACAAAGGCCTCATTGCCCGGTGCTGGTCCAGATTCTGCCCCGGTAAAAAGCCCATGGATGGAGCCATGAAGTTGAGGTGCTGGTCATGGTCTACTGGCTTAGCTGTGGAGAACCGCAAACGTGACATGCGACTAGCCACAGTCTGCAGGACCGTCCACAACGTTGTGGAGGAAATGATGGTCATCCTACACAGAGCTATTCGTTTCCCCAAAGCGGAGGAGATGGAGGCCGGCTTTGTTCGCCTTGCTGGCCATGAGGCATTGTGGTGCTGCTGCCACGTCTGGATTCTTCCTCCTGCAGAGCCGCAGAAGAAGTGCTACGTCAAGAGAAAGCCTTTTCCTTCAGTGATGCGCTTGTCCAGAGGAGATCGCCGCAGCTGGGTACTTCCTGTGTAGCAGGTAAGGTCACTCTCTCAATTTCATTAAACTCACAGCAACTTTAAAATATACAATTCATTTATATATCTACCGGAAGTTGCAAGGGCAAGGAACATTACTGAGCAAACCTTTGGGGTCCTGAAAAACACGCTGGGGCTCAATCTTCTTGAGGGCCCTGGAGATCCGGCCTGTTTGCCCCCGAAGGTGATTGGTGCCTGCTGCATCCGCCTGATATCCTGGAGGAGGAGGGGGAAGGCCCGGGCCCAGATTACAGTGAGGACAGGGTCAAAGTGGATGAGGTTGACTATAAAGTGCCTGCATGTCTGGATGAACATGACTATATCTAGTCAGTAAATGTGGTGATGTTCACTACAGATATCATGATGGTATGGAAGACATAGATGTGTGTTGAATATGTTCACTTGCTGCAGTGTTCCTTGTGTTTTTACTCCATGATTGTAAAGGACTGTAACTGTGAAATACAGGACTTTGTGCTTTTAAGGGGTTTTGTTGTAAATACACACAAGAATGAAGTGCCTGGCTTGAATTTTAAAGTGAATACTATTTACAATTTATCTACAAGTTTCTTGAACTGAGACAGATATCCCTGTCCTCTTCCCTCTCTGCCTGCTCTTTCATGAAGTCCAGCAGAGCCCGGCGGTCCCTGGGCCTCCTCCTGCTCGGCTGGCTGGCCCTGGCTTCTTCTGCAGAAGGGCTGGCGGCCGGTGTGCTGACAACCTGTAGTGGCAGTTAGGCTGCAACAACCAGGTACTGCGTGTACATAACAATGCAAGGAAACAGGCAGATTAACTTTTACTTTTTGGCCTGTTTGGCATTTATTTCCAGTCCAGACATGGTAACAAAGTCCCTGGGCAAAACAAACACATCAACAAGGAGGGATACGTTGCCACTTCAATAAGATATTAATCATTAATCAATCATGGATGGAGGCTGCCCAAATCTGGCTCCAAACGTTCTCCAGATATCCAGGTCATGATACAAGCACTCAAAATATTCACTCCCATCCAGATATGGCTGAATTTCACCTGCCGGTGAACAGGCTCTCGTTGGCCGCCCACCAGGTAATAACAAGTCTGTAAAAAAAACAGAATAAAGCAGAGAAAAGTCAAAAGGACAAAGTCAGCATACCAAAACTGCACTCCGTGACACAATGACAGCAGTATTATAACTTACAGTTTTGGGTCTTTTCCTCCGCCATCGCCGCTTGTTTGTGCGAAATGCATTCTGGGATACTGGGCTATCCAAAGTCCACACAAGTCACCGCCTGATGCATGCTCGGTAAAACAGACGGAGCGACTTCTGAATTACAACAGTTTTTAGGTCTTTGGTCGGCTACAATGTTGCGTGGTACAATTTGGGCAGGAATAGGTACGCCTTTGGTGTGAGAGACCTGGGTTCAGTTCCCACTGTGACACATCCACCTGTCCCTGAGCAGGACACTTAACCCCTCGTTGCCCCAGTGCGACCTCAGACATACTTTGGATAAAAGCGTCAGCTAAATGAATAAATGTGATGTAATGCATGTGCAGAACGGATCGACCAACATAAAGAGGCGAGGTGAGTTAGAATCATGACAGACCGCGGGAGGGTGTGGCGTGAGGCAGGGGCGTGGCATTTTTACTGGCCCTCTTTTTGGATATCAGTAATTGATCAGACGCTGCAGCTGATGAGACTGATCTGACATTGACAACATCACTGGATACGCTCACTGAATCTGAAAACACTAAGTGAGGTTTAAAAAGAATGAAGAAGACTGAAATCATCTGCCATCACTCGTTCATCCTGTCAGGCAGCTGGCAAACATGTAACTCAGTCATACAACAATGTCTTATGACTTCTGGTTCAATACATCAAATGTTAATATTATGTAACCCCTTACAAATCAAATGAAATAAAACATTTTTCATTCCTTGTTTGTGTGTTGATCCACATGTACTGGTGCATTGTCTGCCCTTCAGCCCTAATAATCCTCCAGTTCTACTCCAGTTCAAATCCACAGAACTTTAAATACTTCACATTTAAAGCCCAAATGTTTTCTAAGATCAGCCACAAAAATATGTTGTCAATACAGCCTCAGTGAAGATATACAGTATTTATTTTATGTAATACTCAGCGAGGAGACATGTTTTTAAAAGCCAAATGTGAAAGGATGAAATTGCAGCTCAGTGGGATACAGAACGCTAAAACGTGGACATGTGACCCAGAGTATCAAGTGTATCTTTACCCGAATGAAAATCTAAATGTGTTACACTCCACTTCTTGTGATTTTCCAGATAAAACAGAGATGTGAAAACAGAAATGGACACAAATAACCACAGCAGAGACCCCCTGTAGTGCTGATAATCATGCTTTATTAAATCAATAATTGGAGAAAAACTCAAGGAGGCTGCGAAAATAGTCAACTCTACAACTCTAACTTCAATCAAATCTTCCCGTCCACGTTGAACGCTGCGCCAGGTTGGTTTCGGCTGCGGTACATCTGCTTGGCTGACAGGTGAACTTCTAAAAACTAACACACAAACACACAGCAGACCTCCAAGAGACAGCTCTGCTTCTGCAAACAAGCACAGGATGGACTCTTGTTTTTTTTATGTAATTGGCCAGGTTGATGGTACGACTGAAGAGCCGAGCGAGTGTTCGTTTGCCAGAAGCAGAGCACAAAACAAAAGAAACACTTGTGCTCAGGGAGTGCAGGCCGCTCGCACTGTGAGCATGTCATCGAAATGGCGGTATGACATAATCAGTCAGAGCGTGAGGTCCAGTCGTCCTGCTTACATGAGGGTAGATGCAAACAGCACTCAGGGTCTCACGCTCTTGTTAGCACCGCTCTCACTCTCCGGCAGTGCGTTCATATCTTTGTCTCTGAGTTAACATCAACAGGGAGCCTCTCTACCTGTTGAGGCAATCTTAAGACTTCAACTTATCGTTGAGGCACAGAGTTTAGTTTCTTGGTTTGACAGGGTATTCGTTCCTGGTGAAACTTTCTCCTGTTAAACCACATTCAGTTTCATTTTGTTTCAGTTAATATTGTCATAAATAACAATGCATACATTTCCCATAACCGTTAAATTCGGCTATATACATTATGTACATGTCACAGAAAAATGGATCAAAAATCCTAAGTCATAGTTATCCAATATGGCACATTTTATAACAACTTTAGACTTTAGTCTAGTTTGGCATAAATTAATGTCAAGATTGGTACAAAAATAGTTCATATTTACAAGAACAGAAATCCAGATCTTTATCAAGTAGATTATTTCGCTCAATTAATAAATAAAAAGGCCTGGAAGTAGGGAAAAGGGGAGGAGTGGAAGATTAGATTCTTTTTTTTTTACACTGATCGGATGCTAATATGAACAGTCGCTGTGTCGGATCCGAGCTCATTGGACAGTTTAAGGGTGTAGCTTCCTGCATCTTCGTCCTTCACCCCGGTGATGATGAGGGTGGTCAGGTCCTCTGAGGTCTCGATGTGGAAGCGTCCTCCAGCAGTCACCTCGATGGTTTTGCCGCCACGTGACCACTCGATGTGTTTGGCGTCACCAGAGAAGGCGCAGGTGACTGTAAGGACTTTGCCCGGCTCGATGCTGATGTCTTCTGGCAGAGCCTCGATCCTTGGAGCAGAACCTGGAAACCACAGTACATGTCCATCAGTGACGATAACTTCAATCTTCAAATTTAGGTACGAAGAAAAAACGTTGTAGTTACTTATTTTAAAAGAACTACCACCGGGCTGCCTGAAAATTAGAGTGGACATGAAGAAGCTAAAGGAGAGCTACCGTTACACTGACACAAACCCAGACCCACTGTTCAACAGATTTCATTATTGACAGTGTCTTACCAATTGCTCTGAATGAGGATCCCTCCAAGTGGGAGGACATCTCCGTGAGACTGCTGGAGCTCATGGCGTACGTCTCAGATGTCATGGAGGACATGCTGGACATGGACATGGTCTCAAACTTCATCTCAGCTGCCATGCTGCTGAAGGAGCTGGACTCCATCATGGAGGACATCATTGCCTGCTGGGCAGAAGAAGATAAGGAGGACGACTCCTCCACCATGTGCATTTCTTTCTTCATCATGGATGAGCTCATGGATGACGCCTCCTTGTGACTCATCATCATTGATCCTGATGAGGGTAGATGTGGAAAAATATGTAAATCTTTAGAATGACTTTAAAGCTATGTCAGAATTTCTATTAATTAGCATGAAATGGGACTAAATCTGCTTGGATACTTGAGGCAGTTGCTCACCTTTAAGTGCCAGTTGCTGCTCCCTGTAGGCCGTGATCTTCATGCGTATGGACTGGAACACCTGTCCAGTGAAGGAGAAGGAGGATTTGGATACTCCTCCCTCTGACGTCATCTCACAGGTGTACTCTCCCTGATCACTGTCTGCCAAATCCTGGATTACAAGGCTGCAGGAGCCGTCAGAGTAGTGCATCTCAAAGCGGCTGCTCTGTGAAAGCCTTCTCCCGTTGACGTACCACACCACTTCCCTGACGCTGCTCTCACAGGAACAGGACATCCTCACCGAACCCTCAACGGCCTCTGCTGTTAGCTGACTCAGGACCTTGGGAGGTTTCGGGGTTGGGGATTTTATAGTGGGTGGAGACACAACCCTTTTGGGGGACATGATGGGAGGGGGAGACTTCATCCTAGGAGGTGATTTGATTCCCACGGGCTCAGGGGACTTCAAGGCCCTTGGTGATTTGATGCCTGAAGGCTCTGGGGACTTCACACCTTTTGGTGTTTTGATTCCAGCAGGTTCTGGAGACTTCACACCTTTCGGTGTTTTGATTCCTGCAGGTTCTGGAGATTTCATTGGTGGTGGTGACTTGAGTCTGGGTTCAGGAGATTTTATACCCCTTGGTGACTTAACTCCCTCAGGTTCAGGAGATTTGACACTTGGGGCTGGCGATTTTAAGCTGGGTGCTGGAGAGGCAGCCGATGGCTCGGGAGACTTGATGCTCCTAGGAGATTTTATTCCCTCTGGTTCAGGAGACTTCACACTTGGCGTTGGTGACTTGACACCCAGTTCAGGGGACTTAACACTTGGAGCTGGTGATTTAATTGAAGGCTCCGGGGACTTCACACTGGGGACTGGGGAGGTTATGGAGGGAGCAGGAGACGTCACTGAAGGCTCTGGTGACTTTACACTTGGAGTGGGTGACTTGACAGATGTTTCAGGGGACTTGACAGCCTTAACCTCCTCTTTGGGAACTGGTCTACGGATGGTCAAGGTGAAGTGAGCCTCCTGTCTGCCTGCTGAGTTCTCTACCACCACAGTGTAACTTCCCTCATTGGAGGCAGTGACAGAGGAGATCTCCAGGCAGGACTTGTACTGAGTAGTGGTGACCTTGACATGGTGAGAGGATACGATGGTTCTGCTCTCGTGAATCCATGTTACAGTGGGTGCAGGCTCTCCATCGATATCACAGGAGAATCTGGCCGTCTCTCCCTCTGCAACTGTCACCGACTGGGGTTTGGTGAGGATACTGGCAGGAAGAGAAGGCTTCACCTTAAGGACAGAAACGTCCTCAGCAACAGCAGTAGAAGATGACTTCAATTTAGCTTCAGATGTGGTGTGTTTCCCAGTCAGAGAAAACTTGTCGGAAGAATAGGAAGAACCAGATGACAGGTATTCAGTAGAGGCGTACTTGATGGATGAGTCATACCTCTCTGCAGAAGAGTATCTCTCAGAGGACGCAGCATATCTTTCACGTGTGACAACTTCATGTGTCTCCGTTAGCTTAGACTTGCTCTCTTCCAACTCCAAGTGGGTCTCGGAAGCATAGCCAGCTTTGAAGTGGGTGGTGTGGTAGTGGTCAACTCGAGTGACTTCAGGAACATAAGCTTTGGGAGCTTCCTCATCCCTGCGGCGAGAGGAGAAGGTGGTGTAGCCACTACCTGACACATCAAGAGTGGCATAGTCAGAAGCTTCTCCCTTGGAGTTGGAGAATACACAGCGGTATGTTCCACTGTCCTCTTCCTGGCAGTCCAGAATAGTGACTGACAAAACACCACTCATGTTGGAGAAGATGTATTTCTTGCTGCTTTCAGAGATTTCATTTCCATTGTGGAACCACTTTATCTCGGCCTCTGGCTTGGCTTGGATATTCAAGGTGAATTTGGTATCTTGGCCAATTGGTATGCGATGAGAGCGCATCCTGACGGTCACACGGGGAGCATGGTCCAGGCTGAAAGGTGTCTGACTAACCACCTGATATTTCCTCTCAGACTTCAGAGCAGCCTTTCTGGCCTCGTAGCGGGACATGATGTCGAAGCGGGCAGAACGCTCAAATCTGGAGGAGGAGCGGGAGGACCTCTCAACGGACCTGATGGGGCTGGGAGATCGGGGACGGGTCCTTTCAGGGGTGGGGGACCTCCTCCCCACGATCTCTCCCTCTACTTCCACTGGAGACCTGGCATGTGGTCGTCTGATCAGCTCTGAGACTGGACGCATCAGCTCGATGTATGTGGGAGACAGTGACCTTCTCCGCCTCATAAACTGAGAAATGGTTCGTTTTTTCTTTGTCTCCACAACCTCGACAGCCTCGTGCCTGACCTCCTGCCTCCTCTCTTCACGTTCCATGGCTTGCCGCTCAACACGGACAGGGCTGCGGGTAGGAGAGGCAGAAAAGCCGAGCTCCAGTTCATCCTCCAGCATCATTTTCTCCTCCTCGGTTCTCCTCATGGAAAGGTAGTCATCCACAGGCATCAGCAGCTCCTCATCACTAAGGTCTCCCAGAGACCTCCTCCTAGACCTGAAGGAAACCTCGGATTCAAGAGAAGGTGAACGGCGGGCGGGCCTGACTGTCTCCAAATCATCCAGAGTGAGTTTTGGAATACGCCATCTTGGCCTGTACTGGTCTGTGATTCTGGGGAGGGGCATGACATAGAACTGTTCCCACCTGGACAGGCGAATACGTCTTTGCCTCTTTTGCACAATCCTCTCCATCCTCTCTGGAATCTCATACTGGTCTCTCAGTTTTCTGTACCATTTCATGTCAGAGAGCGGCACAAACTGCTTGATAGCTTTGTCCTCATCCAGAACTCTGGGATCATGAACCATAGGCTCAGGGATCTCATATGGCATGAAGATCCTCCTCTCCTCCTCCAGCTTCTTGGTCTCTGACTTTACCACTGTGATGTCGAACTCACCCTCAACATTCTTAGTGCTCACTGCAGGCTTGTATATCTCTGCAGCAAATTTGAGAGCCTCCTGGGCTGTGGGGTTGAAAGGTATGAGCTCCTCAGTGGCAACAATTTGCTGAGCCATCTTGTTGGTCTTTTCAATTTGTTTCTGTACGTGTAAGTATTTCTCCTCCTCGCTCTTGTACTCTCTCCTAGTGTAGGTAAGACGGTCCACCTTCAGTACAGCCTGGCAGCTTGCAGAGCCAGCAGAGTTGGTTGCAGTAACCTTGTACACACCAGCATCCTCGAGCAGAGTATTTCTGATGTGCAGAATATGATAGTCAACGTCCTCCTGTATGACAACTACCTTGGAGCTTAACTGTAGTGGGTGACCATCCTTCTCCCATTTCAAAGTAGGAATTGGGATTCCTGAGACTCTGAGCTCGAAGTGGACGCTATGTCCTTCGACACACTCAACATTAGCCAGCAGACGTTTAAACATGGGCCTCATAGTTTCCTCCATCACAGGATGAGGTATCACAGTGAGACGGGCCTCACAACGGTCTTCCCCAAACTTGTTGTGGGCCATGACGGTGTATTCGGCATCATCATTCAAGTCCAGGTTGTGGATCATCAGCTGGTACAGACCCTTATCACTGGTGAACGTGTACTTGCTGTCATCGTCACCTGGCTTGATTCTCTCTCCATTCTTAAGCCATGTTACCTGAGGCTCTGGGTGCACGGTAATAGTGACACCAAAGCGCACATCTTCGCCAATGTAGGCTGTGCGATTGTAGAGAGGCAAAGTGAACTCGGGTGGTCTCTGCAGGAGTTTAGTCTTGTCGACTCTCTTCCTCAGTTTCTTGATGGAGCGGCTTATATAGTGCTCTCTGATGCTCCTCACTGTCTCAACGAAGAGCTCTCCATAAGCACTGTCCTCTCCATTGTCACTCACTACCTTGCATCTGTACACACCATCATCACTCACTTCAATGTCCTTTACATAGATGCTGGCAAAACCATTGCTGTAAGTAATTTCATACTTGGGGCTTGGGTGTAGCTGGCGGTTACCGAAGTACCATGACACCTGTGTACTCTTGTCATAGTGGTAGATGATACAAGTGAATCTGACATGGCCACCTTCTTCAGCTGAGCCATGCATGACAGGACCAGTGCGGAGGCCATGGTACTCAGTTCCAATCTTCACTTTACCCACAGCCAGTCCTCTTTGGTTCTTGAAGGCGCCACCATAGGCTACACGAGCTGCTGATACAATAGTATCTGTCCTCTTTACCAGACTCTGGTAGTACCTTCTGTGTTTCAATGTCCTAATGATCTTGTTGCTGACATGCTCAATCTTCATCTTGAGCCATGGGTGGTCCAGAGCCTCTTGGGCTGTCATACGGAGCTTCCTGTCCTTGACAAGAAGTCTGTCCACAAAGTCCATTGCCTCTAGGCTGATGTCCTTAAATGCTTCACTGTCAAAGATGTATTCACAGTTGGAGATGTTCTCAATCATCTTTGTAGTGGACTCTGCTGCAAATGGATTGAGGCCACTGAGCAGAACATAGGCCATCACACCAACAGACCACATATCGGTAGCTGTTGTGACTAGGTCGTGACGGTGGACCTCAGGGGCACAATACTCCGGAGCTGAGAACAGCATTCTGATGTTTTCTCCTGGAACCAGAAGCCTAGCCTGGCCCATCTCAATAATCTTTATGTTGGTGCTTCTCCTTGTGGTGTACACAATGTTGTCTGGGCGGATATCAAAGTGGCCAAAGTTGTGGCTATGCAAGAACTTGAGGGCAGAGCAGACTTGTCTTAGATAGCGGACAATCTCTTGCTCTGTAAGCTCAAAGTTGCTGGTCCCAAGGCGCTCGAAGATGTCAACTCCAGAAATAAATTCAAAGATTAGGACGATCTCGTCCATGCTTTCAAAGTATTCATGTAGGTAGATGATATTCATGTGCCTTGCTAGGTTAAGGGCTTCAATTTCCCTGAGAACTAACTCACGGTCAGTTCCTCTGACCTTGATAAACTTGGCCATGAAGGTCTTCTTGGTGGCAATCTCAACACAGCGGTGGACCGCTCCAAACTGGCAGCGAGCAAGTTCCTCAGTGATGACGTACTTGGAGGACAGCTCCTTCACCTTGTAGAATGGAGCCTCCTCCTTGGTGATCTCTCTGGTTTCGTCCACTTCCTCATCATAGTTCCTGATCACAGACTTGTCTTCCTTTGTGGTAATAGGCTCAGTTGGCTCAGAAGGAGAGCTCAAGCCAAAGTGGTTTTCAGCAATGACTCGGAACTGGTACTTGGTCTTTCCGAATATGTTGATGATAGTGATGCTGCAATCAGCGGTCTGTCCAGCGCGGATCCACCTGTCAGCAGTTGTGGGACACTTCTCCACGATGTAGCTAATGATATCGCTTCCACCATCACTGGCAGGAGGCTCCCAGGTCAAGGTGATGGAGTCCCGAGATATGTCGCTGACAATGAGTCCCTTTGGAGCATCAGGAATGTCAGCCACGTCCACCTCAATGGTTTGCTTGTCCGTTCCGAACCTGTTCTTTGCAGTAATAATGTAGTAGCCACTATCCTTTCTCTGCACTCCCTTCTGGAAGACCAGGGAGGTGAAAGACCTAGTGGTAATGACTTGGTAATAAGGAGAGTTGGAGAGGATCTCCTGACCCTTCTGCCAAATGATTGCTGGCTCAGGCTTGCCAGAGATGGGGATCTTGATGGTGATGTGATCACCACGGGCTGCGTGGACTGCTCCCATTCCCTGGAGCTCCTTGGGCAGGTGGATCTTAGCAGGAACTGGAATTAAAATAAAAAAAAACATCACATTAGTTTTATATTTATTAAGATTTCTATTTAAGGAATTACACCTGCAAATCACTTAATGGACTCTAGGAAACTATACCAAAATGATATCATTACCTTCCACCTCCAGGTTGGCTGTTGTAGAGACGGATCCTGAGGAGTTGGTCGCTCTGACTTGATAAACTGTGGCGTCATTCTCATCAGCTGCAGTGATGACCAGCTGGTAGTAGCCTCCCTTGAACTCCAGGGCTTTGATCTTGGTTCCATCTGCCTGGATCTCCTTTCCACTGCGGTACCATTTCAACACAGGCTTAGGATATCCCACCACCTTGTGATAGGAAAAATAAGTGGGTTAAATCATTTGCTGAAAAATAACTCAAAGCAGACTTGTGTTGACGTTGAAAGTTGAATACTTTCTCTACAGAGTCACATGGGAACACCTATATCTATGAAATCTCTGAGCATCCAGTACAGAGTGAAACCTCTGTATAATGTCAGTCTTTTCATTTTACTCTAGGTGTTCTTTTAACACTTAGACTACAATCACTTTTAGGTTTGACATATTTAGACAATGAAGACACAGCATGTGAATTTGTGAGAGCAAATGTAATATATTTCAAATAAAATACCTTAGTGACAAATGTGGCATTGTTATGGTATTTAACAGTCATGTCTCTGATCTCCTCCCTGAACACAGGAGCACGAGGAGTTTGGTCAGACTTGGGGATGATAGGCTCAGAGAGCTCACTCCAGTCGCTTTCGCCGCCCATGTTCTCACACTTGACACGGAACTCGTACTCGAAGCCCTCGATCAAGCCGGTGACCTCGTAGCTGGTCTCTACAAACTTCTTACTGGTTACCGACATCCACTTGTTCTGCTTCTTCTCACGTTTCTCCAGGTAGTAGCTGGTGATTTTAGCTCCACCATCGCTGGTTGGAGGCTTCCAGCAGACAACACAGGAGTCCTTTGTAGAGCTGATGATGAAGGGCTGCTGTGGGATGCCAGGTTTTTCTGAGAAATGAGCATGGTATGTTACTGTTGTGATCTATAAAGTTACTCTTACCTCTCTACAATGTAGCTACAGAAGCTAAAACTGGCAAATATTTTACATTACATTTATTTATTTATGAATGGGCATACCAAATGGACTCTTGACGATGACTACTGATGGGATTTCCAGAGGTTCGCTGACTCCGTACTGGTTCTGGGCAGAAACTCTGAAGTAGTAGCCAGCACTCTCGATCAGGTTGGGGACACGGCAGGTGTTGCCAGAAATGGAGGAGGACACCAGGTGCCACTGCTCGCCTTCTTTGGCCTCACGCTTCTCCACGATGTAGTTAGTGATCATGGAGCCTCCGTCATCCTTGGGAGCCTTCCAGCTGATGACAACTGAGCTCTTCAGCAGGGCATCAACAACCACGGGGCCCTCAGGGATGGATGGTTTATCTGGGAAAAAAAACAAATAAAGGAATGAGCTATATTTATACATTTACAGCACTATTTTGTGGGTGATCTGAAAACAAATTCATATAACAAATAACATGAGAATACTAATATTTATTAAGAATATTTTGACATTTTCACACACCTTCATCTACGTAAATTGCAAACTGCACTGTAAAGTGATTTCCATTATTGACTTTCATTTGAATTCATAAAATATTCTAATTCTAAATTTTGTGCCACTTGCTGTTCTCAGTAGTCTGGTGTTACCTTGGATTTCAACACGTAGCGACGTGTCGATAGTTCCAAATGAATTGCTGAGCTGCACCTTGTAGCGGCCAGCGTTGGTCTTCCTCTGGACGTTCCTCACTACCAGGTGGGTGTAGCTTTCAGTGTTTTCAATAATCACATTTTCAGACGCGTTCAGAGGCTTCTTGCCATAGAACCACATGATCTGGGGGATGGGACGCCCAATGTAAACAACATGGAGGCGGAGGCTGGTGCCAGCCCCGGCAAAGTACTTCTCCTTCAAAGGGAAGCCTGGGTGGAACTGGGGCGCTGCCTGAAGGCGTAGTTTGCCGCTGGTCTCAATCTCTCCAGCCTCGTTGACAGCCCTGCAGGTGTACAAGCCCTCGTCTTCCTGCTCGTCTGTCAGGATGCTGAGAGAGTGGTTCCGGCCATCTGAGCTCATCTTGTACTTGCGGCTCTGGATCAGTTCCTTGCCATAGCGGTACCACTTGATCTCAGGCAAAGGTCTACCGACGATGCCACAGGTGAGTGTGCCAGACTCGCCAAGCTTGGTGGTTACGTCTTCAATCTCTTCCTTCAAAGCTGGAGCCTCACCAACTGCAGAGACATCAGCAAGTTTGATTTAAATGTAAAAATGCTACGCTTTTTACTTTTTTGCTGTAAAATGTATGTAACACTGTGCAATACTAATGCTGCTACTTCAACGCATATTTTATATAAAGTGTGCTGAAATGCATGAACATCTTTATTTGAAAAAACAATCAAACACTGCAGTAGCTCACCGCTCAGTTTGGTCTTGATGCCCATGGGTGTGCGACGAGGTCGGCTGAGACCAGTCTCATTTTCAGCAAAGATTCTGAACTCGTACTCTGTGGCCTCCATCAGGCCGCCCATCGTGAACTGACGATCCTTGGAGCGCTCCTTGTTGCATTTCTTCCAGGCACTCTCTCCAGCCTGCCTGAACTCAATCCAGTAGCCCAGGATCTCTTTGCCACCATCATGCTCGGGCCTGAGCCAGTGGATGGTGATGCAGTCTTTGGTGATGGAGATGATGTCGATCTCTCCTGGTTGGCTGGGTTTGTCTATGAAGAGACAGACAGGAGGAGATTAATATAATAAAATCAGTTCAGAGAGAAAATGCCGGTCACGTTCAACTTAATCTTGTCTTATTCTACTTTTTTAGCACATGCAAGAATAGGCTTCATGTGAAGGTTACTGACCAAACGGATCTTTGCAGACCACAGACTCTGAAGCAGGACCAGGTTCACTCTGCCCAATGTCGTTCTGAGCCACCACTCTGAACATGTACTCTGCATCGGGGATGAGACCGGTGACGTTGTACATGGTGGTGGTGATGTGGGTCCTGTTGTGGCGGACCCACTTCTCTGTCGACACCTCCCTCCTTTCCACATAGTATCCTGTGACGCGGGAGCCTCCATCATCCCGGGGCCGGGCCCAGGACAGGGACACTGTAGATTTGGCAACATCCATGATCTCTGGTGGGTTGCTGGGAGGTTCTGGTGGGCCTGGAGGTGCATCGTATTGTTAGTGAAATCAATATTTACAATTATTGACATCAGAATTACAGCTGTAGATGTGTATTTCTGATCAGAACATGTGTCTGTCAAGTCAATTATTTTGGGCGAACTTGACAGACATCAGCAACATATCCATAAATACTCACAAAGTGGTGTCTTAGGCGTGACAGACTCATCAGACTTGAGAGATCTGCTGATGCCGAACTGGTTCTCGGCGGAAACCCTGAAGTGGTACGCCACATTCTCCTTCAGGCCCTTCACCACAAGCGAGGTTTCAGTCACCCGGGAATCCACCGTACACCAGGCGGCCTTGGGTACCTCTCGCCTTTCCACAATGTATCCCAGGATGTCGGAGCCGCCATCATCTGACGGTGGCCTCCAGCTTACCCGGACTGATCTAACCTGAATGTCATCGAACTCAAGAGGGCCTTCTGGAACGTCAGGGCGACCGATCACCTTCACCTGAAGGAGGAGATATACAGAAAGTTAAGTTCCAACCAAAACCATTTTTTTTATTTTACTGAAGTCACGTGTCAACCAAATCTGCCGGAGGAGCCGCTCACCTTGATGTACACGGCCTTCCTGCCGCATTTGTTCTCCAGCACCAGGTCGTAGGTTCCGGTGTCATCTTTGTGCGCCTCTTTGATTACAAGCTCAGTTATGTCATCGTGGGTGGCAATCATGGCCCGGTGGGAGATGTCGTGACCGTCCTTGGTCCACTTGCATGTAGGGATGGGTTTACCCTTGATAGGCACAGACAGACAGATGACTCCGCCCTGCCGCACCACGTAGCCCTCCTCGTATTTATGATCAAGCTCGTAGTCGGGATAATCTGAAGAAGACAGAGATTTGGATTTGTCAAATTACAGATTTTGGCAAAAGAGAAATGTGTGCTTATTTGACAGTAAAATTAAACTGTAAGTTATTACCAAGCATCTCCTGGACTTTAACCACTCCAGGAATCTCAGCAGGTTCTCCGGTACCGCCAGCGTTACAGGCAATGACCCTGAACTTGTACTCAGCACCCTGGGGCATGTGGGTGAGGATGTACTCGCACATCTTGGTGGCCGTGGTGTTGCACAGTGTCCATTCCACCTGGTCCACCTTCTGCATCTCGATGAAGTAACCAGTAATGACAGAACCGCCCTCCTCTTCAGGCGGCAGCCAGGCCAGAGTGACTGACGTCCTAGTGCTGTCTGTGACTTTGGGCTGAACTGGAGGACCTGGAGGCTCTGTTCAACACCACAGAGAGATATTTTGGTAAATACACTGACTCCATACTGCTAAGAATCATCTAAGATAGGTGGTTAAAGCCTATTAAATGTCATTACAAAAAATGACACAGTGGTTAAACTGAGTTTTGCAACACGTACCGATGGGATCCATGGCGACAGTGATGGCGGAGCTCTCGCTGGGTTTGCCGGCTCCTCTTGAGTTGATGGCGGTGATACGGTGTTCGTACTCCAGGCCCTCTATCAGACCAGAGGAGCGGTACCTGGTCATGGTGACGGGGTTCTTGTTGATTCTCAGCCACCTGTCAGAGCGGGCCTCTTTACGTTCAATGATATAGCCAGCAATGGTGGAGCCACCGTTGTCCTCAGGTGGCTGCCAGGTCAGAGTCATGCCCTCGTGAGTGACATCAAGCACCTCTGGCATGCTTGGAGGTCCAGGAATGGCTACACAGGAGAAACAGGAGAGATTAATACATAGATTGAACGACAGTAGGGCAGAAAGTAACACAGAGCCTCTGAATTGTCAGAGCTCACACATTACATTTGAACCACCTTTTCTGGACATACCACCTGTTTTTGTGTACATGATAAGTGAGCATCAATCACAGAAGCATTTTCCCCCAACTTTATTACAATAATTCTTTAATAATAATTTGTTCTTAAAGTCAAGATAATTTACTAATAGATGGAGGAAGAAGGGATGATTAAAGACACAATCTTAATCACACTAACTTTTCTTGCAATAGGGTAAGAGATATATTTGGCTAAAATAACATGATAATGACTTGTGTAGTTTTTGAATGAAATGTTATGTTGCTAACTAAGCAGCTGGGTGGTTATCAGGGTGTTATTAGGTAGTTGCCAGCATGTTTCTGAAAACAACTGATGTTTGAAAAAAGTCGGAGTATTTTGGATGTATGGAATTTAGGCATCATAAATGTAAAGCACCAAAAGAAGCTGGACTAGTGAGAACAAAAAGCGAAGGAAGAATAATAAGAAGTGTTTGTTAGCACAGGAAGTACATAACAGATACATATGAAACGTATATAACAGAACAGGAAGGCTCTGCTTTAGAAGAGAACTCACTCTTTGCGCTCTTGCAATCCACCACCTCTGACTGCAGGAAGCCGCCGACACCGAAGCGATTCATGGCAGCAACGCGGAACACGTACTCTGTTCCCTCTGAGAGTCTGGTAAACTTAAAGCAGGGTCTGGTCACAGACTCTGAGACGGTGGTCCAGCCGGGCCGGTGGGCATCGCGCTGTTCCACCACGTAGCCACTGACGTTGGCACCACCATCCTTCTCTGGAGGTTCCCAGCTGACTGTCACTGACACGCCGTCAACCTCCTCGATCTTCATCGGACCAACTGGGAGGCCGGGTTTGTCTGGACGGACATAAGATGGAGTTAGAACCTTTGAATATTTTACTTGACAATATATTACATAAAAGATCTTAATGGTTACTGTCTTTTCAGGTTTCTAATCAGTAAAAGTGCACTTTAACAGGCACAACTTCTCTGCGTATAAGCTTCATATGTGTGCAGAAAGTCTCCTTACCAAGAATGATGACCTTGATGACCTCAGTTGCCACGCCAATGGCGTTCTTCACCTCGAGTGTGTAGTCTCCGGTGTCGTTGATGGTGGTCTCGCGGATGACGAGGTGGGTGTATTTGCCGTTGCTGTCAATCTTGATGCGGTCCAGGCTGTCCTTCAGTTTGACACCACCGAAGAACCAGGAGCAAACAGGCGGCGGGCTCGCCTTTATGGGGATGTTGAGGTCGATGGGTTTGCCACGGTGGATGTGGACGATCTTCTGAGGGATATTGGTCATGTCGATTTTGGGCATCACTGGAATACATAGGAGGGAAGTGATAGGTTCATTATATATTCAGTGATTTCTGTGAAGCTTTGCTGAGATTTAGTGAAGGCAGAAGGGATTGTGTGATGGTGTTCTCTTACCCTTGATGTCCTGGATGGTGACAGGAGTGACGATGTCCATGGGCTCGCTGGATCCCCTGCTGTTGGTGGCTCGGATCCTGAACAGGTACTGGTCGTTCTCTGTCAGGGACTGGATGGTGTGCTGGGACACCGACGCCTTGACTGTCGCCACGACACTCCACCTGTCCGTTCCCACCTTGCAGGCCTCGATGATATAGCCAGTCAACCTGCTGGCGCCGTCGTGCAGTGGCTTCTCCCAGTGCAGCGTGACGGAGGACTTGGTGACGTGAACGATCTGGAGGTCCATAGGCACAGACGGCACCTCGCATACCAGCACGGCCTCGGCTGTCTCACAGGGCTCGCCGACGCCATAGATGTTCTCTGGCAGGACTCTGAAGAAGTAGTGCGCTCCCTCCTCCAGACCGGTGATCCTGAACAGGGTTTTTCTACACTCAGTGGTGACGGTCTTGTATGACTTCATGCTGGCTTCGCGCTTCTCAATGATGTAGTTGCTGACGTGAGCGCCACCGTCAATGCTCGGGACGTCCCAGGTGATCACAACGGATTCCTTGGTGTAGTCCTTCACCTTCACAGAACCTGGAGGACCAGGTGTGTCTGAGGCGAGTAGAAGAGATTAGTATTTACAAGTGTCTTTAAGAAGAACCTCATTAAAACTGGTGAATCTGAGCAAAGAAAAATGCAGCCTGTAAATTTTGGTTTTTGGAACTTGGGATGACATACCGTAGACTTTCACCAGGATGGTGGCAGTCTTCTTGCCAGATGGGTTCTCTGCCTCCACAACGTATTTCCCGGAGTCGTAGCGAGTGACCTTCTCCACCATCAGAGAGGTGTAGCTATCGGTGGTCTCAATGTAGCCGCGGCTCTGCAGCTCCACGCCCGTCTTCCTCCAGGCCACCACCGGTGTCGGCCGGCCAGTCACAAATACGACCAGACGCAGGGTTCCTCCAGCGCGCAGACACACTGTTTTCTTCAGGTCCTCGGCCAGTTCCAGGTCGGGCATTTCTGAGCGGGTGGAGCATAGTAAGGGGAGAGTCACAAGCTTGAATATGACACTGCTAAAGGTCTGTCACTGGGAAAAACCAAGAGTTCTGTTTAGAAAACACAACAGTGATAAAAACATGCTCAACAAGCAATCCAAATCCCCAAATGAATGTTACCTATAACCTAAAACAATTTGAAGTCAACCTAGAGTCAAAAATCTTCACAGAAAGTAGAGTTGAACATTGACTATTTGACCTTGAATGTGTTCAAACTCTTTGACAGATTAGGAAGATTATTAATCTGTTCTGACTCACCAATTCTCTCCAGCGGTGTAACCTCATCGCTAGGTTCACTGAACTCGCCGGTGCCATTGCTGTTGACAGCAGCGACCCTGAATCTGTACTTCTTATTGGCTGCCAGGCCGGCAGCCACGTACTTGTTTGTATTTATAGCCTTGGTGGTGGCGCGGTACCACTGCTCGGTCCCCTCCTCTAGGATCTCCACCACGTAGCCGGTGACGTCTGAGCCACCGTCATACATGGGCCTGGTCCAGGTCATGCTGATGCTGTGCTTGGTTGTGTCGGTGATGCGAGGCATTGATGGAGGAGCTGGGGTATCTGAGGGTAGACAAACATACATTGATATTATATCTACTTGTTCCGACGTCATTCCGCAAATCCTGCCACATTGTTTTTTCTTTTACACATGCTTTGGAAAATAAAAAGTAGACAGTTAAACATCTTACATGTGGGGTCTTTGCAGAGGATGTATGGTGTGGCGTCGCTCGGCTGGCTGTCTCCAGCAGCGTTGACAGCCGTTACTCTGAACTGGTACTCGCTTCCCTCCAGCAGGCCCGTGATCTTCAGACGGGTGTCGTAGATGGTGTAAGTCCTATTCACTCGAGTCCACCTGGTCCAGAGAAGAAACAAGCGAACATTGTGAGAGAGAGACAGACGATAAGCATCAATGTTTCAAAAAAGTGAAACCTAAATCTGTCAGTAAACGTCTTCAGAAGTCGTTCCCACCTGGTGCTGCTTTTCTCTCGTTTATCCACGATGTAATTTTTGATCTCACTGCCTCCGTCGCTCTCGGGCTTCAGCCACTCGATGACGACATGCTCCTTACCCACACCTGTAGCCTCCGGAGTGCCCGGCTGGGAGGGGATGGCTGAGAAAGAGAGGTTTGACACGTCAGAGTCTCGGAAACAAATTTACATACTATCTCCCTTTTCGCATTACATGCAGTAATCCATAACACCTAGTTCAACAGGTGGAGAGGAAATTACTCCATGCATATCATGTGGTGTGGCGTTCATTAAACTAAATTTAACAATCTCAAGTTTACATTTAAATGTAAATCCCAAGTTTGGCAACATTTCAGGATAAAAGCGATCACCAACCACATGTCGTCTGTATGCCCAATTAAATTTCACAAAAGAGTGAGAGTTTTGCCTCAGACATATAATAAACATTTAAAGTGTGCTGCAAAAATATTTTCTCAGATACGTACTATTTAGAATTGTAAAGCTGTAATTATAAAGGATTCTGGGGTTTTTCAGTTGCTATAGCGCCACCATCAGGAAAATTGCCTTTTGAGGAAAAGCTCAAGAGAGATGTTGCAGCTTACTGTAGGCGTTCCTGGCGATGACGGGATCGGACTCCAGAGGAACTCCAGGGCCAAATTTGTTGACTCCTCTGACTCTGAAGATGTACTCGTTGTTCTTGATCAGCCTGGAGCTGACACATGATAGAGTCTTGCACTCGGCCTCCATGATGACCCAGTTGAGGCGGCTGGTCTCGCGGCGCTCCACAATGTAGTGGGTGATGGTGCTTCCACCATCCTCCAGGGGAATCTTCCAGGACACTGTGCACTTCTCCTCCGTCACTCTGCTGATCACAATGTTTTCAGCCGGAGGTCCAGGGGTGTCTGAAAGACAGAAACAGAGTTGGATCAGACAGTCCAGTCACACATCTGTCTACTTTAACGCCACTAAATGTTTTGCTGACAGTTCAACAGTCAACTAAGTGATACACTCTTAAAACGATGCCATTCTAGTTAAATTAATGTTGTTTCTTTGCTGCTCACCCAGAACTTTAACGCTGACGGCAGCGGTCTTGGTACCACTGGCATTCTTGACAGTCAGGATGTATCTTCCCGTGTCATATCTGTCGCAGTTTTTGATGACGGCCATGGCTCTGGTGGCAGTGTAGGTCAGCGAGTATTTCTCTCCGAGCTCCAAAATCTTGTCGCCCTTGGACCAGTACACTGTAGGCTGCGGTTTACCACCCACAGCGCCATCCAGGACGAGGTCAGACCCGGCGGTGACAGTGACAGTCTCGCCCACCAGCTTACTATCCAGCTCGGCTTTGGGAGGAGCTGCGGCAAAGACGAGACGATTTATTTTTTCCTCACTACACAGTCACATACTTTCAAGATCTTTCTAAAGATGCACTTGTAATCACTAGGAAACAGAAAACATATCTAAGTTTTTTGTAATTTTGTGTTTCTGAATTTTCCACTCAGATTTATTAAAGCTGGGGGAGGAACTTTATTTCAGAAGCGTTTTTTGTTATATTTGTTCACATTCTCAGCAATCAATAAATGAAATGCTCTGACACAAAAAGAGAAAACATATTTCTGGATCTGTGGCTGTCGCAGGGCTGTAATAAGACAGGGCCAATCATTTGACTCAGCTGGCCTACCAGCCCGTGCACTCACTGTGCACGAACATGTGTTTTTGGGTGCATGGCTCTGGAGGGGCAGCCTGAAGGGAGGGGGTGGGATTTTTATCAGTTCACTTCACTTCCAGAAATCTCTTGCTAGTTATCTAACGTCGCCTACCCCAGCATTAATCTATAAATGATAAATTAATAAATTATATTTTAGCTGTGGTTTTCTATTTATACAACATCAACATAGGTTTGATAATGTAAATGGTATCTAAAAATCAAGCCACAGCAAACTAAACAGAATCTGCAGATAAATTAAATAATATAGAAGGTAATGAGACTTGAATTAAAAAAATACAAAAACACATAATATAAAATATAATGTGTATCATAAGAAGAACTCTTCAGACAAAATGAAAATAACACATTTTAAGTAGAAGAGCTCTGAAACTCACAGTATTCATCCTTGCAGGTGACTGGTCCGGTGGACTCTGAGGGCGCGCTGTGGACACCCGTGGCATTCTTGGCGATGACACGGTACTCAAAGGTCTCTCCCTCTCCCAGGTTCATGACGGTGAAGTAGTTCTCGCTGACGGTGGTGTAGTTGCACTTGAGCCAGCGGTTGTCATCCCACTCATCCGTGCTGTAGACTTTCCTCTCCACCACGTAACCAATGATCTTGCTGCCGCCGTCATTAAGCGGCACGGTCCAGCACAACGACACGGAGGAGCGGGTGATGTCGGTAACCTCTGGTTTACCGGGAGGATCTGAGCAGGGAGACGTTTGTCTTAAATCACAGCTTTAATTGCACAGATTTTCTATGTGAAGCTGAGCGAGGTGAACAGCAAACAGCACCACATGTTGTGTAATCAGATTAACTGACTAATAAGTTGTTGGGGCCTTTTATTGATTAGTTACCATGGCAAACAACCTATCATTAGTTAACATAATACTTTGTACATTAATGTTTCCCTCACCAACAGGATTGAGAGCCACCACAGGTCTGGAGGCCTCGCTGGCCTTGCTGAGTCCGGCGATGTTCATGGCATACACCCTGAACTGGTACTCCAGGCCCTCGATCACGTTGGACACCTTGTAATGGCACTCCAGGCAGGGCAGCTTGTTCTCCCTCACCCACAGGATCGTGTTCCTCTCCTTCTTCTCGATCCAGTAGCCCGTCACCTTGCTGCCACCATCGGCATATGGCACATCCCATTTGATGCTGATTGCACTGGCGGACACAGATACCACATCTGGACGAGTTGGAGGACTTGGAGGAACTGTGGAAATGAAGTGGAAGTGAGAATAGTGATTCCTAATCTGAGCTGCACTTAAATGTTACAAGAATGTTGGCACACATACATATAAAATCAAGACTTGCGTTTACTTTTATATAACTGTTGAACAGAACTTACCAAATGGATGCTCAATGACAACAGGAGCAGACTCTGTGGACTTGCTGACTCCAAACTTGTTCTCAGCGCACACTCTGAAGGTGTACTCCATATATTTGGTAAGATGAGTCACTTTGATGGTGGTTCTCTTCACACTGGAGTTTACCACTTGCCAGGAGGCAGAGCCAGACTCTCGCTTTTCCACTATGTAGTTGGTGATGTCAGTGCCGCCATCATCTGTTGGCTCGGACCAGGACAGGTTACAGGACTCAGAGGAGACTCCAGAAATTTCCACAGGGCCTGTGGGTGGACTTGGTCTGCCGACGACAACCACTGTCACTGTGAACGTCTTCACACCAGCAGCATTCTCCAGGGTCAGGTAGTACTTGCCGCTGTCGCTTCTCTTGCTGTCTTTCACCACCAGAGTGGTTCTCTCCTTTGTGGTTTTGATGGAGACTCGGTCGGTCTCCTTCAGCTTCATCTCCTCCAGCTTCCAGGTGACCTTGGGCGCGGGTCTGCCGCTAATGGGGATGTCGATCGTGAAGGTGGTGGAGGTCTTGCAGGTGATGAGCTGATTGGTGATGCTGCTGAGGTCAGCAGTTGGTTCGATGCGAGGCTCCTTAATGACCACAGAGCTGAAGGTGGCCTGAGGCTCGCTGATTCCAGCATCGTTCTTGGCCTTGACTCTGAAGTCATACTCTGTGTTCTCAATCAGTCCCTCCATCAGCATCTTCTGGGACTTGGTCTCTCCGTAAACCACCCAGCGGTCAGTGCCTTTAACTCTGAACTCAACGATGTAGCCTCTGATGCGGCTGCCTCCATCATGCTCAGGCTTCAGCCAAACCAGGGAGGCTGTGGAGCTGGTGGTGTCGACAACATCCAGTCTCTTGGGCGGTGCGGGTTCTTCTGTAGCTATGATGGGCTCAGTCATCTCATGAGGTTCTCCCTGGCCGTACTGATTAACAGCAATCACTCTGAACACATATGGCACGCCAATATCCAGACCAGTTACCCTGATCATCTGGCGAGAGCACTTGGTGCTGACCTCCTGCCAGGCCAGACGACTGGCCTCACGCTTGTCAACAATGTAGTGGTGGATTCGGGATCCGCCGTCATTGGTGGGGGCATCCCACATCATTGTCAAGGCTCCACGGGTAACATCTTTGAAGCTGATGACACCCGGAGGTCCGGGTGTGTCCAGCACTTTGACGGTGAATGTGATGGACTTGCGCCCGCTGTTGTTCTCCAGGGACAGGGTGTATTTGCCTGCCTCGTACCTAGTGCAACTCTCGATGGTCAGGGTAGAGAAGGAATCTGTGGTGTTGATGTCGGCCATGATGGGCAGCTCACCGTCTACTTTAGACCAGGTGGCGAGAGGAACTGGTTTGCCTTGGAAGGCAATTTGGAGGCTGACAGTGCCGCCATTCTTCACGATGTGAGTCTGCTTGAAGTTGGCATCAATGTTGATCTCAGGAGATGTAAGTCTGTCCAGAGCCTGAACAGGGTTGGGCACAACTGATGCTTCGCCCTCTCCAGAGCTGTTCACAGCGCTGACCCTGAACTTGTAGAGCTCTCCAGGGACCAGGCCGTTGGCAGTGTACCTGGTGTGGATGCAAATCTGGCTGTTGACTCTGTGCCACTCCTCCAGACTGGCCTTACACATGTCGATATTGTAGCCAATGATTTCCATGCCGCCATCAAAGACTGGCTTGGTCCATTCCAGGGTGACAGAGGACTTTGTGGAGTCAGTCACCTGATCGACAAGACAAGAGGATAGTTCATGTAAGTTTTGCCTTTTCCTCTATATTTTAGTTTCATACATTAAATATTTAAAAATATATATATTTTGAGGTTTCATCTGTACTACAGTACTGATAGAGCTGGACGATATGGCGATAATGTTATCACGATTAAAAGTTTCATATCTTGCGATATCGATAATTATCACAATAAGTATCAAATCATTATGTCTTTTGAGTTTATTTAAATTATATTGTGACAATTATTGTTATTGTTTTATTGTCCAGCCCTAAATACTGATTATTCAAAATAACTTTTCCAATTTGAAGGTTGACCTCAACACCTTTATATGGTTCTGCTCTTACGATTCCTGCAATCTTACCTTGACTAACGTGGGAGCACTAGGAGCACTGGTTGGCTCTCTGGTCTTGAAGAGCCTGGAGGTACTGCTGGCTGGTCCAACGCCAGCTCCATTTTCAGCCATGACGCGGAACTCATACTCGTTGCCCTCAGTGAGGTTGGTGACACGGTGTCTTAGCTCTGTGATGGGCCTCTTAGAGGAAACCTTCACCCACCGCAGGCTCTTCTTCTCCCTCCTCTCCAGGATATACTGTTTGATCTCGTTACCTCCATCCGACCGTGGCCTGGTCCAGCACAAGGTGATGCTGTTTCCAGTCACATGGGTTGCATCTGGGGTACCCGGGGCATCAGGGACAGCTGAGGGGGGTAGCAGAAAACAAGATAAGTTATAAAAGTAAAGCTTTGAATGTAAATTAAGTTCAAGTGCAATATATTGGGTAACGTTTTTAAGGTTTGGTCAACATGTCAGAAAGGCAATACTTGTGAGTGACTTTACTTACTATATTGCATCTGTGCGATGACAGGATCAGAGTCCAGTGGTTTTCCGACACCAAACCTGTTGACAGCTGAGATTCTGAACTGGTACTCATTGCCCTTGATGAGGTTGACGGCATTGAAGGAACAGGCTTCGCATTTAGAGGTGACCATGGCCCAGGAGAGCCTGGATGTCTCCCTCTTCTCCACCACATAGTGGGTGATGGCGGCACAGCCATCATTCTCCGGCGGGTTCCACCACACGGTGCACTTCTCAGCTGTGATGCCAGTGAAACGGATGGGACCCTCGACGGGTCCGGGGGTATCTGTGAGGAAACAGAAGGTAGAATTATGTACTTTTGTGAATCAAAGTGTTAATAGAAAGAGGTTTGGAAATGTCTTTAACAGATATTGAAATATAATTGTCAGTGTTTACCAACCTTGTACTCTGACGTTGACATCAGCTTTCTTGGTTCCGGAGCTGTTCTTGGCCTCTATGGTGTAGATGCCACGGTGGTTCCTGTCAGCATCACGGATAAAAACGCTGCTGGTACCAATGTTGGTGGTAATCTCGATGTCAATCATGGTCCTCTTGTCGATCTCTTTGCCATCCTTGTACCAGACAACCTGAGGGACAGGACGTCCAGTGATGCTGCAGCTGAGCTTTACGTTCTCTCCGGCCCTCAGTGTAAGCACCTGGTCTGGAGACCACTCAATCTCAGGAGCAACTGGAGATGCAAAGAGAAGGAACAAATGAGGAATCAGCACAATCAAAGGGATGTGAGAAAATTACTTTTTTTTTTTTTTTTACATTTGTTGATACCTTTTTTTTTTTTTTTAAATACTTACTGCTCTCATCCTTGGTCATAATGTATCCAGAGGAGTTAGATGGTGGACTGACTGTGCCCACAGCATTCCTGGCAATAACTCTGAACTCAAATCTGTCTCCAGGGGACAGACCAGTCACAGTGAACTGGGTCTCGCTGATATCAGTGAAGTTGCACCGCAGCCATTTGCTTCTACCTTGGCGTCTCTCCACACTGTAGGCCACAATTTTGCTGCCTCCATCCCTCTTGGGGATATCCCACTGCAGGGTGACTGAGTCTCTTGTAACATCGATGCAGACAGGGGTGCCAGGTGGATCTAATTCAGAAAAGAAGGAAGGAATTTATCCATAGTACATAATATTGAAGTATTTTAGCTGTAATGTAAAAAGAACAGACACTTGCAGAAATATGCTTGTTTGCAGTCTAATACAACAGATTTGGAGGTGCTAGAAGTAATTTCTTTCCTAATTATGGAGCTAGGCTAATAGTTTCCCTTTCCTTCCTGTCTAGGCTAAACTAAACACATCCTGGGCTGAACAAAGACGAAAATGACATCTATCTTCTTGTGAAGTTGGGAAAAACAGCAAATAAAGAGGTGCTTCTCACAATGCCGGACTGCTTAAAAAGTATGAAGCTATTCGTCAGCACTGACAGATGTACTCACCAACAGGGGAGATGGCCAGTGCATGTTTGCTCTGTTCACTAACAGGGCTGAGTCCAGCGTTGTTCTCAGCATACACCCTAAAGGAGTACTCCAGACCCTCGATGAGACTAATGATCCTATACTCTTTATTGGAGATGATGGTGGAGTTCACCTTCTGCCACAACAGGCTGTTCCTATCCTTCTTCTCAACATGATAGCCCAAAATGGGGGATCCTCCGTCAAAGCCAGGGGCCTCCCATCTGATGGTCATACCATCACTGGTGATGTTGTAGGCCACTGGCTTTCCTGGAGGGCCTGGAGGCTTGTACTGGTGCTCTGCAACAATGTCTGATGAGTTGAGTGGTTCACTGACTCCGTATTTGTTTTCTGCACGGACTCTGAACTGGTACTGGGTTCCCTTGACCAGGTTGGTAATCTTGAAGGAGGTCCTGACAACACTGGAGCAGACAATCTTCCAGTTGGCCTGGGAAGTCTCACGTTTCTCTACACTGTAGCAAGTGATCTCACCTCCTCCATCCTCCTTCGGTTGATCCCAGGAGATGATGACACTCTGTGCTTTAATTTCATCGAAGCGGATGGGACCAACTGGAACTGATGGAGGTCCCAGAGTGATCACATTTATGTCAAAGTAGTTCTTGATGACTCTGTTGTCCAGAACCAAGGTGTACTGGCCAGCATGTTCCTTCTTGGCCCCTCTAACTGTGACTGCAGTCTTGTTGTCAGTGGTCCTGAATCGAATCCTATCACTTTCCTTAAGAGGCAAGTTATCCTTTAGCCAGCTGATTGCAGGTTTTGGTTTACCCTTGAAGGGCAACTCAATATGGATGTTCTGACCAATACGAACAGCGAGCTCTCCATTGGGGTAGTCGATGAGGTTGGCCTCAGGTGGAATGATAAAGTCCATCACTGTGATTGGACCAATCTGGGAGAAGTCACTGTTGCCCTTTTCATTCTTGGCAAACACTCTGAAGTCCATGACAGCGTTCTCCTTGAGTCCTGTCACCTCGCAGCTGCAGCGCTTGCACGTCGCACCCAAAGTCCAGGTGGTATCTTCCATGGTTCTCTTCTCAATGATGTATTCAGTGATGTAGCTGCCACCATCGTGGTCAGGTCTGGTCCACTGCAGAGTAACAGAGTTCTTTGTGGAGTCCAGCATCACCAGGTCTTTGACAGCTCCTGGAGTTTCCGTGGCTCTGACAGGCTCAGTGGTCTCGCAGGTGTCGCCCACACCGTACTCGTTTTCAGCAGACACACGGAAGAAGTAAGCTACATCCTCCTCCAGGCCAGACACCTTGTAACTTGTGTTGGCACACTCTGCGGTGATCACCTGGTAAGCCTTCATGGTGGAGGCCTTCTTTTCTACAATGTAATTAGTGACAGGGGAACCGCCGTCGATAAGAGGAGCCTCCCAGCTGAGGGTCAGCTTTCCTCTTGTCACGTTCTTGACCATCATTTTCTGGCAGGTGGAAGGACTGTCCAGAACCTTAAGGGAAATGGTGATAATCTTGGGTTCTCCCACACCATTCTCAATCTCCAGCAGGTACTTGCCGCAGTCATCACGGGTGACCTTGGTAATGAGGAGTGTGGTGGCTCGCTCAGAGCTGGTGATGGTATAGCGGTTGTCACCAGCTATGTTGCGGTCGCCCCGGCGCCAGGTGACGTTAGGTGCAGGGCGTCCCTTCAGGGGGATAAACACTTCCACGTCACGGCCGGCCCTGGCTGTGTACTGGGTCGTCATGTGAACGTCCAAGTCCAAATCAGCTTCCTCTGTTGGAGAAAACAACACAACACAAACAGAAGAAAGAACAGGAATGAAAGATTAATATGACACATGACATAATCCATCAGAAAATTATGGATTACTCAGGATAAAAATCAATGGCAATAATTTGAAGCCAGAAAAAATATGGAAAATAGCTTTTTAATGCTGTGCTTATCAATATGTTTTTATCTTGAACAAAAAACAAATAAGACTAATTTCCTGTGTCAGTATCACAGAGGGATCAATTTGAATACAAACCCAAGATATCCTTGGCTTGCACAGGCTGGTACATTTTGATGTCCTCTCCTTTGCCCTTGCAGTTGACAGCAGAGACTCTGAAGAAGTAGTAGGTTCCAGGTTTGAGGTGGGATACCACATACTCGCAGGTCTTGACCTGTGGGTTGGTGATTACCCATTCTTTTTCCTCTGTGTTCATCTGTTCCAGATAGTAGTGTGTGATTTCACTGCCTCCATCGTAGACAGGCTTCTCCCAGCCAAGGGTGATGGAGGTCTTTGTGGAGTCGACTACACGCAGCTTGGTTGGCTCACCAGGCAGATCTGAAGAAGACAAAAGGGTATAGATGTGGTTACCAAGTTCCATGTGAAGACCTTCACAATAAATAAATCTTAAGGCTGGCATGGTGACATTAGTTTACCGATGGGATCATAGGCCTTGTAAAGTTCAGAGGGTTCGGAATAGTTTCCTGCTCCAGCCTTGTTGACAGCACAAACTTTGAACTGGTACTCGTTGTTCTCCACCAGGTTGGTGACTTTCTGCCTGGTGTCTCTGATGGTGCCCTTCACCACCTGGACAAGAAATGGATGTTATGATGCTTACACCTGCCAGTTATTAGTTTGTCTTCTTCACACTTACAAACAAAATCTCCAAAGATAGGCCAGCAAACAAACCTTGAACCACTGCAGACTCTTCTTCTCCCTCTTCTCCAGGTAGTAGCCATCGATGTCACTGCCTCCATCCAACGCCGGCCTCTCCCAGACCACTGTCATGGTGGACTTGGTGATCATGGTCACTTTAGGCTTGGATGGTTCGCTAGGAGGAACTGTAAGAAATTAAGGATTCCAGTGTTTACAACTACTCTTCAAAAAAACACTTCTGTATTGTCACTATACTTGTTTTCAAAGCTAACAATCAACTCTGGATTGAACAGCAGCTTTGGTGATTGACAGTGAGTTTATTCTGTCTGCTTACCAAATGCGTTCTTGGCAATTACAGGCTTAGACTCCAGTGGGTCTCCAATGCCATACTTGTTGACTCCACGTACTCGGAAGATGTACTCATTGCCCCGGATGAGTCTGGGCACATTAACGATGCAGTCGACCAGTTTCTCTGAGACAATGGACCACATGACCCTGCTGGTCTCCCTCTTTTCCACAATGTAATGTGTTACCATGGCACCACCCTCATCAGCAGGCGGGGACCACATGATGGTGATGTTATCAGCCGTCACCTTCTTAAACTCAATCTCTCCATCAGGGGGGCCTGGCTTATCTGTATAGGGGGGGGGGGGGGGGGGGCATATTCATGCATGTCAGGCTCTATACTGTGTATAAGACGCAATTCATTCAAAGCATAAATACAGTTTTTAAATAATATCTGATTACCTTGAATGAGCAGCCTGACATAGGCGGATGCAGATCCCAGGGAGTTCTTCACCTTGAGCTCATAAGTTCCAGAGTTCAGACGCGTGGTGTCCTTCAGGAACACACTGGAGGACTCGAATGTGTGTTTGAAAGAGAGCTGTGCGTTGGGCACAAGCTCTCTGCCATCCTTAAACCACTCAATAGTGGGAGCGGGTTTGGCTATGATATTAAACTTGAGCTCCACATCAGAGCCAGCCCCGTGCTTGACCTCGTTTAAGTACTCCTGAGGTGTTTCAATCTCTGGGGCACCTGGATCACAAATTCAAAAATTTAGATTCTGGTGGCTATATGCATCATACATGAACAGGACACCATGTGGAAACAGTTGATGGATCAACTCTAAAAATGCAAAAGTGAAAAAAACAATAGTACTAGATGAAAGGCCACAGAGTGTCCAAAGTGTTAGGTGTTCACTCTCCGAGGAGAATGAATGTGCTAGAATTTTTAGCAATCCACAGTTTGGAATAAAAAGGTGAAAAGCATAAATTAGACCTACCGTAGGTGTCCACACATGTGGCTGGTCCTGCGGTCATGGATGGGTTGCTCACTGAGCCAACAGCATTCTTGGCCATGACTCTAAACTCGTATGTCTCGTCCTGGGTTAGGCCTGTCACAGTGTAGTGGGTGTCTGTGACATTGGTGAGGTTAGCCTTGGACCATCTGGCACTAACACCCTCTTTCTTCTCAATGATGTAGCCGGTGATTGGGGATCCTCCATCATAGTTGGGCTTCTGCCAGGCCAGGCTAATGGTGCTCTTGGTGATGTCACTAATGCGCAAGTTGATGGGTGGCTCTGCAGGACAGTGAGAACGTGTTAAAAGACAACAAGAAGAAAAATCAGATATCCTTGATTTTTATATAGTTTTTTACATTCCACTCACCACAGGCATCAATAGCCAGCACTGCATCAGAAACCTTGCTGAAGGCACTGATTCCAGCAGCGTTCTCTGCTGCCACCTTGAACTCATAAATAAGTCCAGCTTCAATGCTGGGAACCTTGAAGTGTGTAGCACGGATCACCATTTTGTTGACTCTCTGCCAAAGGATGCTGTTCCTGTCTTTCATCTGGAGATGGTAACCGAAAACGTGGCTGCCACCATCTGACTTGGGCTCCTTCCAGCTTACAGTGATACTCTCTCTGGTTACAGCAGTGATCTCTGGAGTTGATGGAGCATCAGGGACAGCTGGCGGGCAAGAGGCAGGGGTTGAAGTTAACATGTTCATAGTGAAGAACAGAGTAGGAAAATTATAAATGTAAAGACAAAACAAAGACCACTTACTGTAAGGAAGGCTGACACTGACAGTTGGGGAGTCAATGTGTTCGCTGATTCCGTATCTGTTCTCAGCCCTGATTCTGAACTGGTACTCCAAGCCAGTGTTCAGCTTCATGATTTTTATGGTGCAGCGGGCCACAGCAGAAGAGACATCCATCCAGTTGGCTGTGGTTGTCTCTCTCTTCTGGATGATGTAGTTGGTGATGGGGCTGCCACCATCATATGCTGGTGGAAGCCACTTCAGGCTGACACTGTCTTCTGTGACATCAAACAGTTCCACAGGTCCAAGAGGGGCACTGGGGCGGTCCAGAACAATAATATTTATGAAGGATTTGGTGGTTCCACTGGAATTTGAGGCAATGATATCGTAGCGCCCTGAGTCTTTAGCAATGCTCTCACGCAAAGTGATCTTGATGCTGTCAAGGGTGACCTCAGAGTTGAACCTCATTGTTGACTTGAGCAGCACGTTATCCTTGGACAGGGTGACTTTAGGCAAAGGCCGGCCTGTGACTGGGATCTCACACTTGAGTGTGGAGCCGGCTCTAACATACACTGTGTTGTGGGGGAAGTCCTTCATATCGATCTCAGGAGATTCTGGAGAGACAGTTATAGTGTAAACAGGGTGTAATATTGTGTAATTTGACTTGGTTATTTGCTGGTTATATGCAATAAGTACAAGTAACGGATGTTACTTATTCTGTTGTTTGTATTTTGTCTTGATTATTCTTCTGGGCTGCACTTAAATAATAACTTTTCAATTACTTGATTAATCAAAAAACTAAATATAATTTTGTATTACTCAATATAACAATTACTTTACCCAAAATAAATATCAATATCAATATTTTATTCAAAAATGTTCTCTTAAAAACATCAACAACAAAGTATGCAATGCATTATTCTGCAACAATAAATAGCCCAGTCTATAGATTTAATCACTGTGATAGCAACCCTTTCCCTGAACTGGAGAATTAAGTACTTGATTTAAATGTCATGGATTCATTTCATCACGAGTGATTTGCAGTTAGATAGTAACTTGAAAATGTATTTTTGCATCAGTGTGAGGTAAGGAAAATAACAGACCATAACAACAGTCACAGAAAATAAACAGGAAATATAAAACAGCTGAATAACAACATTAGATGACGCACAACATAAAGTTACGTTACCATAACAACAGGGGTTCAAAAATACACCCACACTTTGGATGATGTTTTTTAGCTGCACGGTTTTAACTGCAGTTTGTTCCCCAGGGGAATCCATGCTTTGACCAGCGCTGTCATACTTCATTGCGTTGCACTGACGCCTGTTATGCTAGTCAACATATCCGTAATCGTCAAAGTTGATTACATTAGTGAGTCCTAGTCTTCTCTAATCACACTGTTCTATCAGATCCATCTAATCATCTGTAACTTACCAAGCTGGTCTTTGACCACTACAGGGCTGAGCATTTCCTTAATATCACTGAATCCAGCGTGGTTCTCAGCTCTGACTCTAAAGAAGTATTCAGCATTCTCCCTCAGACCAGACACTGTGAAGTGGATCGACTTGGTTACGCCACAGTTAACCCACTTCTCCTGGCCTTTCTCCAGAGCTTCTACCAGGTAGCCAATAATTCTGCTGCCTCCGTCTTGTTCTGGTTTGGCCCAGGCCAGGGACACACTCTCCTTGGTCACATCAGTAACACCCAGCTTTGGTGGTGGGCTTGGTTTTTCTGGACAAAGAGGACATAATGTGTTTGATTCAAATAATCGGATAATATCTTTTGCATAACAATAAGACACTATAATTTCATCGACTTAAAATTCAATACCTGTGATCTTGGTTCCTTCTTTCGTCTCGGCAGGAACACCTACACCGTACTCATTTTCGCCTGTCACTCTGAAGTAGTAGACTCCTCCCTCCTGCAGGTCTGTCACCTTGAATGTGAGTCTGTGGCATGTGTCAGTCAACCTGGTCCAGCCTTTCTTGCTGGCCTCTCGGAAATCAACAAGGTAGTTCTTGACTGGTCCTCCTCCCTCATTCTCAGGAGTGTCCCAGGTTACAGTAGCAGAGGTCTTTGTCACCTCCTTGACCTCTACATGGGCAGGAGGTCCAGGGGAGTCCAGGACTCTGACATTGAGTGTCAAAGTAGAGGTTCCAGCTACATTGGACAAGGTGACGGTGTATTTGCCAGAGTCGTCACGAGTTGCTTTCTCTAAGGTGATGGAGGTGAAAGTGTCTGTGGTGTCAATGAAAGCACGAACTCTAAGGTCAACATCAGGCTTAGTCCACGTAACACTGGGAATGGGTTTGCCTCTGTAGGGTACTCGCATGGTAAATGAGCTCCCATCCTTCACAACAAGAGTCTTCCTCATCTCATTACTGATGTCAAAGATTGGCTCCTCCTCTCTTTCTTTGGCGACCTGTTTATCTGACTCAGGACTGGGCTCACTGACTCCAATCTTGTTAATGGACTTGACAACAAAGACATATTCAGCCCCAGCTGTCAATCCCACCACTGTAAACTCTGTGTTCTTGGTGTTCTGGACTCCAACAATCCATTCATCATCTAAAGTCTTCCTGTATTCTACCCTGTAACCAGTCACAGGTGCTCCACCATCAAACAGTGGCTTATTCCACGACAGGGTGACTGTGTTTTTTGTAGTGTCAATGATCTTGGGTTTAGCAGGAGGTGAAGGCAGGAACTGTGGGTCTTCAGCCTTGGTGAGTGGGCAAGGGGTGCTGGGAGCACTGAGGCCAGCAGAGTTCTCTGCAAACACTCTGTACTCATACTCACAGCCATTACGAAGGTGTGAGGCTTTGACTCTGAGATCATAAACAGGTTTCTTGTTGACACGGCACCAGCGAAGGCCAGTTTTCTCGCGCTTTTCAATGACATAGCCAGAGATACTGCTGCCACCATCAGAAACTGGCCTATCCCAACAGATGGTCATTGCCTCACTAGTAACTGCGGTGACTTGGACATTAGTGGGTGCTGCAGGCACGGTGAATGGATCCATGGCCTTTCTTGGCTCACTCTCCAAGGCCTCACCATCCCCATATTTGTTTACTCCCCTGACTCTGAAGATGTACTCATTTCCTTTAAGCAGCTTGGTCACTTTACAGGTGGTTGCTTTCATGTCACCATAGACGAGAGTCCAAGCTAGGCGACTGGTCTCGCGTTTTTCCACAATGTAGTGCATGATTTCAGCACCACCGTTCTCCTGAGGGGGTCCCCAGGTCAGGGTGCATTTTTCTGCTGTGAGGCCAGACACTGCCAAAGGTCCTGAGGCAGGTCCAGGTCTGTCCAGTACCTTACAGTTGATAGCCACAGACCTGGTTCCTGCCACATTGTGCAGGCTCAGGACATACTGGCCAGAGTCCCTCCTGATAGCATCTCTGACAATCAGGGTGGTTGCGAAGTTGGTCGAGGTGATTTCACACCTGGCCTTGGCCTCAATCTCCTTTCCATCCTTAAACCAGGAGACAACTGGGAGTGGACGGCCTGCGATTTCAGCATCAATTGTAATGATCTCTCCGGACTTAATGACAAGTAGCTGTCTGAACTTATCTTCCAGGATAATGGTGGGAGGGTCTACATCATCCTTGACTGTGACAGGACCAGTGCTCTCTGAAGGAGCACTCAAGAGCTCTGCTGAATTCTTAGCAATGACATGGAAGTCATATTGTACATCTTCTGTAAGGCCTGTGACATCGAAGTAGGTGTCTTGCAAGTTGGTGAAGTTGCATTTCAGCCAGCGGCCATTGGGAAGTTCTTTACGCTCAACAATGTAGCCAGTAATCTTTGCTCCGCCATCATACTCTGGCTTCTCCCAGAAGAGGGAAACTGATGTCCTGGTAATGTTGGTGACTCTAAGGTTACAGGGAGGTTCACATGGGTTTCTGGCTGCCACGCCGTCACTGGCAGTAGTGCATGGACCAATGCCAGCAATATTCTCAGCATATACTCTGAACTGATACAGCAGGCCTTCTTCAATGCCTGTCATCTTAAATTGGTTTTCAGCCAGCAGACCTCTGTTGACCTTGGTCCACAGGAGGCTGTTTTGGTCTTTGCATTCAATGTGATAACCAATAACAGGGCTTCCACCATCACTTGCAGGTTTGCCCCATACCACGAGCATGCCATACTTGGTGGCATGAGAAACATGGAGGTTGGTTGGTGGGCCAGGAGGACTGAAGGGATACTGAGCGACAACAGGAGTAGAATCAATGGCAGGACTCTTGCCATAACGGTTCTCAGCTGCAATACGGAACTGGTACTCTGTTCCCTGAGTGAGACGAGACACCTTGATTGATGTCCTGGCTACTGTTGCTGAAACAATCTGCCATGTAGTTGTGGTAGTGTCTCTCTTCTCCACCACATAGTTGTTAATCTGGCATCCACCATCATAGGTTGGAGGATCCCAAGACAGAGAGATGAAGTCAGCGCTCACCTCATCCAACTTTATGTTACTTGGCGGGCCAGGTTTGTCCAGGATAATAACAGAGATTTCAGCTGTCTTGGTGCCAAATGGGTTTGTCAGTGTAATCTCATACTTTCCAACATCGTCCTTGGTTGCATCCTTGATCAAAATCTTGGATGAGGTCTTTGAAGTAATAACATTGACCCTGGTTGTCTGCTTTAGCACCTGGCCGTCCTTCTTCCAGGACACCTCAGGCTGAGGTCTGCCTTTGAAGGGAACATCAATCTTCAGGTCATCTCCTGCTTTTACGCTGTATGTGTTGAACAACAGGTTGATGGTGGGTTCCACCGTGATGTCCTTCACCAACACAGCGGTGGCCAGAGGCTTGGCGTCACTCTTGCCCTTATCATTCACAGCAGTCACCCTGAAGAAGTATTCCTCTCCAGCTGTGAGACCATCTATAGTAGCTTCCAGTGCTTTGACTTCACTGCACACAGTCCATTTGTCTTCTCCCTTGGGCTGCATCTCCACAATATATTTTGTAATCTTGCTGCCTCCATCATGATCAGGTTTCTCCCAGGAAAGGGTTACAGTATGTCGAGTCACATCAACTAGACTAATCTTACCAGGAGGCAAAGGAATCTCAGACACTTTAACTTGATCTGTGGAGGCGGGCAGACCTACTCCCAGCTCATTCACAGCCAACACACGGAAGTAGTATCGGCCTCCCTCTTGCAGGTCAGAAACAATGTAGGAGTTCCTCACACAGCTGGTGCAAACACTGGTGAAAGCCATTCTCTTCTGCTCTCTCTTCTCCACAATATAGTGTGATATCTTAGCCCCACCGTCAATTAGAGGCGGCTCCCAGGAGAGAGAGACAGAAGTTCTCTTCACATCCTTAACCTCCAGGTTAGTTGGAGCGCTGGGGGAGTCCAGTACTCTGACATTAATGAAGGCTGATTTAGAGCCACTGAGATTCTCAAGCGTCAGTACATATTTGCCAGTGTCAAATCTATCAACATTATCAATCACCAGCATTGTGTAAGAGCTTGTGACGTCAATCTGGGCACGCTCATTCAGAGTGCCATCAGCCTTTGACCATCTGACCTCAGGCTCAGGCTTTCCTCTGATTGTCACAAACAGACGCAAGGTGGCGGTGGCACGGACATTGACCATCTTCCTCAGGTCAGCATCTAGTTCAATTTCAGGAGCCTCTAGCTTCTCCGCAGCAATCACAGACCCAGGTAGGTCCACATGCTCTCCTACTCCCTCACAGTTAACAGCACAGATTCGGAAGTTGTACTCTACATTCTCCTTCAATTTCTTTACAGTGTAGTGAGTAGTCTGAACACCAGTGGGTAGTGTGCAAATGATCCATTCATCATCTGTAGCCTCCTTCATTTCAACAATATATCCAGTGATCTGTGCTCCACCATCATAGATAGGCCTGGACCAGGACAGAGACACTGTAGTGCTTGAATGGTCAGTGACTTTGGGGTTATTTGGAGGTCCTGGTGGGTATGTGGCATCACAGGCCTTGATATATTGGGTTGGTGCGCTAGGCTTTCCCACACCAGCAGCATTTTCAGCTGAGATCCTGAATTCATAACAGTGGCCCTCTGTGAGACCAGTGCATCTGAATCTCAGGTCACTCAGCCTCTTTTTGTTGCACTTAGTCCATCTGATGCCATCCTTATCTCGTTTTTCAAGGATATATCCTTCAATCTCAGCTCCTCCATTATTCTCTGGTCTCTCCCAGGTAAGTACTATGGAGTCCCTAGTGATAGCGCTGGGTTCTGGGGTGGAGGGGGCACTGGGAGTGGTGAAGGGGTTACGAGCAATAACAGGCTCAGATTCCAAAGGCTCACCAACACCATATTTATTCACTGCAGTGACTCTAAAGATGTATTCATTGCCAGGCAGCAGTTTGGTTATTTTGTAGCTGATAGCCTGGATCTTGGGCTCAACCATGGTCCATGACAAACGACTGGTCTCTCTCTTCTCAATCATGTAGTGAGAGATGCTGGCTCCACCATCATGTGAGGGATGGTTCCAGTGCAGATAACATTTCTCAGCTGTGACCCCTTTGACTTCTAGCGGGCCATCTGGAGGACCAGGTCTATCCAGAACTTTAACATTAACTGGGATCATCTTGACACCTCCCACATTGACAAGTTTTAGGACAAAGTGGCCACCATCCACTCTGATGCAATCCTTGACTGTCAGGATGGTACGTGTGAGTGTGGTCTTGACCTCCATTCTTGGTGTGGTTTTGTCAATCTCCTTTCCATCCTTTAACCATATGACCTCAGGCACAGGCTTGCCAGTGTAGTCAGCATCAATGAGGAATGTCTCACCAGCATGAACAACAGTCAGATCCTTAAATTTAGAGTCCAAGGTGGCTTCCGGCGCTTCTATTTCATCTTTCGCAGTAATTTCTCCCGTGCTCTGAGAAGGATGGCTGGAAATGCCAGCAGCGTTCCTGGCAATGATTCTGAACTCGTAAATACAGTCCTCAGTCAGGCCAGTGAGTGTGAACTGGGTATCAATGATGTTGGTAAAGCTGGCTTTCATCCAGCGGGTATCTGGGTGCTTCCTCCTCTCAATCACATAACCAGTGATCACACTGCCTCCATCATATTGAGGCCTGGTCCACTGGAGTGTCACATGGTTTCTGGTGATTTCAATAGCCTCAGGAGTGCCTGGTGGGTCACATGGGTCTCTGGCTACTGTGCTCTCAGAGACCTTGCTAGCTGGGCTCATTCCAGCAATGTTCTCAGCATAAACTCTGAATTCATACTCAATACCTTCTTCCAGCTCGGTAGTCTTGAAACGTGCATCTGCGATTAGAAGTTTGTTGAGTTTAGTCCACAAGAGGCTGTTCTTCTCCTTTCTCTCGAGGTGATAGCCTAGGATGGGGCTGCCTCCATTGTTGATGGGAGCTTTCCACTCAACAACCATGTTATCCTTGGTTGCAGCCGAAACAAATGGTGTTCCTGGAGCAGCAGGCTCAGTAAATGGATACTGAGCAATAACAGCAGGAGAGACTATGGCAGAACTCTTTCCATATCTATTCTCAGCAGACACTCTAAATTGATACTCAAGTCCAGTCTTCAGGTTGGTGACTTTGATAGTTGTCCTGGCAATAGTGGCAGACACAATCTGCCATGCTGTCGTGGTGGTGTCTCTCTTCTCTACAATGTAGTTGTTGATCTGACAGCCTCCAGTATACTCCGGTGGCTCCCAGGAGAGAAGGACATAATTAGAGCTCACCTCCTCAATCTTCACAGGGCCTGTGGGTGGACCAGGCTTATCAAGAATAACAACAGTAATCTCCTCTGTGGCTGTTCCGACACTGCTGGTGGCTGTGACAGTGTATTTACCAGAGTCTTCCTTATTTGTATCTTTGATGCACAGCTTAGTAGATGATTGTGTGCTGGATACATTTAGTCTGGTTGTCTCCTTAAGAGCATGTCCATCCTTTTTCCATTCAACCTTGGGCACGGGACGTCCTATCACTGGAATATCAATCTTGAGATCCTCACCCAGCTGTAAACTGTAAGTTTTGAATGTCATCTTAAATCTGGGCTCGATAGTTATATCTTTGGCAGTGACTGGTGCAGCCAGAGGCCTGGGGTCACTCTTGCCCTTATCATTGAAAGCTGACACTCTCAACAGGTATTCATGTCCTGTGCTGAGGCCTGTGACCGTGCCCTCACAAGTTTTGGTTATGGTAGCCACCACCCATTCCTCTGAGCCCACAGGCTGCATCTCAATTTGGTAGCCCATGATCCTGCTGCCTCCATCATGGTCTGGCTTCTCCCAGGAGAGTGAGGCAGAGGTTTTGGTCACATCAGTCAAAGTGACCTTACCCACTGGCAGAGGAGGCTCAGAGGTCTTAACTGAGTCTTCTGTCTCAGCCGACTGTCCCACACCAAACTCATTCTCCGCTAAGACTCTGAAATAGTAGATAGTTCCCTCAGTGAGCCCAGTTATACGGTAGCTTGTCTTTGTGCATTTGTTGTCTACATTAGAGTAAACCTTCCTGGTAGACTCACGCTTTTCAACCAGATAATTCTTAATTCTTGCCCCACCATCTATAAGAGGAGGCTCCCAGGTCAGAGTGACGCTTTCCCTCTTAATGTCTTTTACTGTTAGATTCAGAGGGGCCCCTGGAGTGTCCAGAACTTTAACAGAGACAAAGGCTGATTTGGTTCCAGCACTATTTTCCAGGTTGAGGATATATTTTCCAGCATCATATTTATCACAGATATCAATGGAGAGCTGTGTGTATTCTTCACCCGTCTCTATCTGAACTTTACTCGGCAGTTCTCCATCCTCCTTGGCCCAGCTGATCTCAGGAGTAGGACGGCCTTTGAATGGAATGCGGATTCTCATTGATCCTCCTGCACGGACAACTATTCCCTTCCTGAGCCCTGAATCAAGGATCATCTCTGGAGGATTAATCTTATCCATAGGTTTCACGACTCCCTGGATCTCAGTAGGCTCACTAACACCTAGCTTGTTGATGGCACATATGCGCACCTTGTATTCCTGGTGCTCTATCAACTTTGTGATGGTAAACTTGGTAGCTTTAACTCCATAGGGTGGAGTACATATGGTCCACTCCTCCTCATCAGCCTTAGTCACTTCCACAGCATATCCCTGAATCTCACAACCACCATCATAGATAGGCCGGTGCCAGGCCACAGTGACAGAGTCTTTAGTCATGTCGACCACATTAGCATTGGTGGGACAGCCTGGTTCAAACATGGGGTCACAGGCTTTGAGGTAGGGTGTAGATGGGCTTGGCTGACCCACTCCAGCTGCATTCTCAGCAGATACCCTAAATTCATATTCATGGTCCTCAGTTAGTCCTGTTACTCTGAAACGCAAGTCTGTCACTCTGCGTTTGTTACACTTGGTCCACCTCACTCCAGCTCTGTCTCTCTTCTCAACAATGTAACCAACGATCTCACTGCCTCCAGTGGTCTCAGGGCGGTTCCAGCAAACAGTCATGGAGTCCCTGGTAATATTAGTGATCTCAAGCTCCTGAGGTGAGCCAGGAGCAACAAATGGATTTCTCATGATAACTGGCGCTGACTCAAGAGGCTCGCCCACACCATATTTGTTGACGGCCATGACTCTGAAGATGTACTCATTGCCCTTCAACAGTTTGGTAACCTTGAACATGGTAGCTCCACATTCACTGGAGACCACAGTCCATGCCAGACGGCTGGTTTCTCTCTTCTGAATAACATAGTGAGAAATGCTAGCTCCTCCATCATGCCTGGGTGGCAGCCAGGACAGTGAGCACTTCTCCTCAGTGACATTGCTAACAGTCAGAGGTCCCTCTGAGGGGCCTGGTCTGTCCAGGACCTTCACACTGAATGGGACAGTCTTAGTTCCAGCCACATTAGTCAGAACCAGTGTGTACTGTCCACCATCCACTCTGATGGCATCCTTCACAATGAGCAAAGCCTTAAAATCTGTGTTTTTGATTTCAGCTCTAGCTGAGTTTTCAACCTCAACATTTCCTTTGAACCACTGAGCTGTTGGGATAGGCTTTCCTTCAACACTGGCCTCCAGACTGAAAGTCTCTCCAGCACTGATAACAATGGTCTGGTTGTACATGGGATCTGTCTCACACTTAGGTGGGTCAACTTCATCCATGGCTGTGATGGATCCTGTGCTCTCAGAGGGTTTGCTGACAGCACCAGCTGCATTCTTTGCAATTACTCTGAAGTCATATTTACTGTCTTCTGTCAGGCCTGTAACTGTAAATTCATGTTCAATGACGTTTGCAAAGCTAGCCTTCATCCACTTTCCTTCAGGAAGATTGCGTTTCTCCACTACATAGCCAGTAACTAAGCTTCCACCGTCGTACTGTGGAGGGGTCCACCTCAGCTTCACTGAGTGCCTGGTCACTATTACAGCATCAGGACGGCCAGGAGGATCACATGGGTCACGGGCTACATAAACCTCGGAGACTTTGCTACATTTTCCAATGCCAACAATATTCTCAGCATATACTCTGTACTCATACTCAATGCCTTCCTCAAGAGGAGTAGATTTAAACCTGCAATCTTGGATGAGCATTTTGTTGATCTTGGTCCAGAGGATACTGTTCTTCTCTTTCCTCTCCAGGTGATAGCCTAAGATGGCACTCCCTCCATCAGATGGGGGTTTGTGCCACTCAACCACCATATAATCTTTAGTGTATGCAGACACAAATGGTGTTCCTGGTGGGCCAGGCTCCTGGAACGGATACTGTGCCACAACAGGCTCGGAATCAATTGCATAACTCTTTCCATATCTATTCTCCGCATAGATTCTGAACTGGTATTCAGAGCCTGTCTTCAGATTGCTCACTTTTAGAGTGGTTCTGGCCACAGTGGCAGATACAACCACCCAGTTGGTTGTGGTTGTGTCTTTCTTCTCCACTACATAGTTGGAGATTGGGCAGCCACCGGTATATGTAGGAGGTTCCCAGCTAAGAGTCATACTCTCAGCACTAATGTCCTCCAACTTGACAGGGCCTGTTGGTGGGCCCGGTTTGTCCAGGGTAATCACCTCAATAGTGGCATCCTTGGAACCCAGGTTATTGGCAATATTAATGCTGTACATGCCTCCATCCTCCCTGGTGGCATCCTTTATGGTGAGAGTGGTGTGATGTGCTGAGTCAGTGACATTGACTCTGGTGGTTTGCTTAAGGGCAGCTCCATCTTTAGTCCAAGTGATGGTTGGCTTTGGATGACCAGCAATTGGGACTTCTATCTTGAGGTCATACCCCACCTGGACACTGTAGGTGCTCACTTTGGGTCTGACAGCAGGCTCAATCACAAGGTCCTTTGCTACAACTGAGTGAGCCAGTTGTCTAGGGTCACTTTTGCCCTTGTCATTTACAGCAACAACTCTGAACTGGTACTCTTCTCCCTTAATTAGGTTTGTTACTACAGTCTCCAATGTCTTCCCACTAGCACACACAGACCAAGCTTCACTGTCCTTAGGTGCCAGTTCAACTTCATAGTAACTGATTCTACTGCCACCATCATGTACAGGCTTCTCCCAGGCAAGAGTTACACTACTGGAAGTGACATCAACAACTCTGACTTTACCAGGTGGCTGAGGCTTCTCAGATATCTTAAGTGGTTCTGTAGTTTTAGCGGGGAGACCCACACCATATTCATTCTCAGCCAGAACTCTGAAGAAGAAGATTCCACCCTCTGGAAGAGGCTCAACTTTCCATGTCATCTTGTTGCAGGTAGTGATGGGAGTGTAAACTTTCCTAGTGCTTTCACGCTTCTCAACAAGATAATGCTTAATCTTTGAGCCACCATCCAGAAGTGGAGGCTCCCATGTGAGGGTGACAGAATTCTTGGTAATCTCTTTCACTATGAAGTTAGTTGGTGGACTAGGTGAGTCCAGGACTCTGACACTAATAAAGACTGACTTCACTCCGTTGGCATTCTCTGCAGTGAGGATGTATTTACCACTATCAAATCTATCAACATTTTCAATGACAAGTGAAGCATAGTTGCCTGTATTGTCAATCTGGGCAGTCTCCTTAATCTCGCCATCAGCCTTGGCCCATTTCACTTCAGGAGCCGGACGACCTCTCACAGGAACAAATAGCCTGAGAGTGCATGCTGCTCTAATGTTGATCATCTTTCTCATATCAGCATCCAGGTCAAGATCAGGAGCCTCAAGTTTCTCCTCCAAAAGAATTTTTCCTGGAACATCAGCATGCTCACCAACACCAACTTTGTTGATGGCACACACTCTAAATTGGTACTCATGCTTCTCCAGAAGCTTTTTCACTGTAAACTTAGTGTCTGTGATTCCAGTGGGAGGAGTGCACATAAACCACTCATCAGATGCCGCATCGCAAGCCTCAACAATGTAAGCCTGAATCTCACAGCCACCATCATAGATAGGTTTGCCCCATGTCAGGGAAACAGTAGATCTAGATGTGTCAACCACCTTGGGGTTGTTTGGTGGGCCTGCTTTGAAGATAGGATCCAGTGCTTTGTAGTACAGTGTTGGTGCGCTAGGGGTGCCAACACCTGCAGCATTCTCAGCAGCAACTCTGAATTCATAGCTGTGGTTTTCCAGGAGCCCTGTCACTCTGAAGCGCAGCTCACTCACGGTGCGCTTGTTGCACCTGGTCCATCTCACACCATCCTTGTCACGTTTCTCGACAATGTAACCCTGGATGGGGCTGCCACCATCATTAGTTGGTCGCTCCCAGGTAACCACCATGGAGTCTTTTGTAATTGTGGAAACCTCTACCTCAGTCGGTGGGTTAGGAGTGACAAATGGATTTCTGGCAATCATTGCCTCAGATTCCAGAGGCTCACCAACTCCATATTTGTTGACTGGAATCACTCTAAAGATGTACTCATTACCAGGAAGAAGTTTTGTTATCTTCAGGTTCAGAGTCTGAACTTTTGGTTCAACCACAGTCCAAACCAGTCGGCTAGTTTCCCTCCTCTCAACAATGTAATGGGAAACATCGCTACCTCCATCTTGCAAGGGAGGTTTCCAGGAAATGGAGCATTTCTCACTGGTAACCCCATAGATGGAGATGGGGCCCTCGGGTGGACCTGGTCTGTCCAGAACTTTGACATTGATGTTGACAGATTTCTCTCCTCCAACATTCTTTATCAGCAAAGTGTACTGACCTCCATCGATACGGATAGCTTCTTTAACAACTATACACGCTGTAAAGTCTGTGTTCTTGAGCTCTACACGAGCTGCTTCAGTAATCTCTTCACCGTTCTTCAGCCAATGTACCGTGGGAACAGGCTTACCAGAGATGGCAGCTTCAAGCCTGAACGTCTCTCCAGCATTTACCACAACAGCCTGGGAGTACTTAGCGTCCAAGTCAATTGTGGGTGGATCCACTTCATCTTTGGCAGTGATGGGTCCTGTAGAATCAGAAGGCTGACTGAAAACACCAGCTGCATTCCTGGCGATGACACGGAATTCATAAATCTGATCTTCAGTAAGTCCTGTGACAACAAATTTGGTCTCAATGACATTGGCGAAACTGGCCTTCATCCAGCGGCCAGCTCCATCCTTTTTCTCAACCACATAGCCCGTGATCTTGATGCCGCCATCATACTCAGGTTTGGTCCATCTGAGTGTCACTTGGTTTCTTGTCACAATGACAGCCTCAGGTTTTCCTGGTCTGTCACAAGGATCTCTTGCCACTTGCATTTCACTCACTTTGCTGACTTTGCTGAGGCCAACAATGTTTTCACTATAGACTCTGAACTCATATTCAATACCCTCCTCAAGGCCAACAACCTTAAATCTGGTCTCTGGGATAAGTTGTTTGTTCTGTTTCACCCACAGTATACTGTTTTTCTCTTTGAGCTCTAAGTGGTATCCCAAAATTTTGCTTCCACCATCATTGCTGGGTTTCTCCCATACAACCACCATGCTCTCCTTGGTGGCTGACTGAACAACAACAGAACGTGGTGGGCTGGGCACTTCAAATGGATACTGAGCAATAATTGTCTCCGAGAGCAGGACTGAGGACTTGCCATATCTATTCTCTGCAGCAATCCTAAACTGGTACTCACATCCAGTCTTCAGACGGGCTGCCTTGATAGTGGTTCTGGCCACTGTAGCTGACACAATCTGCCAGTTAGTGGTTGATGTGTCTCTCTTCTCAACAATGTAATTGTTGATGCTGCAACCACCATCATACTCGGGTGGATTCCAAGACAGGATCAAGCTGTCAGCAGTGACCTCATCCATCTTAATTGGGCCAGTTGGTGGACCAGGCTTATCGAGAACAAGAACACTGATCTCTGTAGATGCCTCTCCAGCTGTGTTGGATAGTTTGATAGTGTATGTGCCCACATCATCTCTGCAAGCCTCCTTAATAACCAGAAGAAGGTTTTTGTCTGTGGCTTCAGTATTAACTCTTGTTGTCTCCTTGAGAACAACGCCATCTTTGAGCCAAGTTGCTGTAGCCTTGGGACAGGCAGCATATGGTACATCTATCTTCAGATCATCTCCTGCCAGCACATTGAATGTGCTGAAAAGCAGTTTGAAGGTGGGTGAGATGACCAGGTCTTTAGCAACCACAGGCACACTGAGAGGACGTGGGTCACTAACTCCCTTTTCATTGGTGGCTGAGATACGGAATATGTATTCCTGTCCCTGTGTAAGGCCAGTTACAACAGCTGCATTGGACTTTACGACCATGACCTGGGTCCACTTCTCACTGCCTTTACTCTGCATTTCAACAATATAGCCTGTGATTCTACTGCCGCCATCATGGTCAGGCTTTTCCCAAGTTAGTGTGACGCTGGTGCTGGTAACATCACCAAGGGAGACTTTGCCTGGTGGTAGAGGCTTCTCTGAGACTTTAATTGGTTCAAGAGTTTCAACTGGCAGGCCAATGCCATACTCGTTCTCAGCCAGGATTCTAAAGAAGTACATCTTTCCTTCCTCCAGGTCTCCAACCTTCCAACTGGACTTATGGCAGCTGGCACAGACTGTGGAGTAGGCTTTTCTGTTTGACTCGCGCTTCTCCACAATGTAGTTTCGGACCCTGGAGCCACCATCAATGAGAGGTGCATCCCAAATGAGGGAAACTGAATCTCTAGTGACCTCCTTAACGAACAGATTCTGAGGTGCTCCAGGAGTATCTAGCACCCTGACATTAACGTAGGCTGTTTTACTTCCTGATGCATTCTCTACAGTCACCATGTATTTGCCACCATCAAACCTGTCAACATTTTCTACCTGAAGAGTAGTAAATGATGGGGTGATTTCAATGTTAGCTTTGTCCAGGGACACCCCATGCTCTCTTGACCATTTTACTTCAGGCGCTGGTCTTCCCTTAATAGGGACAAAGAGTCTGAGTGTGCTACAGGCTCTGATGCAGACTACCTTTCGCAGCTCTGCTCCAAGTTCAATTTCTGGAGGAAGCAGCCTGTCTTCAGCCTTGGGGGTTCCAGGAACAGCAGCAGGCTCTCCCACCCCTTCACAATTAGTGGCACAGATGTTGATTTTGTACTCTTGGTTTTCCTTCAAGTTGGTGATGGTAAAGGAAGTGGCTGTCCACCCCTTCTTGGGAGTGTGAATTGTCCACTCATCTTCCTCAGGCAAGCAGGTCTCCACAATGTATCCAGTGATTTCAGAACCACCATCGTATACAGGCTTGTTCCAGGCAAGGGTGATGGAAGACTTGGTTGTGTCCAGCACTCTGGGGTTCCCTGGAGGTCCAGGCTGGAAGATGGTGTCTACAGCTTTGTAGAATGGACTGGAAGGACTAGGCTGGCTTAGACCAGCATTGTTCTCAGCAAGAACTCTGAATTCATACTCATGTCCTGGTGTGAGGCCAGAGGCCTTGAATCGCAGGTCAGTTACAGTTCTTTTGTTGCACTTCACCCAGCGTAGTCCAGTCTTATCCCTTCTCTCAATTATGTAGGTGTTTATTCTGCTGCCTCCATCATGTTCGGGGCGATCCCAGCAGACAACCATGGAGTCCTTGGTAATGGTGGTGACCTCAGGCTGCTGTGGTGGGTCACTGGGGACATAGGGATTGGTACAGATGACCGGTTCAGACTCCAGCGGCTCACCAATGCCATACTTGTTAACAGCCATGACTCTGAAGATGTACTCATTGCCTTTCAGAAGCTTGGTGACCTTGAACCTGTTTGCCTGTAGGTCTGTGGCCACATTTGTCCATGCCAGTCTACTGGTTTCACGCTTCTGAATAATAAAGTATTCAATCTTGGCTCCTCCATCATGTGTTGGATGCAGCCAGTTAAGGACACATTTCTCAGCAGCGACATCAGTAACAGTGAGGGAGTCTGGTGGCCCAGGTCTGTCCAGCACCTTGACATTGAATGTGAACTTGGCAAAGCCACCGGGATTGCTGGCAGTTAGAGTAAAAGCACCTCCATCCCTCCTCAGGGCATCTTTGTTTATTAGAGCTGTGTGGAAGTCAGATGTCTTTATTTCTATTTTGGCTGTGTCTTCAAGCTCCTTTCCTTCCTTGGTCCATACCAGAGATGGGATTGGCCTGCCAGTCACACTGGCCTCCAGCTTGAACATCTCTCCTGCCATGACAATAACATTACTGCTATATGATGCGTCAACATCAAGCCTTGGCTCTTCAATATCATCTCTGCACGTGATTGCTTCTGATGACTGGGATGGAGAACTAACAGCACCAGCTGAGTTTCTAGCAATCACACGGAATTCATAAGTTGCATCTTCGATCAGACCACTGACTGTGTAGATGGTTTCTAGGATGTTGTTGAAGTTGGCTTTGAGCCAGCGTCCATTGGGCATCTCTCTTCTCTCTACTGTGTATCCAGTGATTGAAAATCCACCATCTCCCTCTGGTTTGGTCCATGACACTGTCACCTCATGCCTTGTGATATTCAGTGCAACAGGCCTGCCTGGTGGGTCCACCGGGTCCAAAGCCGCCATAGGCTCAGAGGGTTTGCTTGGTTTGCTGAGACCAGCCATGTTTTCAGCAATAACACGGTGTTCATATGCGATTCCATCAACAAGGCCTGTTGATTTAAAGATATTTCCGACAACAAGAGCTTTGCTGATCCTCTGCCACAGAATGCTGTTCTTCTCTTTCCTGTCCACATGATATCCCAGGATGGCACTGCCCCCATCAGAGGAAGGCTCATTCCAACTAAGAGTCATAGCATCCTTGTTGAAAGATGTGACAACAGGAATGCCTGGCTGGCCTGGCACATCAAATGGATAGGCTGCTACCACTTGTTCAGAGATAATGCATGGTCCAACGCCATATCTATTTTGGGCCTTGACACGGAACTGATACATGGTTCCAGTGTTGAGTCGGGCTGCCTTGAATGTGGTACGGATCACTGTAGCTGCCAACTCTACCCAGGAAGTACCGGTAGTCTCCCGCATCTCAACAATATAGTTGCTGATGGGAACACCTCCATCATTCTCTGGTGCCTCCCAGGACATGAGAACATAATCGCATGAGACCTCGTCTAGCTTTATGGGACCAGTGGGAGGACCTGGAATGTCGTGGACCAATACTGTGATCGTCTCAGTCACTGTACCCAGCATGTTCTTTCCAGTCATTGAATATTGTCCTCCATCAGTCCTCTTGATCTCACCGATGTTGAGGATAGTTGATGTTGGTGTGGTTTCAGTGTTGGTCCTTTGCGTTTCCTTGAGTGTTGTGTCTCCCTTCTTCCAGGAAACCACAGGTCTGGGTTTGCCGAGCACTGGAATCTCCACCTTGAGACGGTCCCCTGCCTTGGCGATGACCGTCTTCTGGTAGACTCCACGCAGGTCAAAGGAAGGAGCAGAAGTTTGCTCTTTGATAATAGCAGGCCTGCTCTCTCGGGGGTCACTCCTGCCTGATGCGTTTACAGCCATTATGCGGAAGGTATATTCAGCGCCCTCAATCAGATCTGTGACAGTGTAGTCCAGAGCCTTGATGGTGGCCACATGGACCCACTGGTCAGTGTCCTTCTTCTGGGCCTCAATGACATATCCTGTGATTAGGCTGCCACCATCATGCAGGGGCTTGGCCCATGCCAGGCTGGCACTATCAGCTGTCACATCTGTGACATACAAGTTCTCTGGTGCAGAGGGGGCCTGGGACACCCTGATTGGCTCAGGGGTTTCATAGGGCTCACCTATGCCCAGGTCATTCTCAGCAGAGATACGGAAGTAGTAGTAAGCTCCCTCCTCAAGGTCTGCAAACTTAAAGGAACACTTCTGCCATGTGGTGCTAAGAACCGTGTAGGCCTTCTTGGTGGCCTCTCTCTTTTCAATAATGTAATTGTGAATCTTGGAACCACCATCGATTATTGGGATTTCCCACTGGAGAGTGATGCTTCTGTTAGTGATCTCTCTAGGTTTAACATCGACTGGTGGTCCTGGTGTGTCCAGAACTTTAACATTTACAAAGCCGGTCTTCTTTCCAGCAACGTTCTCCAGACAGAGGTGGTACTTTCCAGCATCGTATCTTGTGCAGTCAGGAATAACCAGTAAAGTGTAGGACTCTGTGGTATCAATATGTGCACGTGTTTTCAGGTTGGTATCATCTTTGCTCCAGGTTACTTCAGGAACAGGACGACCTCTGATGGGAACAAACATACGGATTGAAGCACGGCACCTGACCACCAGGGTTCTCCTGAGTTCAGCATCCAGTTCAAAGTCTGGCAGCACCTCCTGGTCTACCAGTTCAGTCAGTTTCTCAACCTCTGCAGGCTCGCCAACTCCCTCTGAGTTTACAGCACTGACTCTGAAGTGGTATTTGGCTCCTTTTTGAAGTTTACCAATAACGTATTCAGTAGCTTTCAATGGGAATTGTGTCTCCACCTCCCAGTCATCAAGCCCTTCCTTTTTGTACTCAACAATATATCCCTCTACTTCAAGACCACCATCATAGTGGGGTCGGCCCCAGGCGAAAGTGGCTGTGCATTTTGTGGTGTCTGTAATTCTGGGGTTGGATGGTGGACCAGGTGGATCTAATAAACAGGAAAAACAGAAAGAAGTTAACTGGGGCCTTTTGGCAAAGGCGCTTCATGAGTATTTTCTGACTTTCTTATATATGCAACATTTGTGTTTATAAAAGGTAATTCAGAATTAAAAGTCCAGTTTTACTTACACACAATGTCCTTGGTCATCACAGGGTGTGATGGCTCACTTGGCTCCCCAAATCCAGCCTTGTTCTCAGCAGTGACTCTAAACTCATACTCTACTCCCTCACTCAGGCCTTGCACCTTAAAGCGCAGGTCAGGAACCGTCCTCTTGGAGGCTCTCACCCATCTCATTCCTCTCCTTTCTTTCCTCTCTACACAATATCCTCTGATGTCACTTCCTCCGTCCTGTGCTGGTCTCTTCCATGAAATGGTGACAGCGTTCCTACTGACAGCATCAATCTCTGGGGTTGACGGTGGGCCTGGTGGGCCTAAGGAAACAAAATATGAAAGAACATTTTGGTCAGTTATAACTTGAACTTGTGGGTTGACAGGTTTTGTTTTCAAGTGAATGGAAATTAGTTAAACTAATTTTATAATTCTGTGGTTATCTGGAAATTAGCATTTTTATTATTAGATTTTTTATTTTTCTTTAATATTATATTATATAAAAAATATATATAATATAAATCGCTTAAACTTACGGTAACTGTCAACCATTTTGACTGGACCAGACTGGCTTGAGTCTCCAGTGCCATACTGGTTCACAGCAGACACTCTAAAGATGTACTCGTTGCCCTTGATCAGTTTGCCAGCTACATATCTGCAGTCCATGACGTTTTCAGCTAGCTTGGTCCACTGCAGGCGGCTGGTCTCTCTCTTCTCTAGGATGTAGGATTTGATAGAGCAGCCTCCATCCTCCTCTGGTGGAAGCCAGGTCAGAGTACACTTCTCAGCTGAAATGTTGCTGGCTTCAATGGGGCCTGGAGGTCCAGGCACATCCAGGACCTTCACCTTTACGCGTTCTTCCTTTATACCGAAGGGGTTGCTGGCAGTGATAGTGTACTCTCCTGTGTTCTTCCGGCTTGCATACTTGATAGCCAGAGTGGAGGAGGTGGGGGTGGTGGTGACAGTGACAATGTCAGAGCTCTTAAACTCACGACCTCCCTTCGACCAGACAGCCATGGGCGGAGGTTTGCCCACAATTTTGGAGGCTGAGATCACAATAGTGTCTCCTGCCCTGACTGACACACCGTCCTTCATATCTGGGTCAATAGTGATCGTCGGGGGCTCTGCAGAGAGATCAGAAGATAGTTGCTTTATAATTGTCAGCAGACCTCTTAATTTCATGACAATGATTGCTTAATTTTATGACAATATTACTTTCAAGGTCTTAAATATTTTAACTAAAACTACCCAAATTAGATCAGCTTACCATACTCATCCTTGCAGGTCAGAAGCTCAGTAAGCTCTGAGGGAACACTGATAGCCCCAGCAGCATTCTTGGCCCTGATCCTGAACTGATACTGGGATCCCTCTGTCAGGTCTGTGACCGTGAAGGCACAGCTCTGGATGTTGACATGATTGGCCTTCATCCAGGCTTTGCCGCCAGCCTCCAGCTTCTCCACCATGTAGCCAGTCAGCTTGTGGCCGCCGTCATATTTGGGAGCAGTCCATATCAGAGTGACTGTACTCCTGGTGACACTGATCACTTCGGGGTTGCCAGGAGGATCTTAAAGAACAAAAAGTAAATGTGTTAAAACATACAGAAACATGCTTTAAAAAATTAGCATTTTCTATTTTCCATTCAGGTATTTAGAAGTGTAATAAAAACTTAGAGATGCCAAAAGAAGAATTTGTGATCTTGTGACATTAGGGGGGAAAATCTATTTAGCTGTGAACCCACCAATAGGATCCAAGGCAACCACAGCCTCGGTGGCCCTGCTTGCCTTTCCTAGGCCAGCCATGTTCATGGCCATCACTCTGAACTCGTACTCTAGTCCCTCTATAAGGCCAGTGACTCTGCATTCCTTTACTCTCAGAGGAGTCTTACTGGCTCGTTTCCACATTTGACTGTTCCTCTCCTTAAACTCCACATGAAATCCTAGAGAGAAACAAAATAAGTTGATCATGATGATGTTGTTGCTATTCGCTTAACTACAAACTGATATACAAGACAGTCTGTTACCAGTTATTGTGGAGCCACCAGTGTCCTTTGGATCAGCCCAAGTCAAGAGGGCCATCTCGTGGCGGATGCTCGCTATTTCTGGAGGAGCAGGTGCCCCGGGCACATCTGGAAGCACAGACAGAGAGAGGGTTAGGTTTGCTCTTGCTCATGTTACTTGTAAAAAGTTTCTAAAAAGTCTAATATACATATTTAAATGCATCTCATCTTTATATTACAAGTTGGGTAATTTTTTTCGAAAGATTGATAAAAGATTAATACTGAATAAAGCTACATTTTCGTATGTAGGACCATTCCTATGTAGGCAGCAGGTTATTATTTTAAGATCCATTCTGCAAGGAAAAGGAGATTTACCACTTTAGGTGATATCACAAAGACAGCCATGCTAACATCATAACGTCTGTGTTCAAAACAGGCTAAACTGCTGTCTAAGAAGGTGTCTAACAGGACAGCAAGGCATCGAGTGCTGTTCCAAACGGCTTGACCGATCTCTTTCTGTCACGTAATATGCCTTCAAACTGCCCCAGTAACGGCCAGTTTTGAAGACCGCATCAAAGGTGACTTGATGCTTCCTATCACCCATAAACCAGCGCAGCTGCGGCCGGCGTAGCTTTTGGTCAAACAAGCCGAATTCGCACACAAATATACGTTTTTAAACGTTTTTAGTAGTTTTCTCGCTTTGATTTTTGAAAAGCTAGCGAGAACTATCACTCAACTATCGTATGTGCCTGTGACTGTAACCAAGCAAGTTTGTTAAGTATGATTTCAGAGGCATCTGTTAGCCATTTGGCTAGTTAGCTGATGCTAAGGCTAGGGTCTCTCTTGTGACGGCCAGAAGAGACACAAGATGGCGTGCTGACATCACACGTTACCGTAAGTGCTGCTCTAGAAGGCTGTTCTAAACCAATGTTAACAGAGATGCCTTCATTTTAAAGTTATGCCTTCTGAGGCAGCTGTCTATTACGGTAGAGAGGCAGCGAGGCAACTGCCTTCTGTTTGGAACACAGCTACAGACTATAAAAGACACATGACAACTTCAGGCCAGAATATAGCTAGCTAGCTAGGAGTGTGATACTCACTGAATGGATGCTGTGCGATGACTGGGTTAGACCTCAGATACTCTCCAACCCCATACTTGTTTTCAGCGAACACTCTGAAGATGTACTCTACTCCATCGTGGAGCCTGATCACCCTCATGGTGGTCTTCTGGATGGCTGAAGCCACTGTGACCCACTTGTTGTCCGTTGTCCTCCTCTTCTCCACAATGTAGTTGGACACCTCCGCACCACCATCGTCTTTGGGCGGTCCCCACTCCAGGGTTATGCCGTCAGCAGTGATCTCATCAAACTTAATGGGTCCTGTGCAGATGCCAGGCTTACCGACCACCTTCAGCTGGATCTTGCAGTCCTTGGAGCCAGCACTGTTTCTGACATTGATGGTGTAAGTATCGGCATCTCCTCTCTGGCAGTCTCTGATGAGCAGAGTGGTGATGCCTGAAGACGCCTCAACGCACATTCGGCCGGTGTCTCCAAGCATCGTGTCGCCTTTCTTCCAGGTGGTGGTGGGGTAGGGAATTCCGATGATGGGGATGTTGATCCGTGTGGTGCTGCCCTCCTTCGCCACGTAGCAATTGTCCTGCAGACAACTTAAGTTGCAGTCCGGCAGCACTGAAATCAAAAGGAATTTGCTTATCAAAAAACAGTTGAAAACAATCATTTTATGTTCTAACAAAACAAGCAACTGTACAGAACAAAATATGGCATGATGGATAAGGGTGATCTCTTACCAAACTGGTCCTTTGCGATGACAGTGAGCTCAGTGGGTGGTCCCTCTCCAGACTCATTGACAGCCTTGACTCTGAACAAGTACTCCTTGCCCTCAGTCAGCTCGCCGATGGTGTGTGAGGTGTTCTTGCCCTTCATGATCTCCTTCCACTTCTCCTCGCCTTGGCTTTGTTCCAGGATGTAAGCGGTAATGTGGCTTCCACCGTCGCTGAAGGGCTTCTTCCAGCCCAGGACGACAGAGTCCTTGGTGGTCTTCAGGGCTTTGAAGTCTGTCACTGGACCAGATTGCTCTGAAGGGGGAGGACAGATGAGTTAAGAGTGAGCAAGATGTGTTTAATTTTGCTTAATTTTAATAAAGGCTGAATGTAAAAGCAACTTTACTAATCTGATCTAATCGAGTTGTAACTCATCTTAAATAATCCTTATTATATACTCTATAAAATACTCTACTGTAGTGTACCGTTCTGTGCTCAAAGGGATTCTCCTCCGCTGCATAAAACAACAATGACTTGTAACTACCTGAGGCTCGGACGATCCCGGCAGTCTCACAGCCCTCTCCGATGCCGTAGGCGTTTTCAGCCAGCACTCTGAAGCAGTAGGCCTGTCCCGCCTCCAGGTTGGTGACCCTGAAGGAGATTTTGTGGCAGTCTGCTGACACGCAGGTCCAGGCCTTCCTCTCTGCCAGACGTTTCTCTACGACATAGCTCTTGACTGGGCTGCCGCCGTCAATCAGTGGGGCGTCCCAGGTGATGCAGGCGTGGCTTCTGGAGGTCTCCTTTACGATCAGGTTCAAAGGTGGTCCAGGAGAATCTGAGGGTGGGGGGAGAAGCAGTATCTCTGGGTCAGAGATTTTGTTAACTGAACTGAGATACAATTCAGATTGTAGATGGACATAATGGGAGTGAAAATATCTTAATACTAATGCTGACTTTCACTGTTTCAGCAATCACAGTTTTAGTGGACTACATCTGGTTAAAAAGTAAATTTTAGACATTTATACATTTAACCAGTGTTTCAACAACATATTTCAATGTGTTGCAGGTTGATAAAAGGACCTGCACTGAACTATTATCATTGATGCCTAGATTTATTTTCACCTGAAACATACCAAATCCATGCTCACTGGGGTGTGTGTACTCCAATTCTATTATCTCATCATGTTTCTTATGGCAGACATCTTACCGAGGACCTTGACCACGATGGTGTAGCTCTTGGAGCCACTGCTGTTCTCCAGCGACAGGACGTATTTGCCAGCATCGTATCTGTTAATGTCCTCAATCATCAGTAGGGTGTCCCACTCTGACGTCTGGATCAGCACGCCCTGCCTATCCTTCAGGTTGGCGTCCACCTTCGTCCACGTCACCTTTGGTGCTGGGCGTCCTCTCAGTGGGACGTAGAGCCTCATGGTGACGCCGGCTCGAAGAACCAAAGCTTTTCTTAGGTCGGCATCCAGCTCAGCTTCAGGAGCGACTGGAAGACAGACCGCTCATTAGTTAATCATCCCTACAGTCCCTACATTCTTAATTCAGTCTGACTTCGTCTTGTTAGCAGATTTATGTGCCTTTTTTTAGCAGACACAATTGATTTTCTACAACCAATTCAGTGTTACTTTCAGTTAATAGCAAGCCTGCGTTAGCTAGCCTAGCTCACAGTTAGTGTCAGTTAATCAAGAATGTTGAGAATACATACATACAATTATTTAAATGGATGAAATGAGTGATGCATAATAAATTAACCACTGAAAGAACCAAAGATTTATATGATGCTAAATGTAGTTTGTAGATTTGTCAGAGCAGTAGTGTGTGTTTAAGCTACTGTGTTTTGATAGGTAAGTTACCTAAATTTAAAAAAAATTCTGATAGACATACTTTCTTGTCATATAATACGTAATCTGTGTTTTCATGTTGTTTTCTGATAAAAAGGCATTTGTTTCTTACAGGTGTTTGATTGTGATAATGTGGGACGGCCACAGGTTTGTAACTGTAGCTAACATGTTAGCGAGACTAGCTATGACATTAGCCATCCTGCATCTCTAGGTCTTATTGACCTGTGTCTGCTAATTTTATGAAATAATTCACATTGCATAAAATTGAAAGAGCCCCTGAAGTCCCATAACATTATATTTTTTATCTTGTGCGCAAGTTATTATCTTGTGGGAACAAGATAGTAACTTGTGCACATAAGATCATAATTATCAAGTTAATTATTTTGTTCCCATAAGATAATAACTTGTGGGCACAGGGTAAAAAAAAACATCTTACGAGACTTCAGGGGCTCTGTGTGATCATTCAAACGAGTTCATCCTCAGGGGTTAGTAATCAGAATAAAGCGGTATAATAAAGAGTTGAAGAGCGTACTTAGGATGTCCTTGGGCATGTGGTTTCCAGGGACCTCACTGGGCTCACTGAAGCCGATCTTGTTGACAGCGAAGACTCTGAACTGGTACTCAGTGTCGTCAAGGAGGCCGGTCACAAGGAATTTGGTGGCCTGAAGCTTTTTTGCAACGTTGCACTTCATCCAGGTCTCAGAGTCAGCTCGCTTACACTCCACCAGGTAGCCGATGATCTCGCAGCCACCATCGTAGGCCGGTTTGGTCCAGTTAAGGCTGATGGAGGTCTTGGTAGAGTCCACCACCTTGGGGAAGGCAGGCGGGCCGGGAGGATCTGGAAAATTATTGAAACACATTTGTTAGCCTATTATTCTCACATTTTACAAACATTCCACAACCCTGTCTGTTTAAAGCATTGTTTTTTCTAAAGCAGATACTTACAGACGGGGTCAACAGCCAGTGCGGCATTGGATGCGTCGCTGGGTTTTCCCGGACCAGCCTTGTTCACGGCGATGACTCTGAACTCGTACTCAGAACCCTCGGTCAGCTGAATGGCCTTGATAGTCCTGTCGATGACCGGACGGCGGTTGACCTTAGCCCATGCCAGCTCAGTGGCCTCACGTTTTTCCACCATGTAGCCCAGGATGGTGGCCTTGCCGTCATTGGCTGGGGCCTTCCAGCTCACTGTCATGGAGTCCTTAGTAATATTGGTGATGACAGGCGGCTCGCATGGACCAGGAACATCTGATGGTCATAAAAATCTCCCGTCAGTGTTTGAGTCTTATCAACAGGCAAAATGTGCTGTCTCGTAAATATTGAGCAACATTGTGAGTTTGGAGGGTCTGAACACAGAGAAATGTGATTATTTAAAACAAGACTGATGAATGATTAACACATTGGCCACGTCAGGCAAATTGTTTAATGCTCACACTAGAATTTTGGATAATAAATGAAGAAAAGAGTGAAAGTCAGAAGTTCTTTTTTACTGTGTTTTGTACTTTTCAAATGGACCTTACTGCAGTAAAGGTTTTCTTAAGCTGATGATACATGGGGCAACTTTTTGAGCAATGTTGCTGGGCAATGTTGCCGTCAATGGTAATAAATAAAGATTACTACTGTAATCCCCTTCCCCCACCACTCCGCCACCCGCCCGCCCCACAGCTATCTGTTCAAAACATAGTCAGACTTGACACCAGCAAGATTGCCCAGCAACATTGCTCAAAAAGTTGCCCTGTGTATCATCAGTTTTACATTCCCTATCCAGTGGTTGCTTTAGCTACACAGGTCTGAACGTACCATATGGGTTCTTGACCATGACGGGGTCAGTCATGATTGGGTCTCCCACACCATACTGGTTCTCAGCACTGACTCTGAACTGGTACTCATGTCCTTCGATGAGTTTCTCCACTGAGCAGTCGGTCGAATGTCCATGGATGTTGGATGACACCAGCGCCCAGTTGGCCCTGCTGGTCTCACGCTTCTCTATGATGTAGTTCGTGATCTCAGAGCCGCCATCTGCAAGTGGGGGCTCCCATCGCAGCTTAACACGGTCAGCAAACACCTTAGAAATCTTCACTGAAGCCGGGGGGCCTGGTTTGTCTGCAGGGGAAACAGTGGGAGGTTAGCTTCTTTGTTTATTTGTACACATAACATGCTTACTTAGAGAAAAGACAACAATAAATGAATATTAAATCCAACTTACCGAGCACCTTGACCTTGATGGTTGCATACTTGCTGCCATTGATGTTCTCAGCAGTGATGGTGTAGTCTCCAGACTCCTTCCTGGTGACGGAGAAGAGCTCCAGCAGGTGGACATGTTTCTTCTGGGCCATCTTCATTCCCTCAGCAAGGACCAGAGGCGCTCCATCTTTCTTCCAGAACACCTTCGGCAGTGGCTTGCCGAACACCTCAGCATCCAGGAAGACGTTCTCTCCGGCTTTCACCACGATCAGGTTCTTCATGTTGACGCCCAGATCCACACGAGGAGCAACTGCACAAGAGGAAGAGAGAGAAAAATCACCATGATTTCTCAATAATTTATTTTTTCAGTCGTAGTATTCCTTGCTGTGTTGAGGTGTACCATTCTCTGCAATGACAGGGATGGGGTCTGACAGTTCAGACGGCTGGCTGATGTTGATGGCGGTCTTGGCGATGACTCTAAACTGGTACTGTTGGTACTCCTCCAGGCCGGTCACCACGTAGCTCTCTGTCTGGATGTTCATGCAGTTGGCGTTGCAGCGTTTCCACTTCTCCTCTGGGAGCTTTGTGTACTCCACGTAGTAGCCAATCAGCTTGCTGCCGCCGTCGTGTTTGGGACGGCTCCAGATCAATGACACAGAGTTCTTGGTCACATCCATGGGCTCGGGTTTACCTGGTGGGTCTGAATGGAAAGAAGCAAATAGTTGTAGACTCAGTTATGCTGTCTGAGCAAGGAAGACGACTGAAGTTTGGGGTTGAGAGAACATGAGTGTGAACCTGGTGGGTGTCAAAGCCCTGAAGACAAGCTTCAAGCTGAGCATTCAAATAAAAGCTACATAAAAAACTAACTCCAGTGACGACTGGCTGTCTCTCAATTCAGTTAGCTTGAAAGTGTACCTTAGAATGAAGCTCATACTTAATTTTTAAGTCTGGTATTATGAGTTAAAAATTAAGAAACTGGTTGAGAAAAATGAAAAAGTGTTGCATATTAATTACATTTTGTTTTCTTGTGACAATTAAAAAATATTTTCTCTTGATCTCATGATAACAGTGTTGTTTTGCAGGGATGCTTTCTTGGAAGTGGAATTTCTAAAATCATGACAATCTTGAATATTGATCAGCTGAACGAAATTTTCGTACCAACAGCGGTCCTGGCGATGATGAAGTCAGTCTGTTTGCAAGGTTTGCCCTGTCCAGCTTGGTTGAGTGCAGACACCCTAAAGGTGTACTCCAGGCCTTCCATCAGGCCAGTGCAGGTGTACTGGGTGGCTTTGACCAGAGATTCATTGGCCTTCACCCACAGAAGGCTGTTCCTCTCCTTCTTTTCAATGCAGAATCCAGTGATGGGGCTACCGCCGTCGCTGCTGGGACGCTCCCATGACAGGATGACAAAGTCCTTGTTAATTCTGTTAATCTGCAGGTTTCTGGGCTCACTGGGAGGATCTTTGGGGGAAAACAAAACAGTTAGTACATAGTCTCATCGCTGTACTGTTGGTTACCAGTAATGGAGCTAAACATTTCTTGGCTCAGACTCACCAAATGGATATCTGGCGATCATCTTCTCAGAGTAGATGGGCTCGGAGACGCCGAACCTGTTCTCGGCACGGACTCGGAAGCCATACTCTTTGCCAGTTGTCAGTTTGGTAACTCTAAAGCTGGTTTTGGTGCAGGATGTGGACAGTGTAACCCAGTCGCCCTGGCTGACGTCACACTTCTCAACAATATAGTTGGTGATGTTGCTGCCACCATCCTCCTGTGGGGAGTTCCAGAGCAGCGTGCAGCCATCGATGTCTAGTTCGGTGACCTCTAGAGGAGCTTCAGGGGGTCCAGGGATGTCTGAAGATACACAGGGGATGAGTCAGTGGTGACTTCAACGATAGATGTACACACCTAATCAATGTTTGTTATTTATCAATCACTTTAGTATTAAGTATATTATCTATATCTTTTCATTTCAGAACCAGGAGCTTTAGCAGCGTCTGTTGTTCAAACTGACCCATGATGGTGACTCTGAGGATCTGGTTGACCTTGCCGGCGCTGTTCTCAGCCGATAGGCTGTAGTAGCCACTGTCCTTTCTCGTCACATTCTTGATGATAAGCGTGCAGGTTGTCAGCGTCTTTACGACGGACAGGCGGTCAGAGGTCAGCACGTCCTCGTTGCCCTGCTTCCACTTGCAGAAGGGAGCAGGTTTACCTGCCACAATGGCCTCAACCACCATCTTGGATCCAGCTCTAAATGTCACAATGTCTGGCAATATGATCTTAGGAGGCACTGGAAGGAAGAAGAAAAACTAAAAGTTACTTCACAGATAAATTTGAGGGTTTCAATTTTTATTCATCAGGGAATATTTAATTTTCTGATTTCAAATAGTCTGAGATGGATTTCAGGCTGGTCTACTCACTGAGCTGCTCCTTGATCTCAAACACTCCCTCTGCCTCTCGCGGCAGGCTGACTCCCACTGAGTTCCTTGCTGCCACCCTGAACTTGTGTTTCTTTCCTTCATTCAGACCAACTACCACGATGGTCAGGTCTTTGACCACAGAGTAAGGTGTCCACTTGTCCTCAGGTGCACCCTCCTCCTGGTAGTCCACCACATAACCGTTGATCTTAGCTCCTCCGTCTCTGAGTGGCTTCAACCAGCCCAGTGTGGCACTATTCTTGGTGACCTCCAACACGTCCATCTTCTTTGGAGGGTCGGGTTCACCTGAATGCAACACACAGCAGGAGTTAAGAAGACAGTGGAACACAGGGATTTGACTATCTAAACCAGATTCACACAGTTTGTGGTGACACTCACTGATGGGATCAACGGCCAGGTAGGACTTTGGCGAGTCCTGAGGAACTCCGATGCCGTACTTGTTGCAGGCCATGACTCTGAAATAATACTCAATGCCAGGCGTCATATTGGTAACCTTGAAACTGGTCTTCTTCAGGTCCTCTATGCACTTGGACCATGTCTTCCTATCTACCTCCCGTTTCTCCACAATGTAGTTGAGGATGGGGCTGCCACCGTCATTCTCTGGTGGCAACCAGGACAGCTGAGCTGTTGTCTTGGTGATGTCGGTTGCATCCAGGCCACCGACGGGACCGGGAGTATCTGCAGAGGAGGAATTTAAGAATCTCTTTGATCGTACGGTTTCCTTACCAGTGAAAATACTGTTAAAGGACATTATTATTCTGTGACTCACCAAGGACTTTGACACGGACAAACACAGCTTTCTCTCCAGCTGAATTAGACAGAGTCAGTGAGTATCTCCCAGAATCCTCTCTGGTGCTCTCGGGGATGACCAAGAAGGACATGGTGTCGACCTGGTCCACGTGACCTCGGCGGACCACATTGTCCACACCCATACGCTTCCAGGTAACCTTGGGGGAAGGCCTTCCTCTGATGACAGCAAAAAGCCTTATTGGGCAGCCTGCCCTGACAGCTAGGCCTTTCCTCAGACTGGCATCCAGGTCAATCTCTGGAGCCTCTGTTGCCATGGAAACACATTGATGTTGATCAATACAATGAATTTATTAAGGCACAGTTGCTGTTGGGTTTAGTAACAATTCATTCTTACCCAGGATCTCCTTGGGGGAGACGGCTTCCTTCAAGTAGGCGTGGCGTCCCCAGCCCACCTGATTTTGGGCGGACACCTTGAATTCGTACTCCACCTTCTCATCCAGCTGGCCGATGGTGAACTCTGTGAGTACCAATGGGCCATGAGTGTCAATTCTCTTCCAGCCCTCTGTGGGCTTCTCAGGATCTGCCTCGCTTTTCAGCCTCATGTCCAGGCTGTAGTTGATGATGGGGGCTCCACCATCGTACACAGGTTTAGACCAGGACAGGGTGATTGAGGTCTTGGTGCTGTCGCCCACCTTCAGACCTGCAGGGGGACCAGGGGGCTCTGCAGACAGAGACAGCAAAACACAGTTCAATACAAATACTCAAACACCAGAAGACACAGGGGATTCCTGTGCTTTACAAAGGTAAACTAAACTATGACAGCAACTGCAAACTCACCGATGGGATCTTTGGCTGCAACGGGTCTGCAAGGTTTGCTGGGCTCTCCCAGGCCGACCTCGTTCTCTGCCTTCACCCTGAACTGGTACTCATGGTTGGGAATCAGGTTGGTGACTTTCATGCGCCTCTCTGAGATGGGGCTCTTGGTGCAGGGAACCCAGCGCACTGCCCTCTTCTCTTTCCTCTCCAGGATGTAGCCGGTGATTGACTTTCCTCCATCATTCTCAGGAGGAGCCCAGACAACAGTCATCTCATCTTTACTGACCTAAATCACAATGATATTAACACTGTGAGTAACTTGTACACTGATACCAGTATCAAAGTGGAAATCAGGCTAAAACATAGAACATCTATAAAAGAGGAAGAAGTTTACTTACCTTGGTGACCTCAGGGGCTTCAGGGGGTCCAGGTTTGCTGAACTGAGTCTTGACAGTGACAGGCTTGCTCTCCATGGCAGGGCCAGTTCCCATCTTGTTCTCAGCCCTCACTCTGAAGATGTACTCATTACCCTCCACCAGACGAGTGACGTTGCAGTACGGTGTGACCACAGAGGCGGAGTATGTGGACCAGACCATCCTCCTGGTCTCGCATTTCTCAAGGATGTAGCTGTCCACCTCGCAACCTCCATCATCCTCTGGACCGTCCCACACCACTCTGCACTTGTCGGCTCCAATTCCCGTAAGCCTGAGGTTCCTCACGGGGCCAGGGACGTCCAGGACGTTAACATTGGCGTATGCCGTGAAGGTGCCGGCCGGGTTGGTGGCTGTAATGATATACTTTCCAGTGTCAGTGCGTCTGGATTTGACCAAAAGGAACTTGGAGTAGTCTGGGCCAGTCTCATAGCTGATTCTGGGGTTGTCTCCGACAGCCTTGTCTTTGGTCCATTTGACCTCAGGCTGGGGCTTTCCTCTCAGGCCGGCCTCCATCCTGACTGACTCTCCGGCCTTCACTGTCAAAGCTCCAGCCAGCTTCAGGTCAATGACAGGCTTCTGGATCTCCTCTTTCACCAGAATGTCGGCAAGTTTTACCCAGGCACTCTCTCCTCCTTCATTAACGGTCTGCACCCTAGATAAAAAAATTATAACAATTATTAATTAAAAGTAATTTACTCAAAAAACACCATTTCTGAGAAAAGAGAAACCTTTCAGAACAAACACCATGAACTTTTAAAGGAAGAATGAAGTATCCTACCTGAACGTGTACGTATGGTTCTCAGTGCACTTGTCAGCCAGGAAGAAGGTGTCGGTGAGAGTGCCCGTGTTGAGTTTCGTCCACTCCTCAGCATCTTTGGCTTGGCACTCCAGGTTGTAGGAGATGTTGGGGCTGCCACCGTCATAGTCAGGCTTCCTCCACCTCAAATAGACGTAGTTCTTACCAATGTCAGTGGCTCTGAAGTTCTCAGGCTCACCGGGCTTCTCAATGGGGTCGATGGCAAGCAGAGGGGTCTTGGTCTCCACACAAGGTCCTGGTCCAACCTTGTTTTCGGCGCAGACACGGAACAGGTACTCATGGCCCTCCATGAGCTTGGTTTTGATCTTGCGATTGGTGCAGTTGGAAGAGATCATAGACCACATGCTAATGCTGGGTTCACGACACTCCACAATGTAGTTGGTGATCTCGGATCCACCGTTGTCCTTAGGGGCCTCCCAATTGATCATGCATGAGTCCTTGGTGGCATAGGTTGTGTGCAGGTTCTGGCAGTGGCTGGGTCTGTCTAACACATTGACTGTGATTGTGCAAGAGGCCTCACCGCCCTCATTTGAAACCTTCAGGACGTATTTACCATGGTCAGCTCTTGTGGCCTCTTTGATCCTCAAGTGGACCACAGGGAAGTTCTGAATGATGGTGACACGTTTGCTGTTCTCCAGAACGGTCTCCTCCTTTGACCAAAGCACTTCTGGGTCAGGACGAGCCTTGATGTAGCCAATGATGTTGATGTTGTGTCCGACACGCACAGTAACACGCTCGCGGCAGGTGACCTCCATCTCAATCTCTGGAGGAATAAGGATGTCCTGAGCAGTGATGGACTCTGGGACTTCTCTGGACTCTCCATCTCCAATCATGTTGGAAGCATAGACTCTGAATCTGTAGGTCACGCCCTCCTCCAGACCCTTCACAGTGTATGCACACTGCTTGATGAAGTTGTCCAGGTTCACTTTTTTCCATTCTTCAGTGTCGGCCTTCTTCATTTCCACAGTGTAGCCCAGGATGGGACTGCCTCCGTCTTTGTTGGGTTTGGTCCACACCAGGTCAGCGGTAGTCTTGCTGTAATCTTTAACTTTGGGGTTGACAGGGGGGCTGGGGACAGTGATGGGCCTACACGGTTTGCATGGATCAGAGGTGGGAGAGGGGCCACTGTAGCCGGCAATGTTCTCAGCAAACACTCTGAACTCGTACTCATTACCCTCAAACAGACCCAGGACTCTGTACCTCAGGTCCTTACAGGGCGTCTTGTTGACACGGATCCATTTTCCTCCCTTGTGTCTGCGCTCGATGATGTAGCCAGTTATCTGGCTGCCACCATCAGCCAAGGGCATGGTCCAGCCGAGTGTAACAGCATCCTCTGCGATATCAGAGGGCTGTGGCTTACCAGGCGGGCTGGGTGGCATGAAGGTGTGCTCGGCGACAGTGGGTTTGCTCTCCAGAGGAGCGCCGATGCCCATCTTGTTCTCAGCACGAATGCGAACCACATACTCTGTTCCCCTCTGCAGGCGAGTGATATTGAGACTGGTAGCGAGGCTTCCAGAGCTCACACATCCCCAGGTCTCCTTGTTGGACTCTCTCTTTTCCACAATGTAGTTGGTGACGGGGCTACCGCCATCATCCTTGGGAGGACGCCATTCAATCATCATGGAGTCTGGAGTGACCTCCAGGATGTTGACAGGTCCAATGGGAGCAGCGGGAACATCCAGGACAGTGACGTTCAAGGCCACTGTCTTGGTTCCAGCTGGGTTGGACACGGTGAGGAGGTAGGTGCCGGTGTGGTGCCTGGTGCAGTCATTAATGCTGAGCACAGTGGAGAAGTTGTCAGTGTCGATCTTGACATTACCCTGGCTGGTGATCTCCTCTCCTTCAATGGTCCACTTGGCAGTGGGAACGGGGATTCCTCTCATGATAGCTGGCAGCCTGATGGTGGAGCCAGCCTTCACAATGATGCCTTCAGTGAGCTTAACGTCCACCTCGACAATTGGAGGCACTGTGAGCATGAAGGCAGAGGAAGTTACCCCATGCTACTACACTCATAATTAAACACTGAAGTAACCAACGCAAACTGACAAACAGAACCCACATTAAGAGGATAGGCTGCTTATGTGTAATTAATAATGATAATAAAAATATTATAATAGGACCTACAACTACACAAATATTGGTGCTACAGCTGGTGACTGTAAACGGAGAAATAAAACTGAAACATTCTCCATCTATATATTAATTATAGCTGATCAAGCATAAATTTCATCTTATAGAGGTGACGTAGATTATTGGTTCTGTTCTGTATCTCACCCAGTTTCTCCTGGCAGAGGATGGGCACGGTGGTGTCGGGTCTGCTAAGGCCAATGGCGTTCTCAGCCCTCACTCTGAAGCGATAGGTCTTTCCTTCCTCCAGACCAGTCACATGACTCTCAGGGATGCTGACGGTCTTCCACTCGTCCCACTCCTTCTCTCCCTCTTCCTGATACTCCACCAGGAAGCCTGTGATCTCACTTCCCCCATTGCGGTCGGGCCAGTTCCAGACCAACCACACTTCAGTTTTGTCAACGTCGTCATGGTGCAGGTCTTTAGGTGGACCAGGAGGGACTGGAGGAACGTAAGGAAAGACATTTAGGGTGAACGGGAGAGTAGGAACGCATTCACAATACAGACTCCACCTTTCTTGGTGCTTAAGGAAATTCACAATTGCTTTGTTATACTTTTACATAGTGGCATACCAAATTATGTGTACAAAAACGTCCATTTTGCTATGTTTCATCTCAAGAAGAGTACTTTTTGCAAAGTATTTTGTTTGTTTTCTGAGGTCTACTCCCACTACAACATACTACATATTCATCTGCCGATCATGTGTCCACTGTGCTTTACTCACAGAGTGGGTTCATTGCTTTGATGGCCTTTGGTGTCTCGACGTATTCGCTGCGGCCGTACTGGTTCTCAGCAGCGACTCTGAACGAGTACGATGTGCCCTCCATCAGGTGCTTCAGCATCATGCTGCGTTTCTTGGATGTTGAGCAGACAGGGACCCACTGAGTGGACGCAGTGTCTTTTTTCTCCACCACAAAGTTAGTGAGACGAGCACCGCCGTTGTCCTCTGGGTCCTTCCAGGACAGGTAGGCGGAGTCACTCCTGATGTCAGAAACCCGAAGGTGCTGGATGGGACCAGGTTTATCTGAAGAAAACATATCAGGAACGTCACGAAACTGTCAACTTTGACTTCTCTTTAGTGGAAGATACAAAATGGAATGAACTACATGTATCATATCAATCACAGTTAAGACTGATTATCCTCACCAAACTGCTAAATCACACTCATGTATTCAAACCAAAACTAGTTTTTTCAATTCTTACCAAGGACTAGCACGGTGCATGTTGCGGTCTTTGATCCAACGGAGTTCTCCACAGTTAGGGTGTAGTCTCCACAGTCACCACGGTTACAGAACCTCATCTCCAGCTTGGTGCCTTCCTGGTTGGTCTCGATGTCGGCCCTGGTGGGCACCTCGGCGTCGTTCTTCTTCCAGGTGACGGTGGGGAACGGGACGCCTTTGATGAAGGCCATCAGGGTGATGTGAGTACCGGCCATGGCCTTCACCTCTCGGGTCATTCCGGCATCCAGAATCAGCTCTGGGGCCTCTGAGGTGTAGAAGACCGACAGGAGAGACATTAACAGTTGAACTAGTGAGATTTACCGGTCATTAACACTGTAATATCACACAGAATTTCTTCAATCAGAGTTACGAGGTGGTTCAGATAAGACTGAACCACTGAAATGACGACTCACCAAGTCTGTCCTGCACTCTGATTGGCTCTTTCAAGTTAGCCGGGTCAGACTCTCCGGCAGCGTTAACAGCCATGACTCTGAAGCGGTACAGAGCACCGTCATCCAGGCCGATCACCTTAAATTTGGTCTCCTGGCAGGAGTCTGGAGTCTGGTTCACCTGAGGACAGAAGCAGGACAAGAGTTCCAATATCAAGGTTCACTACAGATTTAATGAGAATAAGAAGATGCGAGGGGGGCCATGGCTGTTAGATTTCATGGTAATTGGACAGCCGCCTTACCTTGCTCCACTCCTCCTCTCCAGCCTTCTGGAACTCCAGCAGGTATCCGAAGATCTTTCCTCGGCCGGTGTCGGTGGGAGGCTGCCAGGACAGAGTGACTGACTCCTTGGTGAAGTCGATGACCTGGAGGTTCACCGGTGGACTGGGTTTCACTGTGGCAAAGGACAGGTAGGTATTCTTGTCATGAATTGGCACAGTAATAGCAATGCAATTAAGTGTTGTTGTAAGAGGTGAACTTACCGATGGGATCTTTGGCGAAGACGGGTTTGGATGGTGGGCTCGGGTCTCCGGCTCCCACCTCATTCTCAGCGCTGACTCTGAACTCGTACTCACAGCCTTGCAGCAGCTCCGTCACCCAGTACTCCACCTTCGGATGGATTCTCTCTGTGTTGCAGCGAACCCACCTGAAAGCAGAAACATTAACAGCTAATCTGTTAGCCACTGACAAACATGTTCATATTCTGTTTTGCAGCCTTGCTCTTTCACATTTTATGGGTCAAGGTCAGGGTTGGGATACTAGTTTCATTATGCATATATTACCGAAACTATGAATCAGGTAACTGTTAAGCCAAAATTTGTATGTCTAGGCTGCAGCTTTTCCTTGTAAGGATCTGCTGCTTTTCAACATCTCTGGGGTTTTGGACTGTTGCTCGGACGAATAAGAACACTTGAAAACATTACCCTTTTTTGATTAATCGCCTAATTTAACCGATTACTTGATGTGTAGCTCATAAAATTGCAGCTGAACTGTTGATACCCAACAGTTTACCGGTGAGACTCGGACTGGGGGCATAGCTTTACCCTCCGAACGACAGAAGTTTGTAGCGCTGTGTGTTTGTGCACCTGTTGGCCATGGTCTCCTTCCTCTCCACAATGTAGCCTGTGATAGGTTTCCCTCCGTCGGCAGGTGGCTCCCAGCTGACGAGGGCGGAGTCATGGTAAACCTCCTTTACCGTGGGCTGTTTAGGAGCGTCGGGCACCTCTGTGATGGAAACAAACAAATGTAGTCCCACTGATGAGACACTGCCTGATGCCTCACCAGCACTACCTGCTGCTGCTGGTTTAACAACACTTCTAGAATGGACTCCTCAGCAGGCTACGTGACCCCCTCTGTATGAACATCTCTGTCAGTGTGTTTGTCAGGACTTACTGAAGATGTCTTTAGCCTTGGATTCTGCGGACAGCAGGGGGTCGCTGATGCCGTAGATGTTCTGAGCCATGATCCTGATGATGTAATCGCGACCCTCGATCAGCTTCGGCACCTGAAGTAACAGACAGCAGGAGGCGTTTGTCAGTACTGAGGAGTTACTGTCAAGTGTTTGGCTGTGTATCGACGACCTCAATAACTGTAGTACTAAAAGTTGACAGTTGGGCTAGCTGGTTAGCATGCTAACTTCAGCAGTAATTGATTGAACTGAGTTGTGTGAACGTCACTTCCGGGGCGCGCAAGCTTCTGTGCGACCAGAGAGCAGCATGAATGCTGAACACCTGATTATAATCAGGCGTGTTTTTATGTGTGCTTTTACGGGGTTTTTTTTATGTTGGCGTGCACTTTTTAAACCTTTTAAACCTACTTGTCAATCCGGACCCATATCTCTTTGGTGATCAAACTTTTAATCTCCCTATAGGGTCCTTTGGGGTTTTAAATGTGCACATACTGGCTGCTTAAATGTTGTGAATAATGTGTGTGAGTTGTGTTATGTACTGTTGCAAAAATACTGCTCTTAACTAATTGCCCCTAGTGGGATTAATAAAGTTTATTGAATTGAACAGAAATTTTTGCAACAGAACACATAGACGTCTTTCATGTCAGAGCTGTTACATCTGCACATCCTGTTGAAATTTTTTATAAATCTCTTAAAATCTTACACATGGAACCTTTAAATGAAAAAGTATAAGTCATGTTAAATCATTAAGAATACAATCATTTACTTCCTGTAGTAGTATTATTGCCTGTTTACGTGGTAATATATCAGAATATACAATCAAAGGTTCAGTGTGTAAGTTTTAGAGGCACCTAGTGGTGAGGGTTGCAAATTGCAACCAGCAGCTCACGGTACATTCAAGTGCTCCTCGGATGGTCCCATTTCTAGAGTTGTGAAGTCGTTCAGTGTGTGTTCATGTGTCAGAATGTGGGATCAACATGGACGCTACTACAAAGATCAGCTACGCTACTATCAGCTCCTGGAACATGATCTGTGTATTTAGTCTGTTGACTCTTTAGTAAATTGTTGATTGGTGAAATGACAAATAACTTCTATTTTTGTCCTTTAACTGTAATTTTCTCACACGCTTTTGAATAGTTTAACCCAAACAGGTTTTCTCTAGTTAAACTATCTTTTCGTCTGAGCATGTCAGCTCTGATCTGCACACCTTGCAGGTGGTCCTGGTACAGGACGAGGTGACAGGCATCCACAGGTCTCTGTTGGTGTCTCTCTTCTCGATGATATAGTTGGAGATAGCGCAGCCTCCGTCGTCCAGAGGAGGGTTCCAGGAGATCACCATGTAGTTCCTGTAGACCTCGTTGAACACCACGGGGCCCATGGGAGGCTGAGGACGGTCTGACAGGGGGAAGCATTTATACGGGTGACTTTTTATACAGGCTGATCAAGTCATTCCTATCGCTTTATATCTCGTTCTATAGATACAAAAAAGTGTCTTCAGTGGTGATTTTTCAAATACTAAAACCTGCACGGATATCAGGAGTACATCCGCATCCGGGAGTATATCCGCTGTGAATCAGAGTTTGAGCGGAGCAGCGACTCACCGACCACGGTGATGGTGCAGAGTCCTGTGCGAGTCCCAGCGGCGTTCTCCACGCTGACGCAGTAGAGGCCGCTGTGCTCTCTCTTGGTCTTGCTGATGGTCAGGCTGAGGTGGCGGGTGGTGCTGTGGAGGCCGATCTCGTCATCCGCCTTCAGCTCCTCTCCATTCTTTGTCCAGGCGATAGCCGGGGCTGGTTTACCACTGTAGCGTCCCGACAGTGTGCAGGTGTCTCCCACCTTCACCATCATCTTGTCCCTAAAGTCCAGGTCCAGAGTGGGAGGTTCTGAGGTGGAAGGGAGACAACAATTTTAGCTCATGACATTTTTTAATGGAATGCATGATTTATAAATTCTGCTGTTGTGGTTGCGTCACTCACCAAGCTCGTCCTTGCACTGTACAGGCTTAGAGGCGAAGGACGGTTTGCCCTGTCCCACCTGGTTGATGGCGGAGACTCTGAACTCGTGGCTCGAGCCGTCCTTCAGTCCTGTCAGTGTGAACTTCTTATCCAGCAGCTTGTCCTCTCCACCTACCCGCGTGAAGTTGTCCTTTCCGATCATGCGAGACTCAAGGACGTACTCAGTCACCTCGGCGCCACCGTCGTACTTGGGCGGTCTCCAGGCAACAGAGATAGAGTCCTTGGTAATTGCGGTGATGATCAGGTCCTCCGGACGCTCCGGGACGGCTGGAGGAGACAAACACAAGCATGAGAAAATCCAGAAGCTGTGACTCGACAAAACAACCTAAAGGATCAGGATGTATTTTTAAAAATATTTCAGGTTGCTGTGTGTCGGACTTACAGATGGGGTCCTTGATGAGAACCATCTTGTCGGTCTCAATGAAAGGTCCCATGCCGATGATGTTCTCAGCTGCAATCCTGAAAAAGTAGCCCTTGCCGTCGATGAGTCCCTGCACCACGGCGTTGTTCCTCGTCACCGTGTAGGACACCGAGGTCCAGCCCATGCGGTCCGACTCCCTCTTCTCGATGATGTAGTTGGTGATGGCTGAGCCGCCATCGTCCTCGGGGGAGTACCAGGTCAGTTTGCAGGAGTCGTTGGTCAGGTTCTCGCCGGCGAAGGGGACACCAACCGGTCCGGGGACATCTGGAGGGAGGGGAGAGGCGGACAGAAACCTCAGATTAAAAGTTCTAGTTTTACTTTAAGTTAATTAAATCTACATTCAGGTATATCTACATGCAAATACGGCAGCTCTTAACAAATTTCTGATAACTGTTCTTCTCTCTGGATGAAGGATCATCCCGGTCAGGCTGACTCACCCAGGACCTCGACGATGATGGCCTTCTTCCTCTCTCCGCCCTCGTTCTTGGCACTCAGCGTGTACATGCCCTGGTGTTGGCGTTTGCAGTTCTTGATGATCAGCGAATTCGAAATGCCCGTCGTCTCCACCACGGCCTCTTTGGGCACCTCGCCGTCGTCTCTGCACCAGGTGATCTGCGGTGCGGGTTTACCAGAAACGTAGGCGATGATGCGGATGGTGCCACCGGCGTGGACCACGATTTTCTCCTTCACCGAGGCGTCCAGGTCCATCTCAGGAGGAACTGGAGGAGAAGGTGAGGATTTGTTTTTAACAAAATGTTCCTACCATTAGAAACACTGCTTGTCGGGACCACAGTTAAATGTTCAGAGTCTTACTTGTTCTGTCTTTGAGCTCGATCAGCTCAGACACGAGTCCTGGATCTCCTTCTCCGGCGGCGTTCACTGCTCGGACTCTGAAGCGGTACAGACCGCCTTCCTTCAGGCCAGCCACCACGAACTTGGTTCCTCTGATCTCTGTGTCCTTCGCCTGCAGAGAGACGAGAGATCAGGGCACACACAACAACTATCAACTATCCAGATTCACTGAAATGAAAACTCAACAGGTTCATTGTTAACGTCTTCATGTTTCATATTTTATTACATTCTAATTTCTGAAGAGGTTCACATCTCCGTACCTTCTCCCAGCCCTCCTCGCTCTCGGGCTCCTTCTCCTCCTCCTCGCTCATCATCAGCAGCTTCCTCTGAGCCTTTTTCTCCTCCTCCTCCTTGTTCACTTCCTGGTACTCTAGGATGTAGCCTGTGACTTTTGACCCTCCGTCCACCTGAGGCGGGATCCACTCCAGCTCCACCGTCGACTTCGTCCAGTCCGTCACCTTCGGGGTCGGCGGCCCGGGAGGCTCTGCACGCACACACAAATACTGTAAGTTCGGTTTCAGCATCATCAGATCAAACTCACAGAAGTTTAGTCTGGACGTTACTGGACATTTCCCAGAGCTTTTAGTCACATCATGAAGGCCACAAAATCTGGCTGAAAGTTGTGGAAAACTTCCTGTATGTGGACCTTGTGCTAACGAATGTTTACAGCGATTAAGGTGATGAGCATGACTATAAGTTGGTGTGACCTTGTCTCGATTACAGAAACAGGTTGATTCAAAGACTTACTTGCTTATTTTTTTTAGTTTGATTTCATCCTTTAGGACACAAATTCATTTTACTTTGTTTTGCTTTTCCATTTCTCTGTTCATTTTATGTCCCTTGATGTGCCAGCTGGCTCACATATCCATAACTTGTGCCTATTGCTGAAAATGGATATCTATCAGCCAGCAGTGATTACGTAGAGGGTCAGATTTACATTCAGGTACAAGAGTGTGTGTGTTACATCTTAACAGTGATGTCTTCACATTTATTTTTAGGTCTTTTTGCTTTCTGGCTCTCTAATGAGTTTAAAGAAGGCGTGAAGAAATTAAATATTTAACGACTGTAATACAGTGAAAATGTCTTTCTTACTGATGGGGTCTCTGCAGAGTATGGGGTCAGAAGGCAGGCTGGGAAGACCACAGCCGGCGGCATTGACGGCGATGACCCTGAACTGGTACATGGCGCCCTCCAGCAGGCCAGTGACGTCCCAGTTGTTGCCCAGCGGCAGAGCGCGGATTGGCTCGCGGGTGACGCGGGCCCAGCGCTTGGCGGTGGTCTCCTTCTTCTCGACGATGTAGCCGGTGATGGAGGAGCCGCCGTCGTATTTAGGCTCGTCCCAGTTGACGGTCATGGACTCCAGACAGACGTCTGTCACAGTCGGTTTCTCACACTGACCCGGGACGGCTGCAGGTTTTAGATAATGTTGTTATTGATCTTGGAAGTGAACTAGCCAACTAATAATACTATTAATAATAACTAATACTATAATTAATAATGTTCATAGTTAAGGAATTTTATAAGGAACCTTTGACTAAAGAAAAAACTCATAATTAGAGCAGGCTGATCTGGACTCACTGAAGAGGTTTCTGGCTTTCTCCTGCTCGCTGACCACCGGTGGCCCGACTCCAAACTTGTTCTGGGCCATGACTCTGAACTCGTACTGGTGGTTCTCCGTCAGCCGGTTCACCGTGTAGGCACACTCCTTGGGGTCGTTGGAAACGTGGACCCAGGACTTCCTGTTGTCCTCGCGCTTCTCAACCACGTAGTTGGTGATCTTGGATCCGCCGTCGTCTGTGGGGGGGTTCCAGGCAAGGCCGATCCTGTCCGCAAACACCTCGGTAAATTTGATTGGTCCGACAGGTGGGCCGGGAGGTCCTGGGGGGGGTGGAGGGAAGGTGAGTCACATTTGTTTTAAAATGAAACATTCATGTAGCCTCAACACGGGAAGATATCGTTCTCTGGAAAAGCTGCAAAGAACAAATATGTTTATTTTTTTTACCGAATAAACCACCTCAAACATGACTATCAAACCTGTCATCAATTAAAATGTTTTTGTTTCTTGATTTTAAATAAATAGTAATTGTTCATTCGCTAATAACTGTCCAATTCTCACGCAGCACATTTACAGTTTACAATAACAGGGTGAATTCAGTGCAACTTGCAATTTTAACCAAATCACTGCAACTTTTCGGTCAACGCCAGCAATCTCACTTCCTTGTTTAGAACACGCAGCGGACACGTGTGATACCAATGTCTCACATTTGTCTTACAAAAATAACAGCAAAGGGACGTGAAGACCAGGATCCAGATCTTCTTTACCAAAGAGTAAACTGTTCTGAAGAACGTGCAGTGTCGTGGTCGAACAAAAAATTCTTTTCCGCCGCAAAACATACGGAGAGAATGTCAGAAACACATGGAGGACGTCAGACGAGACACTGAGACATAGGCTGCTGCTTCCCGGTCAGCTGCAGGACAGAACCAAGGTCAGCTCGTTTAAATATGCAGGGTTAGGGTTAGGGTCAGGCCCGCCAAGTCCTGGAGGGACTGTTTGATGATTCAACTACAATTCTAAAGTTGAAACATCACAACTTTCATCGCAGTTTTTAGAAAAGCTACCATCAAAGTCCCAGCAGTTATTTAAACAGTAGATCCTTGATTTCAGACAGAAGTAAACAAAAGCAGCTTCTGATTTCTACCAAACGGTCACTGTGACACGCTATCAGCTGTAGCTAGCTAACTAATTAAGCTAACATTAGCTTCATGAGTTGGTAGAAAACTCCAGGCTGATGTTTTATTGTTTCCAGCTGCTCCTTTGACATGTAATTCTACGAAATCATGTAGTTAGCTAATGATATTCTAACTCTTTTGGCCTCTGATGGTGGTGAACTACTTACTCATGCTAACTATTGCAGGCACCTCACATTAGAGCAGATAAACAGTGTTTGATCTGTCTTACTAGTTACTGTTGCAAAGTTATTATTGGACAATTTCTGTTGGGTGTTAAGACAAGTGTTCAGGTTTCTCACCAAGCACGCTGAGCTTGATGTCCTTGGTGACGCTGCCTAGGCTGTTGCTGGCTGTCAGGCTGTAGAGGGCGCTGTCGAGCCTGCTGGCCTGCTGGATCAGCAGCGTGCACTTGTCCTGGGTCACCAGTTTGTTGATGTGCTGGTCGTAATGGATGGCGGCCTTCTCCTCAGGCTTGGCCAGGCTGGCCTTCTGCCAGGTGAGCGTGGGGAAAGGACAGCCGCTCACCCTCGCCACAACGCTGACATCACAGCCCTCCTCGCCCTCCATGGCCTCACGCAGCTCAATGGTGGGAGCGCCTGCAGAAAGAAAGGAGATTCTTCATTAAGTGGCCGGCAGTTAACAACGTTTAAACTTCTTTCTGAGGCTCCCAGTAGTTGTTCAACCAGGAGTGAAACTGTTCCACTTTTCTGTCCCCAGTGGTATAAAAATATCAGTCTTAAAACTCAGTGCTTGTATAGTCCTAACTGAAAAAGGTGAAACAGGTAGCCTGTAATTGGCTGAAGCGCCTGTTACTCACATGTCTGATCCTTGATGACCAGGGGTCCAGCAGTGGTGGAGGGTCGGCTGGGTCCAGCGGCGTTCACAGCTTTTACTCTGAACTCATATTCTGTTCCCTGGGGGTCAACGACAAGACAATTGTAATACACTACAGTAATATCTGGATAAGCATGGGCTGATCATATCTGACATCTGATATATAACATATCTGATCATATCATGGGCTGGAGTCTCAGCCTCACCTCTCCACTGGCTTCAAACAGTATTTCTCAAGCAGGAACATATTCTACCAGTCCATCAGTTATAACTCTACATCAAATTAATTTATGGTTTCTCAAGGTTCCAATTTTGGGTGCATCTGTTGTCACTTAGTATGTAACAGTAATGAACAATACACTTTATTTGAATGCATCTTTTTAAAACCACAACGTTTAAGCACAATTTGATTACTACACACAGATACAGCAGGTATAAAAATAAACCAAAAAATGAACATATGACACAATAAAATGGGTTAAAAAGACTTAAAGAGCAACCTAACATCCCGATTTGTTTGAACACAACCTCTGCACAAATGAAAAGCTCACTGCTGCCTGGAATCTATATGAAATGTAAACCCACTGGTATACAAGCTCCACCCTGTGCTAAGAACTGTTACTGAGCATTAGTGGAGACCTATTATGGCTTATGACTTATGTACAATTTAACAATGTTGGATGTTTATGTTAAACATGGCCAAAGCTTCAAATAATGAGTATTTAAAAGAAATCCCTGTGAGCCAAAACCTCAGATTTCCTCCTGTTCTGAACGCTTTTCAACTGCTTTTTCTACCAACGTTGTTCCATGTATGGTCATTTGCTCCCACAGCAACGCTCAGTCTGCCTGTTCCGCCCAGCAACAACAACAGCCTGGTAACATGCTTAAGGTCTTGGCCAATCAGAAGAGAGTGGGCTTTGAGCCTTACAGAGACAGGAGCATCTACAGCTTGTTTCAGACAGAGGCTGAAATGAAGGCCTACACGAAGTGTATAAGTTTTGAATTTTGAATCATGCAAAGCTGCCATACAGGAGTCATAGAACTACAATATAGGACTGGAAAAGCAGTAGAATAGGTCTCCTTTAATAAAGGCAGAAAGTAGCAAAGTGAGAGAGGTGTGATCCTTTAAAGGAGATAGACTGACCTCCTTCAGGTCCTCCACCACGAAGGTGAGCTCCTCCACATCCCTCTTGTTGCACTGCTTCCAGGTCTCCTTCTCCTTGCCGCTGGTGTCCCAGCTCAAACGCTCAATAATGTAATGCTTCACCGGCGCGCCGCCATTGTTTTTGGGAGGCTCCCAGCTCAGAGTGGTGGTGGTCTTCGTCACCAGGTTGACCTTCAGCTTGGTGGGGGGGTCGGGTGGGTCTGAGGAAGAAGAGGGAGATTAGTAAAACAACTCCACTAAGGTTTTGGCAGATCGTGCTGTATTTCTGTGGCTGGAATAGTAGATCTGTCCTCACAGATGGGGTCTCTGGCCCGGGCGGGTTCACTGGTAACAGTGAACGGGCCGAATCCAAGTCTGTTCTCAGCACGAACCCTGAACAGGTAGTCCTGACCTTCCAGCAGACCTGGCACGACGTAGGCCTGGCTAGCACAGGCTGCATTCACCTGATCACACATCAACCAATTCATCAGTTAATCAATCACCAACAGCAGAATTTATTTAACATGGGTCTTATTCTCATAATTGTGGCTATTCTGACTGTAGCTCAAGCTAACATGATAATTGCAGTGTACATAATAACTGTCTATATCCCACATTCAACTAAAGCAATGTTCACCTTCGTCCAGGCCTTGTCAGTGACACATTTCTTCTCGATAAAGTAGCTCTTGATTCTCTCTCCTCCATCGTTGTCTGGTAGTTTCCAGATCAGTCTCATGGTTGACCGGCTGATGTCAGTAACCCTCAGCTCCTTTGGAGCTCCGGGGACATCTGCACCCGAGAAAAAATTAAAGTCAAAGATCCAAGAACAACAAAACTATGACCCCAACATACACACTTTTACGAAAGGAATTCTGAAGCTCAGGCGCGAGCTTGTAGCAGAACAGTTTAGAGATGTATCCAACCTCGAGGTCTAGATAAAAACAATACAGACATACCGAGGACATTGACTCTGACGTTGACATGTTTCTGTCCGGACTTGTTCTTGGCGGTGATGGTGTAGCGTCCAGAGTGACTCCTCAGACTGACGGGGATGGTCACAGTGGACGTGGTGTCAGTAGACTCAACCTGAATACACAAAAACAGTTCCAAAATTAGACTAAAATCCAACAACACAACTGACCTGAACAGAAGACAGAGTTCTATTATACTGTTTTATGCGAAGTAAATCCTTGTGTTTCTTTGTAGGGCCTCACCTCAGAGTCCACAGGCAGTGTGTGCAGCTTGTTCTTCTTGTGCGACTTGGCTTTGCCATCATAGTCCCAGGTTACCTTGGGAACAGGGCGACCCTTGATGCTGGCGGGGATCTTGATCGGATCTCCGGCACGGATGCACAGCAGATCGTCGGCCATTACGTGAATATCGATAGAAGGCGCAACTGTCGGAGTAGAAATATCAGTGGAAACGTCAGTGAAGGACAGAGAGACATGGACAGAAACACATTCGGACAGCAATGAAAGAAAACATCTATTTGTTGAAGTTGAAAGTTTAGAGTTGGACATACGTTTGACATCCTCGATGAGAACCTCGCTGGTGCGGGGGCTGGGGTCGGACTCGCCGATGTCGTTGACAGCGATGATCCTGAAGCGGAACCGTTTCAGCTCACGAAGGCTCGGCACGGTGAACTCAGTGGTGGGGTGCAGCGTGTCGGGGTCATTGACCCTCACCCAATCAGATGTGCCCTCACCTTGGATCTGGATAATGTAGCCCTTGATGGGGCTTCCTCCGTCCCTCTCTGGTGGACTCCAGGACAACGTGACACTGTGCTTCGTCTTATCAGCCACCACAGGAGCAGCAGGCATGCTAGGAGGAGCTGGAGTGGAGAGGAGCAGTTAGTATCCAATTTGGGAAGATCTTCCAAACTTCCAAAAAACAGAGAAACTAGTCTGTTTAAGATTACTGATGTGGTCAGAGGAGGACTTGTTTTTTTACTCACTGAGTGGGTCGACAGCGAAAGCAGAGTCGGATGGTCCACTGAATGGTCCAGTTCCTGCAGAATTGCAGGCAGCAACCCTGAACTCATACTCTGTTCCTTCGATCAGACGAGTCACCTGGGAGATGGAGAAAATGTGTGGATGCGACTTACTCCTGAGACCATAATAAAGGACTGTGATCGTCCTTTCTGAAGGTGTGTGAAAGATCTTCCTAATGGCCTGTACCAGACTATCCTGAAGGTCTGTGACATACCATTTTTAAAGGTCTTTAATGGACTTTTCTAAAGCTTTGTGATCGACTTTCCAAAGGACTTCAATGGACCTACCTAAAAGTATGTGATAAAGCATTCTGATGATCTGTGACAGATCTACGGATTTCTCTGTGACAGACTATCCTAAAGGTCAATGACGAGCCATCCTGGAGTCTTTAGGTCTGTTTAAGTGTACGACAAAATTCTATTTTGGTATGTAGGAGGTCAACAAAATTTGAAAGCAGATCCTACGCTTCCCAGGTGAGAAGTTTCTTAAGGCAGCGCACATAGAGTTGTGAATACTGAGGCAATAATTTATGTTCAACATGAAAAATTGATTCTGTGCCAACACAGAAACAAAGCCCCACCCACTCACCTGGTAATCCCAGCCTTTCATGCCCCTCTTGGTGACTGGCACCTTGTTGACTTTGGCCCAGTAGGCAGTGCCTTTCTCCCTCTTCTCCAGCCAGTAGCCAATAATCATAGACCCGCCGTTGTCTCTGGGAGGCTCCCAGGTTAGCGTCATGGAGGTCTTGGAGTACTCTGCAATGGTTGGTTTCTCTGGAGGGCCTGGAAGGCCGAATGGGTCTGTGATCTGGACTTCCTCTGTTGTGCAGGGGTCGGATATACCATAGCGATTCTCGGCTTTAACCCGGAACAAGTAGGTCTTATTGGTCTCCAGGTTCCACACCTGCAGGAGAGGGAGGTGGCATTTCCATTTAATGCAAAAAGTTCTATGAGAACCCCGTTATCATTATTATTATTGTTGTTGTTGACGTACCCCATATTTCCTCTCAATGATGCTGTTGGTAACCTGCTCCCACTGTGGTTCAGGTGGAGCTTCTTGACCTTCTTCCAGCTCCGGCTCCTCTTTCACTACATCCTTCTTCTCAATAATGTAGTTGGTCAGCTCGCTGCCACCATTATCCAGCGGTGCGTCCCAGTTGAGGTAGCAAGACTCCGCCCTGATGTTGGACACTGCCAAATTCCTGGGTGGAAGTGGCCGGTCTGAGAGGAGAGCACCATACAGTTAGAGTATTTTACATAAGCGCATCCTGTCTTTTCTGCCTCTGATTGAGTCAGTGGCAAGTTTCAACTCACCCAGCACCATGACAGTAGTGGTGTGCTTGGCTGAGCCCATGTTGTTAGACGCAGACACGGTGTAGCTGCCACGGTCCCTCCTGTTGGCTGCTGGGATGGACAGCGTGGTCTTGCAGTTCATCCGGCCGGTCTCCACCGTCTCTATCAGCAGAGTCTCGGTGGGCGCGATCACCACGTCATCCTTTGTCCACTCGATCTTAGGGATGGGGAGGCCCAGGACATCAGCTGGGATCTCAATGGGCTCACCCTTCCTCACAATAATTGAATCACCTTTGAAGTGCTTCAGCATGTGGACCTCAGGAGCCACTGAGAGGAATAGGATGGGAGCAAAACAAATCAGCACAGAAAGAAAAACACTAGTGCCTACTATTAGCATCCCTAAGGAAATCAGTTTTTCAAATATTAACTTACCTTCATCGTCTTGGATGACCACAGTGAATGGGATGGATGGCTCGCTCTCTCCCAGTAGGTTGGCGCACTTGATCCTGAACTCATACATCCAGTCTTCTTCTAGGCCCTCTACAGTCATGGTCATGTTGGGGCAGATCTCTGTGTTGCAGAGTTCAAAGGCCTGCTGGTCCTGCCTCTTCTTTTCAACGAAGTAGCCGATTACAGGGCTACCGCCATCATTACGCGGTGGCTTCCAGGTCAGCGTGATGGAATTCTTGGTGCGCTCGGTGTAGTGGAACTTCTCAGGGTACGATGGTGGGCCTGCAGAACCACCAAAGCAATGATTAGCCTTAAGTGCAAATTTAGATTTTTCTACCAAGATGACTTTTCATCCTACTGAATTCTTGGTCCCACAAAATAATTTCAGCAATCATTTCTGAATTAAAATCAAGTGATTTTAGGCTTACCCTGTGGGTCCACAGCCTTAATGGGTCCAAGCTCTACGGGTGGGCCCATGCCATACTTGTTCTTGGCAATGACGCGGAACAAGTAGTCCTGTCCCTCCATGATGCCCACGCACTCGCACTTGGAGGAGGCGGTTTCAATAGGCTGCCTCCATGTGTGCATCTTAAGGTCTCTTCGCTCCACGATGAAGCCGGTCAGGTCGCTGCCTCCATCATCCTCAGGGTCGTCCCAGTTCAGGAAGATCATCTTGCGAGTGACAACAACGGGCTTGAGGTCCGTCACAGGTCCGGGGACGTCTGAAGATGACACAATATTATGCTTATGTATTAATTTTTCATTCATAGCATCAATTCATTGCCAGTTAACAGTCAGGTTTTTTCATCAAGTTCTGCCCTGACTTTCACTCACCCATGACCTCCACTCTGGTTGAAGCAGACTTGCTGCCACTGGGGTTGCAAGCAGAGATCTGGTATTTGCCGCAGTCCTTCCTCTGGACGTTCTTGATTGAAACAATGCTGTCATTGCCCTCTGTGAGGATCTCCACACGGTCTTTGTCGGGTTTGCTGTTGTCCTTGGTCCAGGTGATGGATGGGTAGGGTTTACCTGTGACTGTAGCGGGTACAAGAAGTGTCTCGCCGGCTCTGATGACTATACCGTTCTTGACGGACAGGGCCAGTTCAATCACTGGCAACTCTGGGGAGGGCAACCAGCAACAAGGAAAGATGTCAACAAAAAAAAAAGCTACGAGATTTCCATCAACACTGAATTAGACCACATTTGACCTCTAGGGTTTTGTGGCTGACCTGCAGGATTCCTGACGAACACAGACTCTGTGAATCCTGGTGTTCCCTCTCCGGCAGCGTTGCAGGCGATGACTCTGACTAGGTACTTGGCTCCCTCTCGGACTCCATAGACAGTGAAGGCCCGAGTCTTCCAGGGACGCTCTGTAGACCTGGACCAGTCCTTGGTACCAGCCATGGCCTGAAGAACACCACAGAAACATTAGTCTAAACTGAATGTTTAACATTCAGTGAATAAGAACCTGCAGATACAAATAGAAACAAATGTGAGTAAAGCTGAAAAAGTATCAGAGGACTGATGATTTCACCTTATCCACGTGGTATCCCAGGATCTCTCCTCCACCGTTGTCAGCAGGTGGGTCCCACTCCACGTCGATGGAGTGGTCGGTGGTCTCCACCACTCGGGCAGTTGGAGGTCCAGGAGGTACTGAATAAACACAGATAAGACACGTTAACTCTGAGACTGACCATAAATATCCTGTTCACAACTCCTGGTGGTTCTTCATGATTCTAGTTTACTCCAAGTTTCTGATTACTGTCTGTAGCAGCATTTTCAACAAGTATTATCCTGGAGAACGGGAGTCAACATGGCAATGCCAATTATTTTCTTCAACTTTGACAGATATGGAAACCTTGATCAGAGTCGCACTGAACATAAAGGAGTTTAGAACTTTTTACGTACGGATTTGAGCCTGAGCTGTCTTGGGTTCGGAGGGGGCGCTGAACTTTCCGGGGCCGGCCTGGTTTTCAGCCGCGACCCTGAATATGTAAGTCAGCCCCTCCAGTAGACCTTCAACATTCAGCTCAGTGTCAGGGACCATGTCCCTGAAAACCAGGACAGAGGGAAACATTCAGAAAATATAGCAAATATATACCTGGTGAACTGGTCTCAGTATGCTTTGTATATTAGTATATTTCCCCAAACATCAGCTAACACCCAGATTTTCCCAGTCTACAAATTCAGATAGAAAAGTCTTCACCTGTTGACACGGGCCCAGTGTGAGCTGTTGATCTCGCGGCGCTCCACCCAGTATCCCATGATGGGGCTGCCGTTGTCGTTTGGCTGGTTCCAGGTGACCAGCATGCTGTGGGCTGTAATGTCGTCAATCTGTGGCTTATCAGGAGCCTCGGGAGTTTCTGAGGAGGAGGAGGAAGAGACCAGACATCAAGTTTTATTTTTAGTCATGCATAGTCATGTTTAGTCATGTTGATTCTTTTCAACGTTGTGCCCAAATTTCACTGCCTGCGATAACGGGTCCACTTGATTAATATCCTAGCGTACGCTGTTGTCGGAGTTAAAAAGTTTTCAACATCAAGTGTTGCATTTATTGCATTCAAGGCAACCTTTCCTACACAACCCATTTCATACAGAGGATAAATTAAATTCACTGACAAAGCAGGGGTAAATTTCAGCATTATATAAACTAAACTTTAAAAAACAACAACATATAAATAGAGTAGCTCATAGATCAAACATGGTATTATTCGGTAAATAATACCATACCGAAAGGATTTTTGGCGATGAGTGGTTTGGAGACGCAGAATGGGCCGGCGCCGTGCTTGTTCTCAGCCCTGACCCTGAAGATGTACTCCTTTTTCTCAATGAGCTTGGGCACCAGGTAGCGGCATCCTCTCAGTGTGGAGGTGACGCTGCTCCAGCCGATCTCCACCTTTGAGTTGTCCTTCTTCTCCAGAGTGTAGTTGAGGATCTCACTGCCGCCGTCATCCAGAGGAGGATCCCACCTGCAAATCACAGAGCTCTTCCTGACCTCCTCAAATCTGAAGTTCACTGGAGGCCCGGGCGTATCTGCGGACAGAGGAAATGATCATGTTACCCATGAAGCTACAGCACATCTAGGAGGATGCTGTAAACATTTACTCCCAGTCACTGTATCAACACAGTTATATTGTATTATCCTTTCATTCCTTTAAACTTGTATACTTGTATCTATAGAATAGAGAACAGACAATGTAAATGAATTCTCACCGAGCACGTTGACCTCGCAGGTCGCCGAGGCGATGCCGTGGTCGTTCTCCACCTTCACCATGTAGACACCGTGGTCGGCACGGAACGAGTCCCTGATGACGACAGAGGACGCTCCTCTGCGGCTGTTGTCGATGGCCAGACGCTCGTTTATCGTCGGGTAGTCGGTCTCCTCCACCTCCGGCTCTGCCGCCTCTTCTTCCTTCTTCTTCTCCTCCTCCTTCTTCTCCTCTCCTTCCTTCACCTCTCCCTCCTTCTTCTCCTCCTCCTTCTTTTCCTCTCCTTCCTTCACCTCTCCCTCCTTCTTCTCCTCTTTCTTCTCGGCCTCTCCCTCCTCTTTCTTCACCTCCTCCTTCTTCTCCACCTTCTTCTTCAGGGGTCTTTCGGGCCTCTTGCGGAGCGGCTCGGGCCGGATCACCTGGTTGTTCCAATACCAAGTGATCTCTGGGTATGGCGAGCCAGAGATATTGGCGTCCAGGCAGATCTCGTAACCGCGTTTCACGCTGAGGCCAGACTGCAGGCTGCCGCTCAGGAAAACCTTCGGAGGGTCTGAGAGAAAACAAAAAGTTTTTTTTTTTTATCAGAAAACTAATTCTGATCCAGATCTGTTCCTACACTAGACCCTGACCCAGTAGACAGGTCAGAGCTGTGGCCTTCTAATGTTGTGTTCATTGATTTGTTGACTTTTTTTTTTTTTTTTTAAATACCAGCACTGCCTCCAAATTTGTTGCTGGCCTAGTTCTGTCCAAAGCTCACTGTTACATCTTGTTTGTTTGATTGGTACAAAAAAGTGCCGGACTAGTTTGGATCGGGAGAAGCAACGTCCTGCAATCGGGGCTGGTTGCCTGGGAACTGGTCCTAACCAAGAAAGAGTCAGGAAGCAGGTGGATTTTGCCGGGCTAGCTGTGTCCTCATTTTGCTGTAGCTTCATACTTAGCATACAGACATGAGAGTGTGAACATCTGGCTCTCAGAGAGGAAGAGGATTCTTGAGTGTTATTTCCCTAAATTTGTTTCCAATTCCAACCAATTAAATGTAAATCAAAAATTTGAATGTCTGTAAAGCATTTTGTATGAATTTGTCTTTGCCCTACAATGTGTTTTGAGGTGAGCAGGAGCTCATGTCATCCTTACCAATGGTATTGGAGGCCTTGACGAACGGTGGGCTGCGTGACGGCTCACTGAGCCCGGCGGCGTTTTCAGCTGTGACTCTGAAGGTATAGTTCTTGCCCTCCGTCAGCCCTCTGACGGTGTAGGACAGGACGGGCACCAGGAAGTCGTTGCATCTCTCCCACTTGTCGTCGCCCTTCTGCTGCTTCTCCAGGATGTAGCCCATGATCTTGCAGCCGCCGTCATACATGGGAGGCTTCCAGGTCAGGGTGACGGTGCTGGATGTGGGGTTGTGGGTCTCCACGTCCACCGGAGGGTCGGGAGCATCTGGGACCAGAGATTTTACTTAGACTTCTCTTGGACACAAACTGCGTTTTTATTAATACATTGGTTTCATTTACTCATCTGAGGAACTAAATATGTACAGCAACAGAGTTTCTGTAATTTAACAGATTTAAGAATGTTCTGATCTTAATCATGTTTACAACAAAATGATCAATCTTAGGTAACGAATATCAGGAATAACATTTGCCTTTCAACAATTAAAACATTATCTAATTTTCACGCATCAAATAAGGAACGTCGGTTTCTTCTTACGTTTCTGGTCCTCTGCGATGACCGGGTTGCGGAGCTCAAGGAACTCTCCTCCTCCGATCTTGTTGACGGCCTGGACTCTGAAGTAGTACTCTCCGTTGGGAATGAGGTCTTTGACGGTCCAGCTCAGCTTGTTTTCTCCGGACATCATGTTGACATATGTCCTCCTGCCGGCCTCACGCCGCTGCACACGCACCAACAAATAACACACAAAAGAAACATCAGCTTCACTGTCCTCCTGGCTCTGAGGTCAGATTTTAAACCATCATCGCAGCTCAAAAATAAAAAAAGTGCTGCCATCTCAGACCTGCAGGACGTAGTGAAGGATGGGGCTGCCGCCGTCGTAGTCCGGAGGCTCCCAGGTCACTTTACAGGAGCTCTTTGTGATCTCAGAGGCCACAATTTCCTTACAGGGACCAGGAAGACCTAAAGACAGAGAGACAGAGACGTGTTATAAAGTAACCTGCTGCTCAGAGTCCAGGAGATTGAGGTTATCATGTAAGAACGGGACGTGTGTGACTGGGTACCGATGACTTTGACGTTGATGGTGGCGCTGGCGGCTCCCAGTTTGTTCTCCAGAGTAACTTTGTACTGTCCAGCATCAGCGTGAAGGCTGCTGTCGATCTCCAGGTGACAGGAAGTATACTCCTTCCTGTTGGACACAAACAATCAGTCACTGCTGCTCACTCAGACTACAGAATACCCCGGAGCAGATACAGGAGCGTTGCTGAAAACCGACCTGAAGCCGAGACGTTCGTCGGCCTTCAGCTCCTTGCCGTCTTTGTGCCAGGTGATTCTGGGCGAGGGGACGGCGCTGAAGGGAACCGGGATGTGCAGCTTCTCTTTTTCCACAACAACCAGGTCCAGAGTCTGGAACTCCAGCGTCGGGTTACCTGGAAACACAGGGGGAAACCCACCATTAGTGTCAGTTCGAGGATTTACAGAGCTTTGCACGGCGTTAAGCCCAGCAGACGGTCTTACAGTCAGATTCTTTGGCGAAGACGTTCTCAGAGATGTCGGAGGGCTCGCTGACTCCAACAGCGTTGATGGCTCGAACTCTCAGGATATATTCCTTCTCGGGGACCACGCCCTCCTCCACTCGATACTTCAGCTCCTTCACTGGACGGGAGTTAACCCTCATCCACTTCTCTGTCCCAGCCTGGCACATCTCAATGTGGTAGCCGCTGATGGGACATCCGCCATCCCTCTGTGGAGGCTTCCAGGCGATGGACAGGAAGTCCCGGCTGGCACCGGTAACGTGCAGCTCAACGGGCGGTGATGGGGCACCTGGAAGGGACGGAATAGATGTATTCGGACTCATTCTACACTTTTCTATGATTTTTTGACGAGCCATTAATCATCACCGGACCGACCTGTTGGGTCTTCGATGGTGAGGATCTCAGTGGGCTCGCTTGGATGACCGGCACCGGCCTCGTTCTCGGCTCTGACCTGGAACTGAACCTCTGTTCCCTCGATGACGTCTGTCACTCTGTACTTACAGTCTGGACCGGAAGTCTTCCCGCACTTCACCCAGCGAGTTCCAAGCTTCTCCTTCTTCTCAAGCGAATACCTGGAGGGCAGGGTCACAGAAAGGTGAACACACTGTCATACTGTAACACCGGAGAAGTAAATCTGGAATAAACAAGTGTAAGACCAAAATATAGTGTCATTGGTACATTTTTGGTGAAACCCCCCACCTGAGTATGGGTCTGCCACCGTCATTTTTAGGTTCCTCCCACTGCAGGTCCACATATCTCTTGCTCACAGCATCAACAGTAAGGGCGTATGGTGGCCCGGGAGTAGCTGTAACAAAACAAACTCTTATCATCCTCCTTCGACCGAGCGAACAGAGGGGATTTTCTCTGTCCCCCTGATCCCAATAATTCATCTATACATGAATGAAACAACCCTCTAGCTTACTGAAAGTGTCTTTGGCCAGCACAGAGTCAGGCAGCTCGCAGAACGGTCCGATGCCCACAGCGTTCTCGGCTGCGACGCGGAACACGTAGAGCGATCCTTCGTTGAGCGGCGTCACGGTATACTTTAGCTCCTTGACCGTGGTATCAACAGCCTGCCAACCTTTACGCCTGACGTCACGTTTCTCCACCACGTAGTTGGTGATGGCCGAGCCTCCATTGCGCTCGGGCACCGTCCACTTCAGCTCGGCGCTGTTCCTGCTGATGCTGATGACCTCCAACCAGCGAGGAGCCGTAGGAGGGTCTGAGGAGATTAGGACAAAGATTTACTGTCATATGTTGGCCGTCATCCGGGTCATAGTTATACAAGGAAGGTTAAAATTAAGGGCAACCGGACTTGGTTGAAGATACTTGAAGACATTTTGTCTCTTATCGGAGAAGCTTCTTCAGTTCTGACTGACTAGGGAATCCCAGCTATTTCACCTCTGTGGAGTCGTAATCAAAGTCCATTAAGTCCAGTTGCCCTAAATTTTAACTTGGATAATTGGCATGTTGGTCTGTTCTAGTTCAACGGGTCTATTTTAGAACATCAGTTCGACTAAATATCAGTTCTTCTTACTGAGTCTCTCTTTGCAGAGCACTGGATCACTGGGTTCGCTGGGTTCGCTCTCCCCGGCCACGTTAACGGCTCGCACCCTGAATGAGTACTCCTGCTTTTCCATGAGGCCCTTCAGGAAGTGCTCCAGGATGCTGATGTCCTCTGCAACGCGGATCCAGTCCACAGTGCCGCTCTTGAGCATCTCAATGACGTAGCTGTCGATCTTTGCTCCGCCGTCGTGCTCTGGTTTGGTCCACATCAGGAAGCAGGAAGTCTTAGCCACATCCTTCACCGTGGGTTTACCGGGAGGCCATGGAGGATCTGGAAGAGTTAGACCACGATGCTTTTAATGCTCTGAAAGGATTTTAGGTGCATACACGACTGAAGTGAGTGGGAAAATGTTTTTGTACCGATAGGATCTTTGACAAGGATCGGATCTGTCTCCTTGCTGGGTTTTCCAGTTCCGGCCAGATTCTCAGCTAGGACTCTGAACTTGTACTTCTTCCTGGTGGGAAGACCTTTGACTCTACAGAAGGACACATCACATCAACACAATGAACCCTTAAAAAGCAGCACAGTGTAAAACTCTTGGTCTTCCTTGAAAAAGAGATGTTTAATCTCAATGAGACCTGAGCTGTTTGAATAAAGCTTAAATAAAAACAATAAAGACAGTACAGCAGTTAGACTCACCTGTAGTTGGTGTCCTTGATGGGCAGCTTGTTGCATCTCATCCATCTGTCGTGGTCAGGTTCATATCTCTCCACCCAGTATCCAGTGATGGGGCTTCCTCCGTCCTCTTCAGGCTCGTACCAGTTCAGAGTCACAGAGTCCTTGGCGATATCTGAAGGCTCCAGCTTGTAAGGAGCTCCAGGAGTGTCTGAGGGCAAGACAAGATGGATTACGTCAGTCCCAACTAAGGAGATCGACATTTTACACCAGGACGTTTCCTGATCCAAAAATCCTTACAGCGCCTACCCACCTGGACCTGAGATAGAACCAATAAAGAAACAGACTGAACAGACAACAGCTGGACCCAAACAGTTTGACATTTTGGGAAATACGCTTAGCTTAGCTTTCTTTGGACAGAGCCAGGAGAACTGTTTCCTGCTGCTTACCGTCTCTATGCTAAAGTTAGCTGGCTGCTTGTTGTAGCTTCATATTTACTGTACAGACGGTCGAGCGGTACCAATCTTCACATCCGACTCTCAAAAAGACAAAACATCAGCCAACGAGTCAAACTCCTCCTTTGAGAATACAAAGACATGTGATGAACCTCAGTCCTTTGGTCAGGTGACCTACCGAAGGGGTATCTGGCGATGATGGATGGGTGATCAGCCGGTGGGCCGACACCAAACTGGTTCTCAGCAAAGGCTCTGAAGATGTACTCCTTGAACTTGACCAGGCCCACAGCTTTGTACGTGGTCTGTTTAACGGTGGAGGACAGCCGGTGCCAGATCTCACTGTCGGCAGCCCGGCGCTCAACGATGTAGTTGGTGACTTTGGAGCCGCCATCGTCACGCGGAGGGTTCCAGGCCAGGAAGCAGGACTCATTGGTGATCTCAGAGATGTCGAAGGCAGCCGGAGGGCCGGGCTTATCTGTGTGAGGAAAGAGTATTTGACATTAACAACAAACTAACACAGTCATTATGAAAACCTTTCTTTCCCTCTGTTGTCAACTGGTCTTACCGAGGATGTTGACGTCGACGGTGGCAGTGGCGCGGCCGCTGCTGTTGGTGGCCTCTATGATGTAGGTGGAGGTGTCATCTCTCGTGGTCTTGGCGATGGTGACGGTGGAGTGTCCCGGCTTGGTGTCGATAGACACCCTGTCATCTGGTTTGAGGACCAGGTCGGCCTTGGTCCATTTGACCCGTGGCTCGGGCTTACCTGTCACCTCGGCGGGGAGTTCGATCTTGCTGCCAGCCTTGGCTGTCAGACCGGCCAGCAGCTTGGCATCCAGTTGGATCTCTGGAGGCTCTGCATGGACAATAAAGATGAGGGGTCGCTCAGAAGTTTGCAATTTAGAGGATAATAAGTGGAACTATTAACTTTATCAGAAACTGAAAGGGTGAACGAAGGCACATATTAAACTGATCACTACAAGACCATTATCTGGTAATCAATAATTCAGCTCTTCATTTACACTCAGTCTAAATAATCATGGCTCATCCTCCTCTCTGTCGTTACCCTCTGTACACCAGAGGATTAGAGCAAGGTGAAAAAGTCATTTTAGGACAGGAGGACGTTGTCTGTACCTTTAGGATCAACGGCCTGGATCTCGTCGGTGGCCTTGCAGGGCCGGCTGGCTCCGAGTCTGTTCAGGGCTCGGACTCTGTAGGCGTACCACTGGCCCTCGGTCAGACCGGTTACCTGGCACTTAAGCTCGGGCACCATGTCCCCGCAGGGCTCCCATTTGTCGGTTCCTCTCTGGCAGCGCTCCACATTGTAGCCTCGGATACCGGTGCCGCCATCGTACTTCGGCGGCTCCCAGGTCAGGAAGATGCCGCTGGCTGACTTGTCTCTCCACCTCAGGTTCTCCGGAGGGTCGGGGGGGGCTGCAGGGAAACGAGACAGAGGGGTTAGAACGTTCCTTATTGTTTTGGAGAGGACTACAGCTCCACATATACACCTTCAACATGAGCAGAAAAACCAACACTGACACACCTACGTTGACTCGTTACTGCTGCTGAGATTTGACTGAACAATATTTGGGTGAGGGGTCTAGAAAATGGTCCATTAGTAACCTAAGAACCTGACTAACACCAAATCCGTCAATATTGTTTCATTGCCGGAATATGTGTATGTAAAAAACACTGTGGGAATGAAGTGTTGACACAATCTCCAACTAACCCTGTATCCTATGATACACTATTAAGACTCTTTAGCACTTTTAAGAGCTTCACGTTACATTGTTTTTCCTTTAAGTTTCATTAATCTGAATCCCTGTTCTGACTCACTGGCAGGAGAGGAGACGTTGACGGGCTCGTCGATGTAGGCCGGCTCTCCTGGTCCACACTTGTTGCAGGCGGTGACTCTGAACAGATACTCCTTCCCTTCAACCACGTCGCTGACCGTGAACTCCTGATCCTGGATACCTGTGATCACCTAAGAGAGAGAGGGTTTGAGTTTATCACCAGGTGTCAGGTCAGAAAATATCAGCTCCTTCACATGACTGGTTTGGGTGTATTTTATTTGCATCATGAGTAATTATTAAGTGAAATAAGACAACAACCAGTGAAAACTCAGACTAGACTGAAAATTTGTTTTTTTTTTTAAATTATTATTTTAGTAACTGTTCTTTATTTGTTATTTGATGCAGATTTTTAGTTGTTTTTTTGTGTAATAATACACACACATACTGTTTTATTTATTTATTTTATTTATTTGATGACCCATATGAATTTAATTCACAACACACTAACTTACATGTATATTTTTATTTTTACTTTATTTTTATATTTTATATATTTTTCATTACTATTATTATTTTTTAACACACTTTTACTGTTTTATTTACTTATTTGATGAAATGTAGGAAATTAATTAAGTCTTTTTAATACAAAATATTCTTATCCTAAAGCTGTTGAAACAAACTTCAGATATTGTAAGTTCAAGAGATGTGGTCATTACCATAATTACTGTCCCCAAACTGATCTTGAAGGCTGCTTGTTTGCTGCATTTGTGGTTTAATTTACAAAAAAAAAAGAATGATCCTCTAGACGAGAGAACATTATCCAGCAGGGTGTGCCACTCTGTCAGCGTACCTTGACCCAGGTCTTACGGGACACGTCCCGTTTCTCCACCTGGTAGCCGGTCAGGGGGCTTCCTCCGTCGTGCTCCGGAGCCTCCCAGCTCAGGTGGACGTGCTGCCGGGTCACCTCCAGGACCTTGAAATCCTTCGGAGCGCTGGGCGCCGCTGGAGGACACGAACAGAAATACAATGACGCAGAAATTTGAACAAAAAATAGAAGCAGTTTGGAACCAGAAAAGGTTCTTTCATTTGTGTGTTGCTAATCACACTTCACGGCGTACCGATGACGTTGACTTCGACCTCTCCAGAGACGGATGTGACGTCGTTTTCCAGCTGCAGGGTGTAGGAGCCTTTGTCCGGGCGGACGCTTGGCGTGACGATCAGCTCTGTGAACATCGACTTGGTCGTCAAGGTGACACGTTCATCGGCGGCGGTCAACTCCTTCTCTCCGAAGGTCCACTTGGCGACGGGGGTCGGGTACCCGCTGATGGGGACTCTGATGGTGAGAGGCTGAGGGACGATCACCTCCAGGCCGTCTTTGAAAGCGCTCAGGTCAAAGGTCGGACCCACTGGAGAGAGGAGAGAGAGGCATACGTTGAACACACATTTGAGAGCACTTTCTTTCACCCTGCCTGTTAGACAGTTAAAGGTTTTTACTTTACGATGAGGACTCTGTAGAGATTTATAAGCAGGTCCAGGACTACTGCAGGTACTTCTTCTTTTAACAGGAACATCATTTCCTTTGGAAGGCTTTGCTGTTTGGTAATAACTAACATGCTGCTGCGCTTCAGAACAGTGTAATATAACTCCTCTAAACTGTCACAACTACTACAGAACATGAAAGCGTCAGTGATGGTAAAACAACGTCTCACCGTGTGGGTCGTCGGCCAGCAGCGGTCCAATGATGTTCGACGGGTCGGAGACTCCGGCTGCGTTTTCAGCACATACTTTATAGTTGTACTTGGTTCCATATTTCAGACCAGACACCTGAAGAAAAAAGTCAGAGTAAATTTTTTGAGAATGAATCAGATGATGGTTGCAGGGAGGAAAAACATTTTATTCTCTAGCAACAATCTGCCTGCAGCTGCTTCACAGGAAAAGCTCTGCTGAACACCCAAATATTAATGTCAACGAGCCCGTCTGCCATCACACACACCTTTTTCTCTTGAGGGCTTTTACTGAAGTCAAATTTCATTATGGGATAAACTCCTTGAGCAGTTACATCGAAATTTGCTGGGGGAGCTTTTAAACCTCAACATACACTGTGTTGGATGTACTCTGAAATGCTTCTTTAACCTGAAATGTTGTTGTTGTGTTTCTATTAATAACCAACTTTTTCTTGCCACAGTACAATGCACATCCTAACTAGGAGCAGTGGGCAGCCATTGTGCACCTTCGACGGTGGTCCATGCTGGGCTTGAACTGGTCGACGCTCTGGTTCCCAAGCCCCCACAGACTGAGCTACTGCCGCCCAAGAAAAATAGATGCCACATTAACACTGACTGCAGTGGGATTTGAACCCAAACCAAAGACACTGGAGCCTTGATCCAGCGCCTTAGACCGCTCGGCCACGCCACCTACCTTTCAATCAACCCATGACATATCTGACAGAAAACATTTGGACTGTACCTTGTAGAAGAGGTCGGGGCAGAGGCGGGCGTTGCAGCGGAGCCACTTGTCGGTGCCGTCTTCGCAGCGTTGGATGATGTACCCGGTAATCATGCTGCCTCCGTTCTTCAGAGGAGTTTCCCAGGCGAGCTGCACCGAGTTCTTGTTCTGGTCCTGCCAGACCAGGTTCAGAGGGGGACTGGGACGCTCTGCAGGGGCCGGACACCAAAAAATGCAAACGTTAGACTGAGACTGAGACCATGGTGGATTTATGTTACTGGCACATTGTGTCAGCTTGTAAGTGCGATTATGAACTTTCTGTCTATCAGCCGAACTCACCGATGGGATCCATGATCTTGACGGGCTGCGAGGCGGCGCTGGGCTTGCCGACACCGGCTTTGTTCTGAGCCTTGACTCTGAAGATGTACTCTTTGTTCTCAATGACGTCGTTAATGACGGCGCTGAGCTCGTCTTTTTTGGTTATGTGGACGGGCGACCACTTCACCGACGTCCTGTCGCGCAGCTCGATGATGTAAGAGGTGATGGGAGAGCCTCCGTCCGACTCGGGAGGCTCCCAGGAGACGGTGCAGCCGAACTTGGTGACGTTTCCCACGATGACGTTCAGAGGAGCATCAGGAACATCTGGAAAAGATAAACGGAAGAGAGAAACGTTCTGGTGTTCAGGTGTCGATCCAACAGTTTACCTTGAAAACAACAATGAAAACGAAGCTGCGGCAGAAAAACAAAAGCCAGATTTGAAGCTCACCAAACTTGTTCTTGGCCTGTACAGGTTTGTCGGTCTCTACGTTGGGTCCGCTGCCGACCCTGTTTCGGGCGCAGACTCTGAACAGGTACATGGAGTCCTTGTGGAGGCCGGTCACCGTGTACTCGGGACTCTCGGCGTGGTCGGTGGCCAGCGTCCAGGTCTTACGCTTCACGTCACGTCTCTCCACCACGTAGCCGATGACCTTGCTGCCGCCATCGCTCTCAGGCTCCTCCCACGCCAGGCTGACCTCGCCATCGGCGGTGTCGACCACCTGCAGGTTCTTCACGGGTCCAGGGACATCTAGGAAAAAAATCAAAACACAAGGATGGTTACATTTACTGTCAGCTTTTCATGTGTTGTGTATTCTTCTGAAAGCATTTTATTGAGTATTTTACAGATGTGAGTATGTAAGTTTTAAAGTGTGTCCCACAGGTTGAATCATTTCACAATGATTTGTGCTCTAACCAAAGACAACTATTATAAGCAGCAACATGGAAGAATAATGATAAACTGGATAGCAGAAGGGTCTTTTGACCACCATGGTTGATTTAAAATGATTGTGTGACAGGAAAAACATGGTAACCTTTTTAAAAAATATAATGTTATTTGTTTAAGTTTTAATGGTGTCAAATTATACATGTCTTTTTAAAAAAAACAAGATTTGACTTTTTTGTGGTTCTAATGGTGAATGTTAGGATTCAAAAAATATAAAAACCATGTTGTTACAAAGATTTATAGTTAAACACAGTTAAATTAGATAAAACAAAAAGATGAATGATTGATAAAAGTAAGTTCATTAGTACACTAAAGTGGCCTCTAGATGGGAGTAGAGGATAAGAAATTCACCATGTAACTCTGGTTTTTGTTTTTTACCAGAATAAAAACAAAAATTTGACCGTCTCCAGAGAAGAGTTTCAAAGTGGTGGAGACTGGTTTCGAACTTAGTCCCCGTCACATGTAGAGAAACAAATACCAAATCTGTGTGAAGCCTGACATCTACTTTGTTTGGTTTCTTTATTATAAATAAATGGAAAAGTATTTTTCCACCTGCGACCTGTTGTCACAGCAGCAGGTGAGCCGCTTGCTTGTTAATGATGCAGCTTGTCAAACAACTCAAACAACCGAAACCAATGTCTGAACCCTGCTGGTTTAACTTATCCACCGTGACTTGTACACTTGTATACACTAATTTAGAATTCATCATTCAATTTTGCGCATAAAAATGCGATTAATCGCGATTAAAAGTTTTAATCGTTGGCCAGCACTACTTAATCTTAACTTGACCTCTCCCTGCAGAAACCCGATAGCTAACCTGCTCGGGTCTCTCCTTATGCGGAGATTCAGTAAACGGTTCTCGCTTCATGTCCAGAGAACTCACCGATGACGTCCAGGGTGATGAAGGCTTCTCCCGCTCCGTGTTTGTTCTTGATGATGATCTTGTAGCGGCCCTCGTCAGACTTCAGGGGGTCCTTCAGCCGGTACTCCGTGCGGTCAGCGGACGTGTAGATGTTGTCTTTCGGCAGGCTCAAGTTGTTGTACAGCCAGTCGGCCTCGGCCTGTGGGTAGGCGCTGTAGGGGACGGCCATGACGATGGGCTTCCTGGCGTCTGTGACGTAGCTCTGGTCTGTGGTCTTAATCTGAGGGACAGCTGTAGGGGGAGGGGGGGACATGATCTCCATCAGGCTGTCACCCTGTCTGAATTTATTTAATATTTACGGTTTTGCTCAGGTCCTCACTAAAATCACCTGACTGATAAAATGCTGAAGCTTCCATCTGTTTACTGACTGACTGAGTTTTATGCCGAGCTCTTACCTGCCAGCTCCAGCTTGGCTCTGGCGTCTTTGTCCTTGACGATGATCCTGTACTCGCCCTGGTCCCGAGGTCTGATCTCACAGACCTGCAGTCTGTGGACTTTGCCCTCGCTCATCATCTGGTACTTGTCTCCCTGGACGACCGTCATGTTGTTCCTCAGCCACTTCACCTCCACTCTGTCCTTGTTGAGCTCCACCTCGAACACGACATCTGAGCCCGGAGGCTCAAACACGTCCTGAGGAGGTCTGACTATCTCCACCGGGGTCTCTGCAGGACAGAAAGGGATTCAGTCAGATCCTGAACAGGAACCAGAGAAGGAAATTACTTCTGAAGACCTCACCTTCCACGAAGAGCCTGGCTCTGGATCTCTTCTCGTCCACTCCACAGGCGTATTCACACTCATCGTCAGGTCTGCACTCCTTGATACACAAGGTGCACATCTTTCCATCTTTTTTAATTGTATATCTGTGGAAATAAACAGCAAGTTAATAAAAGAATACCTGAGCTGAGTCAGTGACTTGACCTTGAGTGGACGATTTAAACTAACAGTTGTACCTCGGCCCTTCTCTGATCTCACGTCCGTTTCTGTACCACTTTGCGTCGGCCTTCTCTTTGGTCAGCTTGCACGTGAACTCTGCGTCCTCGAACTCGGTGATGGTCTGGTCCTTCAGGTGCATGGAGAAGTCCGTGGGCGCCTCGCTGATGACCAGCTCTGCGGTGGACTTGTTGTCTCCGGCCACGGCGGTGTACTCGCCCTCGTCCGCCAGTGTGCAGTCTTTGATGGTCAGCGTGTGCTTGTCTTTGTCCACTTTGTAGACGATGCGTTTGTTGAAGGCGATCTCGACGCCGGCCTTCATCCACTTCAGAGTGGCGTTGGGCCGGTTGACCTTACAGGAGAAGCTGATGGTCTTCTTCTCCTGAGTGTCGATGTCCTCCAGAGGAACCACAATCCTCAGACTCTCCTCTGAACAACACAAAGCATCACGACAGACACACGTTCAACTCACCGTGTTCAGACCTGCAGTCTGGCACAGTTTTACATGACACCCATGCTCACCACAACACCTGCTGAACACCACAACACCTGCTGAACACCACAACACCTGCTGAACACCACAACACCTGCTGAACACCACAACACCTGCTGAACACCACAACACCTGCTGAACACCACAACACCTGCTGAACACCACAACACCTGCTGAACACCACAACACCTGCTGAACACCACAACACCTGCTGAACACCACAACACCTGCTCTAATGAATATAAAGTCATTTAAAGGGCTGGTATAAGAAACCGTACACCTATCACAGCTTCATACAGAGTCTCAAGGTCTCAATCTGTGAACATTTTTAATCTACATCATACATGTGTTAGTTTTATTATAATTGTATAATTGTCATTATTTAACCTGCTGCTCCACGTCCTTTGCCAGTTGCCAGGCAGCCAGCTTTGCATGTTTGGAATATCTACTATTTTATTCCCAGCTTATATATTTCTAAAGTGCTGTCTTGTCACTCTGCGGCTTGTGTGTGTCAGATAACCATTTACTAACTGCATCTTTTAACGTTTTTATCAACGTCATGATGGCTGTTTTTTACCCCTGTACACTGGTTATTGCTGCTCTGCGTGTCTCCGTGTACCAAGAGAAGGTTGCATGTTGTTGCTTTCATGGCTCTCCTAACCGAAACAGTGTTTGTTGTTGTTTCTGTATTATTGTACCGATGTTTGGCTGTTTCCTGTTGCTCTGCATGGTTTGTGCTCTCTCTTGAGAATTCTTGTTGTGTTTCAGTCTTTACGGCGTTTTGATGTCCTCCTTCTGTAAATCTGATCTCTTTAAAGGTCTCATCAAAGGACTGCAGTTAGTAAAATTAGTCAGCTGCCTAACACTGACACTGATTAATGTTACGATGCCGTGTGACAAAATGAGTGACTGTCAAAACTGACTTTAACCCTTCTTATTCATTCAACAAAATCTGATAAAGCATTCGATGCAGCAGAATTGAATAAAGAACTTTGCCTGATTAAACAATTGTTGAAGAACCATTTAACCTAAGAATGTAAGAAAGCTAAGAAGCATTCGATGCCAACTTTAGATCCTGGACACGGTTCGACACCTGATACTACAGATTTACTGTACCTAAAACTTTGACATTTAATAATGTGGTCACTTTTAAAAAAGGGAGAAAGCTCAGGAAATCTTGATATTAGACGGTGCTAAGGAATAAAACTACTGGGGAATAAAGTGGCGCCAGAGCCCGCCGGTCTCTAATAGAGGCCTGGTTCTGTTTTCAGCAAACACTAACTGAGATCCTTCTTGTACATGAACTCTGATGCTGTGGACCCAAACATGCCGTGAACCACTGACCTTTGACGGTGAGGTTGCAGGCGCTCTTGGCCTGCTCCCCTCTCTGATTGGTCAGGTTTATGCTGTAGTTGGCTTCGTCTCCCTTCGTGGCGTCTCTGATCCTCAGGGAGAAGACGTTGTCTCTCTGGACCATCACGTGCTTGCTGCTCTCAAACACCGTGTCGTCGTTCTTCAGCCACTTGGCCTTCGCTCCCTCTGTGTTCACCTCGCAGTTCAGGACGATCTCCTGACCTTCTTGGGCCTCCATGTCCTTCAGCGGCGTGATGATCTTCAGTTTCTCTGCAGAATAAAAAGCATCAGAGACGCAGGTTTAAATCAGGGTTTCACTTCCTTTAATGTAATGTTTTCTTCTTCTATCGCTTTATATAAAATAAGTGGGTGGGGCTTACCGAGCACAGTGAGGTCAGCGCTGGCTCTGGTCGGTCCGATCATCACCACGTATCCGCCCTCGTCTTTGAGCTCGCAGTTCTTGATGACCAGAGTTCGTCTCTTGCCGTCGCTCACCATTTGGTATTTGTCTCCCGCCTCCAGCTCCTTGTCGTCCTTCAGCCATTTGACGTCGTAGGTGTCCTTGGAGACGGAGCAGGTGAACTCCGCCTTCTCGCCCTCAACCACCTCCTGGCTGTGAGGCCTGGAGATGAACTCAGCAGCCAGTTCTGAAACACAGGAGGCACCAAATGCAGTTATTCTTTATTCCTGTCTGTACAACGTATCCAAACTTCAGCTGGTTCAGAAACTCACAGCGAGACTCCCCAGGACCGATCAGGGCTCTTTAGAAGCATATTATTCTAGACTTACCTTATTGTAAAGTGTTTTTATTACATCTTTCTGAGCTTTTTATTGCATTTGTTGTTACTGTATTTTTGGTTGTACTTTGTTTCTTAAAGGTTCAGTGTAAGATTTAGTGGCATCTAGTGGTGAGGGTTGTGAATTACAACCATCTGTCCAGTCTACCACTGCCCCCTAACCTTTCAAAGAGCGTAGGACAGCTACGGTGGCTGACACAGCACAAAAGGTGTCTCTTCTGGGACAGCAGAGAGTTGCAAGTCAGGAAATGAGGTTTCTTTAGGTAGATTTATTAAGAAATTATATTTACTGAATTATTCAGTAAAACCAGATGTTACTGTGGAAATGTGAGCCAAGAGTGTGAAACACTGTCACGGCCGATCAGGGCTTCACCGAAGGATTGTTCCACAATTTATCCAAAACAAAACTGAAACTATTTACAGACTAACAGCCGCCACAAAAACACCGGTCTCCTGGGTGAAAGTCCACCTGTCCTGCACCGACCACCTCTTTACTCTGACTGTGCTGTTATTTATATACTACACTGTTTAAAAATGACACTAAGGGGCTTCGCAGTGCGTTAAAAATGATCAGCTAGAGCAGAACAGTAACGTGTCACTTGTAGAAACAAACTCCGGCCGCTGCTGCCAGTGATGATGCACTCCGTTTTCTCAGTTTTCTCTTTTTCAGTGTTTCAGTTTGTCGACTCCGAGAGCGCAGGACAGCTACGGTGGCTGACACAGCTCAAAAGGTGTCTCTTCTGAGACAGCAGAGAGTGGCCAGTCAGGAAATGAGGTTTCTTTAGGTAGATTTATTAAGAAATTATATTTACTTAATTATTCAGTAAAAGCAGATGTTACTGTGACTTTACCTGAGTGTAAAACACTGTCACTGTTTCTGCACCACAGTCCTTCATAAACCACACATTAGATAAAGTTTATACAAACACTGACGAGGGAAACACGTTAATTCTCTCTGTGATTATGGACCCTCGCCAAAACTGCTCGCCAGCAATAATATCTGGCCTGCTGCCAGATTATGGTGCTTTGATAGCAGCAAAATTAAATACTTTGATAGTGATGCTGAAACAGATCTCAGTCATGGCAGCAACAGTTACTCATAATAATTTAACATAATCACTTCCTCTTTAGTGGTTTTCCCTACAAAATAAAACCACGAGAAGCTTGTTTACTGTAATACAGTATTGGAGTTGAACTGAGCTTTTACTTTGAAAAACTCTGATGTCCTCTGCCTGGAGACAGTGGGGAAATGAAAAAGCGTCCGTAGGTTGATGGATGAGGATCAAACACCGAAACACAAACAGTGCAGCGCATGTTGTGATCTGAGAAACATTCGCTACAGAATCCATTTGATGAAGAGAAAGAAAAGTTGTCCCAAAGTGGGATCGAACCCTCAACCCTTGAGGTGTGAGTCCTAATATTATACTTTATAGTCTCATCCACCATCTAATGGTTGAAAATCTTGCTCTTATACAAAACTTATTTGCAGACCCCTGCTGTATATTATTGCTTCTTCTTCTTCTAACGTACATATTCAACATAGTGATGAGTGTCTGCGCTGCCTGAATTCTACCAGAAGTAGAACAAGAAGAACGTAGTGATGAAACGCGCTCTGTAGCGCTGTTTTCCGTTTTCAGTAGAAACATGACGATGCAACGTGGCGATGTCCATAGAAGGGGGTGCCGCGGTTATGTAGATATAAATGTCTCATTCTAAGGTAATAAAAACATAATGGTTTATAATGAAAGGTCTTAATACACCACTGAAAACAGAGTTTTGGATCTTATATTGCATTTCTGTTGATAAATCCTGAGAAACATTACACACTGGACCTTTAAAGGTACTATTAGGTTATTATTAGAAGAGTTCAGAGCCCCTGCAGCACATTCAGAAAACTTCTTACCATTAATCTTGAGATTTCCGGAGGTTTTGATGCTGGGACTCAGCCTGCAGTTGTACTCTCCGGTGTCGGCCAACTTCAGGTCCTGTATGAGGAGGATCCTCCTCCTCCCGTCCACGATGTGCTCGTAGCGGCCGCCCTCCGGCAGCTCTTGGTCTCCTTTGTACCAGGTAACATCAGCGCTGGGTTTGGAGACCTCGCAGATCAGCTTCACGCTGTCCGTCTCCGTTCCCTCCACGTTGGACAGGTTCTTGGTGAACCTCGCCTCCTCCTCTGCAGCGAGAGGAACAAACGCAGCGGTGAAGAAACGCCACATCTCAACAGAACCCCACGACCTCAGTGACAGGGGATGCACACATTTAGACGTACCGGGGACACTTTAACGAGTTCAATCTTACTTAATTTAAATAAATTGTTGAAATAAAAGTACAATTTATAATGAATAAGCATCATGTTAGGTCCCGTCTGTTTGAAACTTGTAATACAATCTCAAATGCATGTATTTCATTTCTTTCCCAAACTAAATTCAGGTGTCGTATCCTCAACACAGGTATGAAGAGCGGCGGTGTTAGATTGTTTGTTCTTACCGACGACAGTGAGCATGCCGGAGGATTTGGCAGTCTTCGCCTCACATTCGTATTCGGCCTCATCGTCAAACACAGACTTGTGGATGATGAGGATGTGCTGTCGGCCTTGAGCGATAATTTCGTACTTCTTCCCCTTTCTGATTTCACTTCCATCCTTAAACCAGCGGACCTGTGAGACAGAGGGAGATGTCAGGGAGGTCAGGAACTGAAAGATAACCGGTGGTTAATCAAAACAAGCAGACGGGGAGCTCACTTTGACGTTCTCTCTGGAGACTTCACACTCAAACCTGGCGGATTCCTTCTCTTTGACCTCGACATCATGGAGCGGCTTCTTGAACTCGATATGTGGAGCTGTTGAAACACAGAACGACGGGTTAACGAGGTGATTCATTAATCAGAGAGACGTCCCCCGTACTGTGACTCTTGTGAGTAGGTTTATGAAGTCCGTTTGATCTCTTCAAATGAGGGCTCCTTATCTTATTGACCGTTCCTTTACATCTAACGAAGGATTTCTAAACTCTAATCAGGGGATCTCTGCCTAAAGTCTTCTTTAACTTTATTCATTCTTACAAAGGGTTCCCTCTTATGAGGGATTTGTTTTTTAACGGTCCCTTTAGTGTTGTAGTCCAAGTCAAAAACAAGACCAGAGTTTATCGAGACTGAGACATGAACAAGACTTTTAGGGGCTGAGTCCAAATCAAGACCAAGACCAGTTTCCCACATTTCATGACAGACAGTAAAATGTGGAACGAGATCAGAGGTACGTCTCAGATTGATCTGAAAGATCCACATTCCCATTAAAACACCCACAAACAAACACTAAGAGCTGAAATCAACGGAAGCATCTTTACTCAACACTTTTCCATGCTGACCATAGCGGGGAGGGGGGGCAGTCGTTAACGGGAACAACACATGTTTAATGAGGGTTACTGGTCACATTTGAAGCAACACGTTTTACATCCAATCAAAGTTTGGATGTTAAATAAATCAGACAATCCAAAAGTAATTTATTGATATTCCCAAAGTTATGGTCTTGAAATAAAATCCTGAGTGCTCAATGACTGAGACCATCAAAAAGTGGTCTTAAGGTGGGTCTTGAGTGCTACATCATTAGGTCCCTTAACTCCAACTACAGAAGGCTGCTTCTCTAAAAGAAGTGATTCTTTAACAACTTTCTTTATTCTTAAAAATGTCTCTTGGCTTTTATGTGGGTTCTTTAATTCAAAGTTCTTTAAAACTGAGGGATTTTTAATCGATTTTGAGGGGGCCCATAACTCTAATTGGGGGTTTTAAGGGATGGAGGTGGGGCTTAAACCCTAAAAAGGAAAATTCTTACTAGTCACTGTGATGAGGGATTCCTCTTAGTCCCTAAACTCCTAAGTCTTTTGCTTTTTTAGAGATCCATTTACTCTTACAGAGGGTTCCTCATCTCTACAAATGGTTCTTTAACTTTTAAAGGGGGTTCTTTTATCAGGGTCCCTTAAAATCTTGATGAAGGGGTTCCTGGACTCAAAGAAGTCTCTAACTTTTATCTCCGTTTTTCAGTCTCATAAAGGGTACGTTAGCTTCTATGGTGAGTGTGTTAGCTGTTATGCGAGAGGCCCAATAGAGGGTCCTTTAGCTTTGATGGGGGCCTCTATAAACTTGCTGCTGTACTCACGTTCAACGTTGAGGAAGCAGGATGTTTTAAAGTCTTTAGCGTCGCAGGCATACGTCTTCGAGTCGTCCAGAGTGCAGTCGTGGATGACCAGCGCTCTCTTGTGGCCGTCGACGATCATCTCGTACTTCTTGGTCTTTCTGATCTCCTGTCCGTCCCTGAACCATCGTACCTCTGCTTTCTCTCTGGAAACTTCACACTCGAGCGTGGCGGTGGCTTCCTCCTCCACCGTCTGGTCCTCCAGAGGCTTCGTGAACTCCACCGGAGGCTCTGAACGCACACGAAACGCAAAGGACAGTTGTTCAGCTTGCTGCTAAACCAGAGCAGCTTCGAAACATTCAAAGTCAACAGTTTGCTTTCATCTGATCCTCCATCAGCTCTGTCAATAAAAAGCCTGCAGTGGCCAGCCGCCAACATTAACGCTTCTTTGTTCACTGCAAATCTTTTTGAAAAGCCCAATGCAGAACTTCCATTGGATATTTTCTGTTTAAAGAGTAACTTGAGACCAGGCTGAAAACTGTTCAGCTCTGGTTGAAAGTGTTTCACCTCCGGTCAGATGTGTGCTCTGTTGCACCTGTGACCACACCCAAAAGTGATGTCACAGTGTACTGTCACACCCTGGAGTACGCTTGTACATCACCTGCCGCAAGGTGAGACATTAGACCACCGGATGTCAGCAAAATGAAGATATTCAGAGGGTGTTAAGCTGCTCTTTAAAGCCTGATCTAAACAAATCCAGTAGACTCAGCAGTAGATGTTGTCTTACCTTTGACGATGAGGTTGGCCTCGGTCTGGAAGTCTTTGGCGGTGAGTTTGACTTGTCCGGCTTCATCCAGCTTGACGTCCCGCAGAGTCAGACTGTGGACTTTACCCTCCGCCTTCAACACCACCTGTCAGGTCCAACATTGTCAATAAGGACATATTGTAGGTTTGACCTTCTGTGACTGCTGCTTGTCAGGTTCAACTAGGTTTTAAATCCCTGAACGCAGTCTGCCAGGGTCCGGAGAGTCAGAAAGGTGGTGGTTTTACCTTCCCTGAACGCTGCCTGTTAGGTTCAGCAGTCAGCCAGCGAGAGGGTTTTACCTCCCACACTTACGGGGCTGCTTATTCTCATTTTACTCTTCCTGAGGTTTCTATAAGGGCCTTCCTGAGGTTTCTATAAGGGCCGGGTCATGCTCAACTTGTGATACTCAGAGGACTCAGGATCGGTAACTTAGGGGATTATTATTTCCTTTAAGTATATGTACGCTCAAGAGTCGGACAGTTTGTGGGTTTTATCATCCCTGAAGACACGGAGCTGAGCTGAGAGTGAGGTGTTGCGTCCTCGGTCTCTCAGCTGAGCTGTGACAGCTAAAACGAATCCAGGCAGCTGCTTTCCTTCCCCCAATTTAAACTGCACGACCTCTGACACCTGACGGCTGATTTTACAACACATCCACAGACACTGAACTGCCTGCGCACACAGAGGAACTAAACATGTGGTGTATCTGACATTTACACAGTCCATTTCTTTAAACACGATTACAATGATCTGTATTTCTAGCTGTTATAAGATAATAAAAACATTTCAAAAGGACTTTCTCTTGGCTCATTTTTATATTTGTCTTTGTTTTTATCAGCGCTGATGAATTAAAGTAGCCTCACCAGCTGCTCACTGTTATTCCACCAGTGAAGGAGCCGTGATGAGATTTGTGATCCCATTTGGTTTGTGACAATTGAGAATAGACCTTAAATACATTTTCAGTGATCAATACAGTTGAAATGTTTCTTGTTTTGTTATCAGATGCAAAAATAACTGAGCAGCTCTGTTTCCAACCAGCTTTAGACAGTTCAATGTTTTGCTTTTGAGAGTAAAATAAAGCCATTAACAGTAACACCGTTCTTCGTTCTTCAGGTCTGATAAAAGACTGAATACCTCCTTCGTATTTCAGATGTGTTTGTGGGGGTGTCGGAGCTGTTGTCTTGGAGATCTGTTGCATCACTAAAAGCTCCTCGCTGAAACTAAATATGTGGCTTTCACGTGTTTTTATTCACCGACCGGGATTAAAGCACCGCAGCTTTAAATTTAAAGTCAACAAGCTCCATATCTGACTTCCGCGCTCTCTGAACTGGATATGTCCAACTGTGTTGTTTTAAAGTGTTAAACTCCAGTTTCTTCACGTGTAGCAGCACCTACCAGTGTCAGAAATCATTTATTCCATGTTGGTAACAGATCTTAAATACATCAAACCACCTAACTGGGTTTTTCCTGAATAAAAGATCTGGTTTAATCTTTTTAAGACAAGTTTAACTGAAGGCTGAGTGACACCAATCTTAGTTTAAATCAACAGTGACTTTATTTTGTAACCAAAAATAAGCCATTAAATAAATGTTTGATGTGAAGAAGAGCCGTTAACCAACAACTAAGCAGCAGGTTTGTGTACGTAGGGTCAGAATTAAAGCCCTTCAGAACTCTGTTAGACATATTTATTTTCTCACTTCTAAAGAACTAGAGGCTTCAGTCTGAGATCTGATGAACCAGCTGATGTAGCGTGTGAATCTCCACCCACGCAACGCGCCGTAAATCACGCTTGCACAACCCAGAGAGAGATCGTGTGTCGCTGGGAACCTCAGAGCTCTCAGGTTACATCCGATAATCAAACTAATCCTGCGTTATGACTGGATATCTCTCCAGCGCCTGGACTCCCACCCGGCTGCGTCCAGCTCTTCACTCAGCAGCAGTGATTTGGACCCCGGCAGAAACATTTACAGCGCGTTGTGTGACTTTAAAGCCGAAGCTGTCAAATAGCTCCTGTTGCCACCTGCCCTGCGCCTCAACCTCCTGCAGCTGTTAAAAATAACCGTGCAGAAACGCTTGCGGGGCAGAAAAGCCCTCCTGCCTGCGTTATCTCAAAACCAGGATCAAGTGCTCAGCTGGAATCCTGAACCGCCACCAGCAGGCCCTTATATGAAGACAAGCTGAAGCTGGAGCAGCAAGGTGCAGAGAAAACTGAACACTGTGTACAAATGGAGGGGGAAACACCGGCCCTAGCTCTGGACCAGAACCACAACCAGGCCTGGACTCGTGCAGTATCTGCAAAGACCTTCTAAGTGTGTCAGCCTGTTCGTGGTGCAGAAACCTTGTGAGGACTCGGTCAGGTATGTTGGGACTTACTCTGTCGCTCGGTTCCAGCTTTGTACCCCCCAGGAACCACTCGGCAGCGATGCCTTCGTATGACAGCTCGCACTCGAAGGTGGCCGTCTCTCCGGCAGTCAGGGTGACGTCCTTCAGCGGCCTCTTCAGGCCGATCACTCGGGCTTTGGATTGGGGAGAAGACATGGTTAGTCCCCCCCCGAAACAGGTCAATATATCCAAAAAGTCCCCAGAGAAACGGCTAATCCTCAGTGGCTAATCCTCATGGTGTGGTCGAGCTGAAGGCAGGCCGCTGGAAGCCCTCAGGACAACTGAAGCCAGCCGCCCTGCGACTTGGCACTGGGGGGCCACGCTCATTAGCATACGACCTGCCGTCAGATCTATATGGCCGGCAGAAACCAGTGAGAGACGGGGTCGTGTCCTCCCCCCCTGCCAATCACTGCAAACCCCGCTCTAGATAAGGCATGCGGCTTCTAAAATAACCGAGGGACCCGATTGGCTGAGAGCCCACCTCTGACAAACCCATCAGGGGAGACAATCTGCTCCTGTCAATCACCAGCCTGAAATTTTCCTGGAAAAGGAGAATGTGGAGCTCCTCGCAGGAGTTACCCAACGTCCCGCTGCAGAACGCCTGCGTGCTCACGCTGCCATGTAACCACTGTTTTGGAAGTGTTGGTAACGGGGGGCTGCGCTGAGGCCCGGGATGTCCGTTTGGATTAACAAACCGCATCAAGTTATTTACAACAGGCTTCTTCACATGCCTGAATTAAAGCCCCTTAACAGCCAGTTAGAGCTGGCAGTGAGCGCGAGCTGAGAGCTGGACTGTTGGTTTAATCAGTCAGTCTGAAGAGTTTACAGTCACCGCCTGCTCTGACTGACAGGCAGCTCGCAGATCAGTTCAGGAGCACGAACTAAAAAAGTTCAGTTTTTAAAGGACATTAAAGTACATTTACTCAAGTACTGTACTTGAGTACAAATTAGAAGTATTTGTACTTTTCATGACACTTTCTCGGGAGATCTTGTACTTTTTACTTCACTATATTTATCTGACAGCTTCAGTTATTTTACAAAGTCAGATTTTTTACACAAAAACATGTCAAGAGTTTAACAAATATTCTGTTTTGTTATAAATTAAAGTACTCAACAGTTCATACAAGTACAGCTAGTACATTCTTTGACTGACGATGGTTTTTAAATTCTGTTTGTTTTGTCCCTGACAAGCAAAACCACACTAATAGTACTTTTTACTTTTGATACTTGTGTATTTTAAAAGCAGGTACTTTTGTACTTTGCCTCAAGTAGAAATTTAAAGACTACTCAAGTACAAGATTTGTGTACTTTGTCCACCTCTGCTTCCACTCTGGAGAGACGTGGATGTTAAAGCGTTACAGTCTCATCGTTTGACCAGTTTTGATTAAATATTCAATTTAAAAACTGAAAAAAATCGCTGTCGATTGTTGTGGAAAGTATTTCTTATCCCAAAGCAAGAAACCGGTAAAACTACTTCAATACTAGAGCTGTGTATTTCTGAGTCAGTGGCTGAGATTGATTCACTTCTCTTATTGTAAGATTATCATCATGTCGGCTGAGTTTTGTTGAAGCTGCATAAAAATAACAATATGAGAATAAACAAGATGGAGGTTTTGTTGCAGTGTAGAATATATTAAATATCTGTTATACGTCGAACAAACCTCCAGACAAACCGGAGGAAGAAACGACAAAACGTGTGTTTGCAGCCAGGGCATCACTTTGTGTGGCTCAGATTAGGGCTGTGAAGAGACACCACGATATGTGATATTAGGTACGAAAAGATCCTTCAACACTGTTTGAAAGAAGTTTCTGCGCCAATTTATGGTGGAAATGTTTCTATTTATGTAAAAGGAAACACAGAATTCAGGAGGCAGGTGACATTTCACAATATATGAATCTAACAGAATCTAAGTGAGAGCAGCTCTCAGATCTGTTTCTCCTGCACATCAACTTTTCTCCTGTAACATCCTCCCTGCTGAGGCCTGATTTATTCTCTCCTCCTCTTTGTCATGTTCACAGGGAGAGAACAGAAAACTTGGCCAAAAAGAAACTGTGTCCAGAAGTTGTTAAAGTTACTGACGTTTTTGGGTCGTTTTAGAATCAGCAGCTTGTTTTTTTAGCTTAAGTTACTTTTTTTGAACAATGCACATTTGTTTCTTCTATATTTTAATGGCATAGCATGTTTTCTTAATGTGGAAATAAACCTTTCTTAATGGCGTTTTCATTTGTTATTTGACTGCAAGCTACATTTCAGAGCATTTTAATAAATTATGCTTTAAATGTCCCCAGGGTCCCCGGTGTAAATGACCCTATGGTTTGCAGGTAACGTTGGGTAACACTTTTTCACACTGGCTGGTTGAGAAGAGTTTCTTAATTACCTGATGACTTCACTTTACCTGGTTTGTTAAGTTGAAGCCTGACAAACTTCACCCGCCTGAGCTTTATTATCTCATCTTGAACTCTTTGTTGTCCACCAGAAGAAGCTCTGCTGCTTCTACACTGCGGCTCTATTTTTGCCTCACGTCTCTGTAATGTGACATTCTTTTGTGAATGTATAATAATTTGGATTTTTTAAAAGCATTTTCAGTCAGTGTTTTTGTATGAAAATGGCTTAATAGACATTGTTAACTGCAGATTTTGAGTTTTTGTGCATCATAATTGTTTAAATGTGCAAAAAAAATGAGTTTCACCCAGAAATCTACAGCTGACACAAGAAGGTCTGTAAACTGTAAACGTTTGGTAAACCAGAGAGCTTCAACAAGCCGATACAGATTAAAATGTTTCAGAAAAGCCCCACTTAACCGTGTGACGTTAACCACTCAGCCAATCAGGATGACGGAGATGCTGGGTTTCTCAGAACATGTTAATTACTTCATCACCTAAATGCTGCTTAACCAGGCTCCAGTGTACATGTACAGTGTCGTCTGTCAAGAAGAAGAAGTCACCTTTGACCCTGAGCTGAGCTGAGGATTTGGCATTCGCTGCAGAGAAGTCTACACTTCCGGCCATGTCCTTCCTGCAGTTGAAGAGGATCAACATGTGACGGGTTCCCTCCTCCTTGATCTCCACGTCCTGAGAACAAACATCCACAGTTCAAACTAACTTTAGAATCTCTTCATCTCAACTGCGAGACGAGCTGACCAGAGAATGTGTTTGTTCTTACAGCAGACGGGTGCAGCGTGTCTCCCTTCAGTTTCCAGATGCCGTGAAGGTCCTCCTCTGAAATCTCCGTCTCAAACTTGGCCGACTCGGTCTCCGTGACCTCCACGCTGTACAGCGGGCGAACGACCTTGATGTCGCGCTCTGCAGAGGTTTAGAAAGACGTTAGAGGGAAACCAAAGAGGAGAGGCGAGGCGGGGAAAACTCTGAGAGAACATCAAGTGAAAACAGTTTCATAGTGAAAGAGACGCCGAGTCTGATGATCAGTGGAGGACACACAGTGGAGGACACACAGTGGACATGTGACAGTTCAGGCGAGCAGCTGACGCTCTCTTTCGGAGCGTCTTACAATTTATGCAAAAGCAGAAGACGTTGAGGAACTCTGGACGATAACCCAGCCCTATGAAACATCTCCACACACCCAACAGACAACATTAGCACTGAATTATTAGTGTTACAAGAACATTTCTACCCTATTTTTATCAGGATTAATAATGAATATCAGAAGCATTTATAATCTTGTGACAGATACGAAAACCTACGAGTAAATTTACATTAATAAACAAATTAATACCAAATAGTCACTTAAAATAACTAAAGACATGACTAACTTTATGAATGTGTTATTAATTAAAAACAAATTGTTGCTTAAGTTTTAAGACTTTGAAAGAAAAATGTGCAAAACTGTTTTACTGAAACTCTGCTTGTGCGCTTGGTTTTGCTTTAAATCAGCTGTATAATAAGTTCCTTTTTTGTAACAGGAAATCAGATATCTTGCCCTGGAAAAATGTTTGAACATTATCTCCTGTAAAATATCAAACTTCATGAGTAAAAATAAGTAAAGTAAATGTTTTAAATGCCAAAGGAATATTATAACATGTATATGAAGGCAAACATGGACGTCTGGGAGGAGAGACATTGACATGAGAGTTAGTTTCTTGTCTCCTTTGTTTCCTCAGAGTTCACAGATTTGCTTTGTGTACAGTTATAATGATCAGATGTTTAGGGCTGGATTATCCTCCAGGGTTAACAAACATTACAAACACTCAGAATGAGAGAACAGGACACGGTGATGAAGGACGGCCCAGAGAGAGGCGGTGAACGGCGTCTGATTCTGCGGTCCTGACCGGGGTTCTGGGGGGAGGGGCCGGATCGCCGCAGGTATTACCTTCGATGTTCAGGTCTGCTGCGGTTTTGTCAGTGCCACAGTCGCAGGCGTACGCTCCCATGCTGCTCTTTGCCGCCTTCTTGATGACCAGCGTGCGCTTCTTGCCGTCCGACTGGAAGAGAATGTTCTTGGAGGGAAAGATCTCGTTACCGTCCTTGAACCATTTGACCTCGGCGGCCGCCTTGCTCAGCTCGCAGGACAAAATCACCTCGTCCTTCTCGACGGCGGTGTAGTTCTGGAGCTTAACTGTGAAGTACAGGTCGCCCTCTGCAAGAAGGCATACAACATAACCAGTAATGACCAGAGAAAAACAATCGGCGATAACACAGACGTCTGGGATGCCAGAGGAGAATACAGAGTGATAGACTAAACAAAGGTCACCAGTGCAGAACTATCCCTGTGTCACGTGCAGCTCAGTGTTAATTCTTTGGCATTTACTGATGAGTTTGAAGCCCTTCTACAAAGTGAGACTAACCGAGCACGGTGAGCATGGCCTCTGAGGTCTTGCCCATGGCCTCCACTTTGATCATGGAGGTGTCGTCGACGGTGACCTCCTTGAAGGCCAGCGTGTGGACTTTTCCGTCCTCCGACATGTGCACCACCTTGCTGGGGTGCAGACGGATGTCGTTTTTGTACCAGACCACCGGGATCTTTTCATGAGAGAGTTCGACACTGAACTCCGCAGTTTCTCGTTCCTTCACGGTCACATCTTTAATCGGCCTGATAAATTCGAGGCGAATACCTGACAAACAGAAATTATATATATATATATGTATATATACGGGGAATTAAAGTTGGTGAGACAAGAAAACATACAGATTAAGGTGGTGATGATGTGTTCAAAAGAGCAAGCTTAAAACATTTTCACTGGTTGCTTTTTCTGTGCTCCACTCAAGTGTTTGGAGTATAAACAGTAACAGGTCCTATCTGCAATCACTGTTAGCCTTTTAAGACCAGTCTGGCTTCAAGTCCTGCTCCTGGGTCCCCTAGAGGCTGCAGTGTTCATTACAGCCCCGATACTAAACTGGTCGTCAGGAAAACAGCTCATCCTCAGCAGAGCAGAACATACAATAAGTTAGAGTTTTTCTTGTGGACTTTCTGGCCTGATGGTGGCCCTACAGGAAGGTAAGGTGGGCCCAACATTGTCAGGAATGGGGACCATAAATAAATAATAATACATAAAGCCTCCACTCTGCTGATTTTTTCACCATATGTTGAACCTGCTGCAGGGATTTAAACACAAGAGAACAGTGATGTTGGGGGATCAGGTCTGGCTCTCAGTCACAGAACTCCAGTTCATCCCAGAGGTTTTGGATGGGGCTGAGATCAGGGCTGTGTGCAGGCCTTTCAAGTTCTGTCACACCAAACCAGGAGAATCTTTTCTTTATGGAGCTGGGCTTAGACCATTGTCTAATATGTCATTAAGATGTCCCTTCATGGGAACCAAGAGGCCTGGACCAAACCAGGAAAAACAGAGCCACATCAAAGTGCCCTCAGATATGTGGACCTGGAGTCTATACGGTGTTTGTTGTCTGGCAATCTTTGAATGGCTTTAGGCAAACACACTGATTACAGAGCACACAAGAAGCAAGGTGTTGCTCACACTCACACATTACACCAGTCCTGCCTAATGAAGCTGAAGTGGTCCGGCTCTCTGATTACCTTTGATAATCAACTTCCCAGAAGTCCTTTTATCTTCAGCCTCAAACATGTACTTGGCTTCATCTTCATATCTGGCAGATTTTACAATGAGAGTGTGTCTCTTTTCCTCCACCAGGAGTTCAAACTTATCGTCGTTTGACAGCTCTTGAGATCCCTTCAGCCAGCGGAAGCTTTTGGGCTCTCTAGAAATTTCCAGCTCAAACTTTGCCTCATCCTTTTCGTACACGTGCACGTCAGCCAGCGGGGTAATGAACGAGACTGGGAGCTCTGTTGATCCAGACACACAGAGTTAATATCAAGGCACAGATGGAACTTAAGAACGGTAAGCAGAAAGAAAGTTTTTCATTTTCAAAAAAGAAAACCATGAGCACGGTACTGTGCTTTGCACATGAAGTTGGAGAGAGGAAGTGAAGGCTCACCCTTCACTTTCAGCTTGGCAGAACACTTGGCGTTGGCGGCAGTAAACGCCACCTCGCCCGTTTGAGGGACTCTGCAGTTGTACAAGACCAGAGTGTGTTTGGCACCGTCCTCCACGATCTCAACGTCCTGCAGGTGGCCGACAAACTTCAGCATTTCAGTAAAAACACAAAGACTCCAGGAAAAGGGATCAGAGCAGGGCCGTGGTCAATTCACTTTCATTTGTGAGCTAACGAGACATCAAACATTCTCATACTTCACGTTTTAACCCTGATAGGTTAGATATGTGAAACTTTTAAATACGAGTTTAGTCAAAATGAAAGTGAATCGAACTGCAGCACAAGAGAATATCTGCTGGGATGAATATTAATGACACATACGGCGGATGGACTGAGGACTTCTCCGTTCAGTTTCCACTGGCCATGGACGTCGTCCTCACTGAGCTCGACCTCAAATCGAGCAGTCTCTCCGTCAAACACCTCAGCGCCGTACATCGGCCGAACCACTTTAATGTGGCGAGCTGACGTTTAAGAGAGACAGGGACAAAATACTTACAGAAGACGTTCAGACATTTAAATATTCAAACAAACTCAACATATATACACACACATATACAAATACTTAGACAACAGACAAGCACAGATACAGCTGGCTTGATAATTTTTTTATTTTTTTATTTTATTTTTTTTTATTATAATTTATTTAAAAAACAGCCTTCATTTTGCTGTAAGCAACCTTTACAAGGATTGCCTATTGGTCAGTAAAGGAGATTCTGCTGCTGAAGGTACCAGCATCTCCTTCCTAGGAAGTTAATTAATGGGGGCAATTGAACTTATGAGGAGCCAATTGGTTCTTTATGGATCTATTAGATTAGAGAGGGGCCACAGTTCTTCAAAAGGCACCAAAGGGGTTTGTTTCTTTGTAGAGTGATGGTTCTGTTAGGGGAACCATGAAGACCTTCTGAATAAGTGTCTTTGAGACCACGCATAGCAACAAACAAACACCAAGACAATAAAACAGACCAGTTATGGTAGAAGAACACTACAAGAGAGGACTGATCCTCCTCCCAAATTAGGGTGATAATCAGGGGTGAATACATCACAACTTCGATAAGAGGCTTTCTTTGGAAACCTTCAACTCTTGTAGTGTGTTTGTACCATTTTCGGAAGAGTGGAGTGATGAAAGACCACACACAGGTGAAGACAGGGGTAATTAAGAAGTGATGAGGACAAAAATGGTGCTTCAAGTGCAAAACACTGGGTGATGGGCCGTGAGGTTAAAGAGGCGATGCAGGTGAATCCAAAACAAACTCTGCGTCTTTACCTTCAATGTGAAGCGTTGCTGTCGTTTTGTCCGTTCCACAATCACATAGGTACTGTCCTTTGTCTTTGTCCCCGACTTTCTTGATGACGAGGGTTCTGCGTTTGCCCTCGGCCTTAATGGCCACCGTCTTAGAGGTCTTGATCTCGGCCTCCTCGTGGTACCACATGACATCGACGTCTTTGCTTAGCTCGCAATCTAGAACCACCTCGTCCTTCTCCACTGCGGTATAGTCTTGCAGCTTAACTGTGAAGTACGCATCTCCCTCTGGAATAGGGGAAATGTTTGTGTGACTCCCCATCGCACATATACAACACATATATACGGCACACAGCAAACAAAAGACAAGACAGTCAAATGAGACGAGGAACACAAACGCACAACATAGAGAAACAGCTTTTTACAACACAGAAACAATCTTACAAATACACAATAAGGTCGTTTGGTGGACACGGACAGACACAGACAAACTGTACAAAAAGCTGTGGGGAAGAAGAAGGAGAGGCTGAAAGAGGACAGAGGACAGATGGTTTCTGGGTTTACCTATGACTGTCAGGTTGGCCATGGAAGGAATTCCTTTGGCCTCAGCCTTAACTTGGCAAGTATCATCTAGAGTCACCTCCTTTAATTCTAGCACATGTTTCTTTCCGTCCACACGAGTGACCACTGTTCTGCTCGGATGAATTTTAACATCGTTCTTGTACCAGGAGACGGGGATGTTCTCATGAGAGAGCTCCAGCTCAAACCAAGCCGTGTTGCCTTCCTTCACAGTTTGGTCCTTTATTGGCGAGATAAATTTGAGCCTGATACCTATAATTATGTTAGTAAAGCATATTCATATGAGTTAGTTTGAAAGACGAGGCACCGGACTCATAACAATCAAGGTTCTGCTAGTTATGTCCAGCACTTACCCTCCACTGTGAGTCTAGCAGTTGAAGTTTTGCCCAAAACCTCGATTGTATATTCATCCTCATCGTCAAACTCACAGCAGTTTATGACGAGCATATGCTTCTTTCCATCATCGATGATGTCGTACTTTTGGTCTGGGGTGATGATGTCAGCCCCTCTATACCACATGACCTTAGTGACATCCTTCGTGATGGTGCACTCAAACTTAGCCTGTTTCTTTTCAGGCACAGAAACGTCCTTCAGCGGGACAACAAAGTCCATTTCGATTTCTGGGTTAAAAAGGTAACACAGGTACAGAACATCAACAACACAACAGAACACAACAGCACAGCAGCCTACACCAAGTGGCCAGTTTACCACGGACCCCCTTGTCTGCAGTACTGGGTTGTACCCCTCTATGGTTCTACAAGTGTATGGAATCATACCACAGGGATATCAGGGGGTAGTGACATGGAAACCCCATGCTACTGCTTGTTTCTGACTAGACTGCGGCTTATTAATGCTCTACGTAGCTCATCCTATCTTATCCTACAGAAAACCTTCAGGAGACATCTTCAGTTTGTGTAGGTCATCTAAGCAAATCTACATCACTTTGCATACCAGGGATTGTTCAAAAATACTGTCTTGCAGCTTCTTTGGCGCTTGGCATCAAGGGGACTCCATGGCTAAAATGCAGTCATCAAGGCACGCTGACTTCCTGGGGACAGGGTTTCTTTACATTTGAAACATTCACCAAAAGTTTTACGTCGAAGAACCAGTCCATCATCTTGTTCAGCTGGCATCACAGTTTTATCACAATGCGACAGGACTCTTCAATCTTCAGGCCTTTCTTCTTTCTACTTGCTTTACATCAAGTTTTCACCAGTTGCCTTCTGTTTGTGACTATTAGGGAAAATCAACCTTCTGCTGCTCTTCAAAAATGACAGTTACTGAACTCCTTTTTTTTTGGGAAAAACTAACACAATGTGATTTCATGTCTGATGCAGGGACCCATTCATGAACATGGGAGTTGGTGTACCTAATAAACTGGCCACTGTAAGTACAAACATAACAAAAACATGTAACCACAGACAGAACAAATAATATAGTGAGAGTGACACTACACACATTTTCTACACAATGCCAAATCTGACAGAACACCAGACAGATTTTCCACTGAACAGACTGTACAACAAATAGAACAACAAATACAGGACAACATTTCGACCGTTGGTAAAAGTTGGGATCCCAAATTAAAATTCCTTCGCGTCTTCCCGGGCTGCAGAAAGTCTCAAAGAATGGCACAAATAATGACTTTGATTCTTCAATCCTATTAAATAAAGATCTAAGGTCCGCTCTCAGATGCCAAAAAGCTTTATTTTATTGCCCACGGACCTTACGCCTTTATTTTTACAGCTACTATCCTAAAATCATGGTGCACCGATGGTGATTCTGATCCCACATACCAGGAGCACTCCTTACCTTTGACGTTGAGCATTGCGCTGGTTATAGCGTTCAGCGCCTGGTAGGACACTTCTCCGGCGTGATCCAACTGGCAATTTTTCAGCGTGAGCTTACGCACTGCACCGTCCATCTGGATGTCGCACATCTGATGAAAACATTACAGTGCATTTATACATAAAAAGTAGTGAAACATCTAAATGTTGAAATACATGCTTTAAGACTAATGTGATCCTTCACGAAAACGAGTCCACCATCTTACCGGGGATCTGGTCAAAACCTCTCCTTTGAGCTTCCATTCCCCTGGAACATCCTCCTCAGAGATCTCCGTCTCAAACGTGGCGTTTTCCTTCTCAACCACCTCAACGCTGGCCAGGGGCTTCAGGATCTCAGCCTCCCGCTCTGCGAAAGAGGTTGTATTAGTACTCATAAATATGAACCATAAGTGACATAAAGACACTACAGTCGTATTGTAAAGAATGGTAAGTAGGTAGATAGATAGATGAACCTCCTAGGGTTAACTTGGCAGTGTAGATGCGTCCTTCCACCTCCATGGAATATTCTGCTACATCATCAGGCTGACAGTTCTTGATTGTGAGCGTCAGCTCCTTTCCATCCTTCTTGATCTCAACCTTGTCAGAAGGAGTGATCTCATTCTCTCCTTTCAGCCACTTCCAGTTGGGAGTCTCCTTGAAGAGCTCGCATTTAAATGTAGCGGCAGCCTTTGGTTTCACATGCTGGTCCCTCAGTGGTTTCACAATCCAATCTTTGATAATTTCTGTTGGAGTAAAAAATGACTGAATCAGTGTTTATCAGACTATTAAAGACACAATGTGGATCATTACTAAATGCTAAATATTACTAAAGTGTAGTCTGAGACAGAACAGAAGAGCTAAAACAGGCTTAGTCTTAGCTTAGTTTATCTAATTTAAGGCGGTTTTCAAAGATTTCTTCAGTTTGAAGCAAGGTTTAAGGAGAGAATTACAAAGTTCTTTCTAATCTGTATTTGCAGTGTGAACATGGAACCGTGGATATCTGAATTTAGCTGCAGCACATTTAAATTTGAATTGGACATTAAGATGTATAATATTCAAAACAACTGGAAGATATTGTTGTATGTCATCAGCATACAAATACATAGTGATTTCAAGTTTCTGAATTACATTATAGTAACATGTGAATTGAAAACAAGAATGGGACAAAGATGGCGCCCCCAATTACTCCCAATGCCATTTCTGCCCTAATCCATTCCAGTCTACATTCCTTAGAAAGCACCACTATTGATGTATGTTACTGTGTTTAGGGATTTGTAAAGTGTCCTATTTTGCTTACCAATCACTTTGACATTTGTTTTGGTCAGGACATCCTCCTGGCCGGCCACTTCACAAGTATAGACACCAGTGTCCTCCTCAGAGGTGTTCTGGATGGTTACAGCGTGCTGCATACCAATGATATTGATCTGAACTTTCCCGGCCTGCTTCTTCAGGACCTCTCCATTCTTCTTCCATATCACATCTCTCTCTTTGTTCAACTCGCAGGTCATGTATAAGGCCTGACCCTTAATAGCTGACGTCTCCTCCTCCAGCTCTTTGATCCATTTCACAGGTAGCTCTGTGAGCAGATAAAAAGGCAATGAGGGATTTGACATTGGCGAATGCTTAGGTAAGATCACGAGAGATACTATTTATACCGAGTATCTTCGGTGTTATTATAAAGGCAGAAAAAGAGATATAAATACCTTCAACAATGAGCTTAGCTGTGCATGATATTTCCTTGCCGGCGTTCTTTGCCACACAGGTGTATTCTCCAGTGTCGGACAGCTGGACATCAATAATGTTCAGCTTGCGATCTTTGCCATCAGAAGTAAACTTGTGCTTGGGGCTCTCGCGCAGATTACCGCCATCTTTCATCCATGACGTGATGGCAGTGGAAGGAGAGACCTCACACTCAAACACAGCAGACGAGCCAATAGACTCGGCTTCCTGCAACACGATGTCCTGAATCTTCTTGATGAACTTTAGGGGGACGGCTTTGAGCTTGAATCCTCCGAAGGGTTCCTCTGGTGGTGATGGGCCTTTTCCGCCAGGCTTTAGGCCGCGGCCCCTGCCTTCTCCAGGGGATGGCGTCTGCTTGGCTGAATTACAAATTAAAGACAAACAATTAATTCCAATATCAGTTTAAAGAAGAATTCTGTGGCATCACCATTCATGTTGAAGACCGTGTTAGGGTTTTCATGCTGAGTATTCATAGGTTTATTAAAACTTACGTTTCAGCCCTCTACCTCTACCTCTTCCCGCTTCTTCTGCTGGTTGCCCCTCTGTTCAGAAACAATTAAAATTAATTTGCTGCGCAAAATGATATTAAGTCATCGTCTTCATAAACATGCCAAGACATATGTAATGTCCACTCAAATGGATAGATGAATATGAAGTTATAATGATGGTAAATATATGAAATGACACTGAAACAAAGACAGGCGTTTTGCAATTATGAATAATGAATATAACTTGACAGTGATGAAGCTTTTACACCATGGAGAGATGGAATAACAAACAGAATGAGAGGGAGAACACATGTTAGACTGATCGGATATGCACATAAATGACATAACAGAAATGACTGAAAGCAATGAACATGACCAGACAGACGGACACACAGAGTGACCATGAACATAAATAAAAGAAAGGGATGGCATACGTCGCGTCACACTTAAGATGGTAAGGAAGTCAAAGTGTTTCAAATGGGAGGCATGATGTTGGGAATGGGTAGAGATTACTCATGACATGAAGGATGGGTTTTTCTCAGTCGTCACCCAACGAATTGGGGCCGCCACCATCTCACCTCTCCTGGTCACCCCTGGAACCTCAAGAGCACCTTCCTCTCCTTCACCTTCCCAGTCTTCGGAACCGTAACTGTCCCGGGGAACCAGCTCCCAGCCCCAGGCCTCTTCTTCATCCTGCTCCTGCTCTTCCTGGGCTTCAAACTCCTCTTCAAATATCTCCTCCTCCGGCTGGGTGGCGACCTTCTTCATCTGCACAGCTCCAGGAGAAACCTCCTTCACAAGAGGAACCTTGCCTTTACCAGGCTTTGCTGGTTCTGCAGCCTTCTCCTCCTCTGGTGATGGCCTCTTTGGGACCTTTTTGAGAGTCACAGCTTCAATAGAGTCTTTGGGTGAAACTGTTTTAGGAATCTTTTTGAGTTTATCAACACTCGGCCTCTTCTCAACAGGGATTGCCTCTTCTTCCTTAAGCTTCTCAACCTTAGGAGATGGTGTCTTTTTCAGCTCAACCTTCTTCAGCTGCTCCACAGGCTTCAAAGCCACTTCTTCCATGTCCTCTTTTGCCTTGGGTGTGACCCCCTTCTTCAGCTGCAGAGGCTTGGGCTCTTCAGGAACCTTTTCAGGCTTCTTAATAGCAGCGGGAGCCGGAGACACTGTCTTCTTTGCTGGCACTGCCTCTACTTCCTTCGGCTTCTCCGGCTTCTTCTCTGGAGCTTCTGGGATCTCAGGTTTTTTGGGTCTAGCCTCTGGCTCTTGTTCTTTTGGTTTTTCATCAGGGCTTGTGCGAACACGCCGCAGGTCATCGGCTGGCTTCCTCTCTTTCTCCTCGGCTGGTTTCTTCTCAGGCTCTGCAGCCTCTTTGGAAGGCCTGGAGAAGGGCTTCAGCTTGATGCTTTCTGTCTCTTGTTCCTGTGTTGGGATTTTCTTCACCTTGGTGGGTGGTTTGACCTCCTCAGGTTCCTTCTCTGGAGTTTTCTTTTTATCTACTGGCTTTGGTACTTTTGCTGGGGGCTCCTTAACCTCTGGAGGAGCTTTCTCTGCTTTCTTGGCTGGTTCTTTGGGTTCCACCTCTCTGGGAATCCTCTCTCCCTTCTGGAAAGGAACACTGTCCCTGTCTGGCCTCTCCTTCTGATCTTTCTCCGGCTCCTCAGCTGGTTTAACAGGTTTTTCAAATGGTTTTAGTTTGACTACTTCTGGTTCCACTTCATCTGAAGGCAGTTTTTTCACTTTCTTCAAAGCTGCAGCAGGTGGGGTAGGTTCCTCTTCCTTTGGTGCCTTGGGAGTTTTCTTCAAAGAAATCTTATCTTTCGGTTTCTCATCTTTTGGGACGGGTTTCTGGCGTGTCCATGCATCTTTTGGAGCTTCTTTCTGTTCCTCTTCTTTAGGCTTCACAATTTCTGGCTTTTTCACCACATCGGCTTTGTCTCGAGGTTTCTTCTCCTCCACACGTCTCCTGGTGGCGACTGACATCTCAACAGCCTCTTCTTTATGCACCATCTGCTCAACATCAAAGATGGTGGTCTTGGTGACCTTCTGAGGCTTTTCCTCTTCTTCAGCCTCTTTAGCTGGAACTGATGGAATCTTCTTCAGTTTGATAATCTCCTGCTCCTCTTCCACTTCCTTCATGACTCTGGTTGTTTTTCTCAAAGTGGGAATCTCAAACGTCCCATCATCATCTGGATGAATTATACCTTTTTTGTGCAGAACCATTTCTGAGGCAGTAAAGGTTTGACAACACTTATTAGACATTTAACCGACACACAATTTGAACAAACACATACTTAACATAAAAAATTAAAATAAATGTAAAAAATACAAAGAAAATAAAAATAAAAATATAAAGCTAACAGACATACAAGAACAAGAACACAGAAAGGACACAGAAAAGACTTCCAAAGGATACTACAGAAAAACATATAATATGTTTATATACATTTGAAATAACTATTTGATCTCTTTGTAAGAAGGTTTGATATTTATGTATTAAGCCAATCAGAGCTAATCAGTTGTCAACTCCCAGCTTTTTTTGCACCCTTTAGTGTCCCAACATCTCCAACCATGAACCTAGTGGATGTTTTAGCCTTGAGGCTGTTATTGGGCACTTGAACAGAATCAGGTGGTTTATATTTATGGCTGCGGATTAAGTCCTGAGAGTTGCAGTGTAATGTACGTACTAAGTGAGTGGTAAGTGGTGCTCATACCTTTCTTGACTCCTCCCGGTGCTTGGACAGGCCCTTTGGTTTCATCTAATACAGAGGTATAGTTTAGAAAAGTGTTAATAAGGTCATTTAATTAGTCATGAACGGCAATGTCACTGATTTTAAAAATGGGAAGACCTTACAAAACTGTGAGAATTTGTCATCAAACACATCAGAACAACAGAAATATTCTAATACAGAATGAAAGTAGTCCGGTGTCACATGATTTAGTTGAATGACATGAGAGAAGAGTCGTACGTAAAGATAAAGAGCTGAAGTTAAGTTGTGTCCAAGGACAAATGAGGCATGCTTGTGTTGGATTCATGGTCAATAAATTAATGACCAAAAAAAACAGGACAAACAACATTAAAAGACCAACAATGCAACACCACAGCAAGGCACAGTACTGCTGCTAAAGGTCATACCGACCCGGACTAACAAGACTAACAACCCAATCAACAACAGTGGAAACACACAAGAGGATGGTTATACAGTCGACATTTGCAGTGATGAAATAAGATGAGAAAAAGATGGAAATAACACAAAAACTCCAACAAAGAGGATGTTCGCCTCTCAGTCCTTCAAATACCTATACCTGTCTCAGGAGCTATCTTTTCTATCACAATCGGTTTTTCTTCTTCCACAACTGTCTTGGTTGGTTCTTCAGCCTTGATGACAGGCTGTGGCTTGGTCACTTCAAGCATAAGAAAAGGGGGAATTGAAGTATTGTAGCCAAAACACGTGGTCTTTCTTAAAACGCACAAGGTGATTCTGTAAGAATCATTGTCTGAATACCTGGCTTTGTTTCTTCTTGTGGAGTAATTCTCTTCTCCAACTTTTTGGTTTTGTCAGTGACTTCAGGCCTTTTGGCAGCTTCTTGAACTTTAACAGCTGCCGGGAGTTTGCTCTCTTCAAGTACAAAGTAAACAGAAAGATCTTAACACCAAAAAGAATCAAACTTCATACTGCTATTCTATGTTCATAACCCCCTTATTTGGCGTCCACAGTATGTCATTCTCTTTAATGACTTGGTTAATATGTTGGGTTTCTTCAGGATAGAATTTTAAAGATTCATATTTGCTCAGGAGTGACATTCTTAAATGAATGCCTTCAGAAAACCCTCACACAGATACACAGACACACACAGAAACAGATTTAAAGAGAAGTTGTGTACCTTCTTGAGGAGCAGCTGGCTTTACCAGTGCTTCTTTGACTTGTGGTGGTGACTCCTTCTCCTTCACAGGAACTTGGAAATGAAATGACATGACAATAAGAAACTCACTAAGACTGATGGGCTGCGTACTGAACCATGCATAGACAAACAACACAAGGACAGCAAAGAAAACCCAAGATGAAAACATACAAAGGTTTAGAAATCTGGTGATAAGAAACCAAAAAAGACTGCCTCGGTCGACAGCGTGACGGTTCTTCACAATGAGCAAAAATACAGTTTGTGCCCAAACAAAATGAGTGACATGACATGGATATCCTCTTGAAATGATGACGACAAAGAGGTATGAATCAAAGAAATCCTTGAGAAGATGATAACGCGGAGGTGCACAACGATGTTTGGTGCTCAGATCAAAAACACGTGCTCGGTGACATATAACATGTTTCCTTCTATACCTCTTGAAGATTCTTGCAGGCAGACTTCTCCTTCTGGTTCCAAAGACAAAACCCTCGTTTCTAAGACGGACTGCCCTGGAAGCCCTTGAGCTTCTCCCTCTTTTCTGCTTGAGGTTACGACTTCCTGAGAAGGGACGTTTTGGACATCTGCTTTCAGATGCTCAACTTCTGATCCCCATTTCTTGGTGGAGCCTTCCGTATATTCTGGAGAGTCTGTTTTGTGGTCAGCAGTCTCTTTCTGAATCATCTCTGGCTTGGTTTTATCTGTTACTGAGGGTTCTCTGACAGTGGGCTCATGCCTAGGCATCACACCGGCCTCAGCTTTTAGCTCTGTTGTAGCAGTTTTGTATTTTTCAGAAATCTTTGTTTCTTCGTCAGCTACCTCTTTGGATTGATATATTTCCTCACTTGTTTTTGTGGGTAAAGCTAACTGCTCTCTTTTGATTTGTTTTGTTTTTGTCTCAGTTTTTTCATGTTCACAAAACTCTTTGACAATATTGTCTTTCCCCATTGTTTCTGTCTTCAATTCCTTGGTTTTAGCCAGTTGTCTTTCTAAAGTATCTTGCTCCACCAACGATGTAACTGTGGGTTTTCTTCCAACTTGTTCCCGTCTTACTTTCATTCCTCCTATGGAAGAAACTTTAGCAGCTTGGCCCTCAACAGCAACTATTTCTGGCCTTTCATCATCTTTAAAGTCTACATCAGTGGACACGGTTGTTCCAAGTTCCTCTTTTGGTGTGATTCTCTCTTTGAGAATTCCTCTTTTTGTATATTTTTCTGGTTTGTCATCTGCTGTGAGTGATTCTTTAGATGTCACCTTAGTCGCAGGAGTTACTGCTGCTTTGCTTTCAGTGTATTCACTCAGCTTCATTTTTGTTCCTTCAAGAGGACTAACTGTAGCTCTTTTATCTTTAACTGTGACCACTGTCGACTCAGTTTCAGATTCTTGATCTTGGCCTTGAAGTAATTCTGTAGTGGTGGCCTCTGCTCTGGTTGAGTGTCTTTCAACTGGAGGAACTTTGGTAGTTTGGTCTCCAAGTATTTTAACCTCTGACTTGCTTTCTTCTAACTTCTGTCTGTTATCTAGTGTTGATTCTTCTTTCGTCTTTAAAGAAATATTCTCTGATATGTAAGCCTCCTTGTCTCTAGATTTTATGTCTTTTTCTAGATTGACAGGGGAAATATACCTTTGTGGAGCATCTAAAATAATATCCTGTTCTTTAACAATTAATGGTTGTTCATATGCAACATCCATTACAGGTGTCCTCGAAGTCTTTCTTTCTATTTCTTCCGGCTTTGATTCTACATTTGTGGTAACACTGAGCAAAACGTCCTGAATTGTGTCTGTTTTAGACTGAATGCCTGCAACTGTAACCTGCCCTTGGTCTTTTAGAGAGTCTGTTTTCTTTGGAGATGTACTATCATATTTAACTTCCTCATGTCTTGGTGATTGGTCTCTGAAAACGGCCTCAGTTTTAGCATCTACTCCTATAAACATTTTTTGCGTGTTTTGCTGAGTAACAGCTGTCACTTCTGCATTTTCTTGGGTTTGCTTTTGTTTTGTCGCTATCTTACCCTCAACAGATGCGATTTTGTTGGTTTTAAATTGACTTGTGACTTCTTTTAACTTTATATCTTTATCTGTGATCTCTTGTTTTTCAGATAAAATGTCCACACTCTTCTTTGGGTACTCTGGACTTTGTGAATGTCTTTTAAGAGAAACCTCGCCAGATTCATAAATGTCCTCTTTCCTGGATGCAATGTCTTTTACAAGCTTATCAGGTATAATACATCTTTGGAGGGTGTCAGATTTAATATTTCCATCTTTAATGATGAGATGTTTCTCAGATGCAACCTCCATCACAGGTGCAACTGAAATTGTTCTTTCAACATGTTCCTGTTTAGTTTCTGTTTCTTCAAATGGAGTAACACAGCCAAATTCATCTTTAACTGAAACCGTCTTGGACTGCACTTCTTCAAGGGAACCTTTTGTACCTTTGTCCAACTTCTGTGCTTTGTCCTTTATGGATTTTGATTTCTTTGACTTAATGTCTTTAATCTCAGTGTCTGTTACTTCTGTTACAGCAGTAACAGTTGTCTTTGTTTCACTTTGATTTTGACTTAATGTTATCTCTTCAGCTGGAGGAACTGTGGTGGTTTTTTCAATCACTGTAAGTTTTTCTGGGGCTTCTTGCATCACCAAAGAGTGCTGATCTGTTACTTCAGATCTGGATGCAACTGAGGCCTTTCTTTCAATTTGTCCCTGTCTTTCAGGTAATTTCTCTGGGATAAGAGTGACCTTCTCAGTTTTATCCTGAACTAGGTCTACTTTTGACTTCACTTGTTCAACTCCAATATCTTTTGTGTCCCTTAAAGACTCCTTTGTTTCCAGAGAAAGGTCATCTGACTTATAAATGTTCTCTTTTCTTGAAGCAATATCTTTTACCAGCTCATCAGGTGTGATGTACCTTTGGAGAGTCTCTGATTTTGCATCTCCCTCTTTCACAATGAGAGATCTTTCAGATGCAACCTCCATCACAGGTGCCACTGAGAACTTAATTTTGACTCGCTCCTGTTTAGTTTCTGTTACTTCCAATGGAGGAACACTATCATATTCATCTTTTACTACAACTGTCTTGGACTGCACTTCCGCAAGGATAGTTTTTGTACTTTTGCCTAAACTCTGTCCTTCCTCTTTTAGGGATTTATATTTCTTTGTCTGGACATCTTCAATTATACTCTCTGATGTTTTGTCAAGCTTCTGCTGTTCTTCTGTTTTGGGTGGTTCTTTCTTTTGTGAAATGTGTTCTGACTCACCCATCGCCTTGAGGGCTTCTTCTTCCGTTGGTATGTCTGTTTTTGTTACCTCCATTACAGGAGAAACTGATGTCTTTGTTTCTATTTGTGTCTGTCTGGTTTTAATCTCTTCAACTGGAAGAACTGTGTTGGTTTTGTCCATTACCTTTTCTACCAAAGTGTGTTCATGTGTAACTTCTGGCTTAGCTGCATCTGAAACCTTGGTTTTAACTTTAATTTTCTCTGGTTCATCTTTAACTATGTCTTGCTTAGTCTTGGCCTGTTCAACTGTAATATGTTTGGTATCTAATAAAGAGCCTCCGTCTATTACTATCTGAGTTTTTTCAGATGCAACCTCCATCACAGGTGCAGAGAAGAACTTTCTTTTAACTCGTTCCTGTTTTGTTTCTGGTACTTCTAACAGAGTTAGGTCCCCATATTCATGTTTAACTCTAACTGTCTTGGACTGCATCTCTTCAGTTGTTTGTTCTTTAGGTGGTTTGTCCCGCAGAACTGTAGCTGACTCCTTTATGTCGAGAGTATCTGTTTTAGCATCTTCATCTGTTATTTTTATTGGTTTGTCAGCTGCCTCGTCCGACACGGGTACCTGTGAAGTTGTTATTCCA